TCAAAGTCCCAAAGTATTTCGCCAGCCGGCGGGAAGGGGCGGGGGGAGTCATCTGGAGGGTTGTCTGGAGCAGGGATGCTGAACCGAAGAAAGGGGGAGACAGAGCGAGAGGGACGCGGGGCTGGGCTGGCCCGGAGGACGCGGGGAGGAGGGCTGCACTGGTGAGAGGGAGGGTGACCGTCCCCCACACTGTAGCGACACTCCATCGCCAACGAGTGTGGGGCCGAGGAACGGCCAACCGCTGCCGTGCCGCAGTTTGAAAACTAAGCCGCGTTTCCTCTTTTAATCTTGCCCCGCCTTTCCCCTGGCGTGCCTCTTCCGATAACAGAGAGAGAGAGAGAGAGAGAGAGAGAGAGAAGGCGGCACCGCAAGAGAGCGGGGGAGGAGTACCGAAAAGGCCAGGAATTTATTGGAGGGTCCTACAGGAGCCAGGAATACTCGCGAGGCATCCCCGCGAGAGTGTTTATGGTGGTGGGGGCAGAAAGTGTGGAAGAGGGGTGAGATGTGCCTTGGCGAGAGGTGGCCCTGGTGGCCCTGGAGCGGCACGGCAGCCAGGGGCACCGGCGGACCCTGGAACACAGCGGGCGATGGCCTGGAGGCCTGGAGGGGGCGCAGAGGGGGCGTGGAGTTTGCTACCAGTGCGCGAGTGGGACCACCACTCCGGAAAGGGGCCCCGACCAGGACCAGGCCCCGACCAGGCCCCGACCAGGCCCCGACCAGGCCCCGACCAGGGCCCGACCAGGGCCCGACCAGGACCAGGCCCCGACCAGGCCCCGACCAGGGCCCGACCAGGCCCCGACCAGGGCCCGACCAGGGGGAGGTCAGGTTCAGAGAGGGCCCCACACGTGTGAGAAGGGCCAGACCCGACTGGCCGTGGTGGCCGGTATATCGACTGCCACCCCACCCCTCCGAGTCTCGCTCTGGTCGATAGGCCCCAACCTCTCCGCGCCGCCCCCGGCCCGCCCCCGACCCGCCCCCAGCCCGCCCCCAGCCCGCCTCCGACCCGCCTCCGACCCGCCCCCGACGCTCTCGGCCTGCCGCTGCCCCCGCCCAATTTCTTGGCAGACTTTAGCCCCCACGGGACCGCGGGGGCAGATCTGAGCGGCCACCGCCGCGGCGCGACCGCGGAGGCACATGTCGTTCGCCGTTCAAACTGACCTAGGCCAGGCCGGCCTCGGCAGCCCGGCAAGGCAGGCCGGCACGGCGGAGACTGACATGGGCGATCGCACTACGGTACTCGCTGCTACCCCCGGGCCCCGGGGGTGGGGGCACGACGCCGCGCCACGGCTCAGCCAGGCCCAGGGCACAGGCCGCGTAGAGAGCCGGCTTGTGGTGGGGGGCTGACGCCAGCAGCGCAGCCAGCGCGGCAATGCCTGTGGTCCAGGCCGTTCTCCACACTTGCCCCTCCCCCTCCCCCGCCCCCGCGGTTTTAGCGGGGGAAAAAAAGCTCGGCTCTCGACCGTAAATTAGAGCTTTTGCTTCACTCTCGGGAAAACCTTTAACATTCTTTTTGTTTTTTGCTTTCTCATAAATCCCCTTCCTTGAAAAGGAGCCCCGTTCTCTTTGGCCTCACAACCAGTGTGTGTTATTAGATAATTTCCTGTGGACTTGGAAAACATACCTAACCTAACCAATTGTGCCCAGAGTTCCCTAACACATTGCCTTGAAGTTCACACCATGACTTGATGCTGCAAGTGTCCTTAACCGGCAGTTGGATTTTGATGGTGCTGTCTCGAGGTGACGATTCAGAAGCGAGAGTGTCGTCGTGGAGGTGTCTAGAGGTGTCTGGAGGTGCCTGGAGGTGTCGCCCCACGAGGACGGGGCTCGGTCCGCCTACTTCACCGTCACTCGACTGGAGGAGACGAGACTCCGGGAGGTTGCCCCGGCCCTGCCCCGGCCGCCTCCCCCAAAACTCCGAAACCAGAATCCGACCGGCGAGATCCGCGCACCTCTGTGGGCCCGGCCCGCCAGTTACGAGGTGGTGCCATCCGCCTCACCTCGGCCTCGCCTCGGTCTCGCCGACCCCAACGAGGCCGTGCCTGGCCCTGCCACGGCCCTGCCACGGCCCTGCCACGGCCCTGCCACGGCCCGGCCTGCCGCTTGCATTCCTAAGCAGACACACCACACGAGGGTGTCTGGGCCACTTTATAGGAGGGTCTCAGAAGGGGAACGGCAAAGATCTATTTCATTGACACGTTAAAATCACATGAATGAGAAGGAGGAGGAGGAGGAGGGGAAGAGGAGAAGAAGAAGAAGAAGAAGAAGAAGAAGAAGAAGAAGAAGAAGAAGAAGAAGAAGAAGAAGAAGAAGAAGAAGAAGAAGAAGAAGAAGAAGAAGAAGAAGAAGAAGAAGAAGAAGAAGAAGAAGAAGAAGAAGAAGAAGAAGAAGAAGGAGGAGGAGGAGGAGGAGGAGGAGCAGGAGGAACAGGAGGAGGAGGAGGAGGAGGAGAAAGAGGAGAAGGAGAAGGCACCCGATCCGATATCAATGGTCAGGTGTTCTCTGCTATTTCTGATTCCATTCATTGCAAACAATCCGAGGGGCGCTACTGGCGCTGCCGGGCGCCGACTCAGAGAAGTTGGGGGGGGGCGCTTTGGTATCGCTGGCATCCATTCCAGCGCTTCCAGCGCCGCGGGCAGCGCTAGCTGTGCCTCTCCAGCTCTGCCTCTCCAGTGCACAGTGGCCCTGCAGAGTCGCTTTCGTTCTTCTGTCCCTCTCGCACCTGTAGGAGACGCCACGTGAGTGTGAGAGAGACAAGACGACGAGGAGGACCCTAGGACAGGCTCCTGGTGCAAGCCCGCCCGTCTTTTGGCATAGCCGATGACGAGCGAGGCAAAGAAATCACTGCACCGAATGCACAGCGCCGTTAACAAAAGGATCGTACTTCCGCTTCGCCTCACAAGTATGTCAGTTGTTTGCTGGTCCAATCTTAAAGTCGTCCGACGGAGTCAGTGAAGGGGATCGTCGTTAGGACCTGGAGGGTACACTCAGTAAGTTACTTGACATGCACACCTGCGTCCAGAAAGAGGGTATAAAATAGTGTACTGGATAACCGGGCCGACGAGTCTGTGCGTCGAGACTTGGAGACGGGACCTCGGGCGGGACAGCCCCGAGGGAGAGAGGGGGGCAAGTGGCAGATGAATGTATGGTTCCTCTCCGAGCCAACGGCGCGCCAAGTCGCTATTTCTCATTCAGGAAGTGGGTGGGAAAAGAAAACCTAAAGACATTAAATGTGGTCGGAACTCCGAAAAAGTACTCAACTCGTTTCTTTTCGAAAGTCATTCGCCAAGTCGCATTTTGTTCTATTTTTAAATTTATTGAAATAGCTCGAGGTATGCATGCACTTTATTTGAATGTGATCGCGATGAGGAAACTGGTTGTCCTGGGTGTCTGGCGCACTTGAAAATGCGACTAGCTCTGCTGCCGTTCGCCAGACTCATAGCGACCGCGGTCAGCGCCTGTTGAGTTGCCCTGCGGCTATTCGGACTGTCCTCACAGAATAACCTCGCTTGTCAAAAAAAATTCTCACAATCGGGTCGCCACGTTAATGGATGATTGCTCTCCGAACGAGGAATCGATTGGTGGGGTCACACGATCGGTTCGAGTCCTGTTCAGCGACTCTGGAGCTCAAAACGCGTCACGAGTTTTGGCCGCCTCCACCGGTCTTCTGGCCCACTGTGCGCAGGTCTCCCTCAAGTGACCGAACGGCCAACGGGAATCAAACGAACAAACGGACCGCGGCCCCTGCCTTCTAGATAGTAACGCGCAGCAACGCGCAGCACCGCGCAGCACCGCGTAGCACCGCGTAGCACTGCCCCATTTGGCCCCGCGTAATCTCCAGTGCTATCTCGCCGTATCGCCAGGACGGCTTTGTTCCTCCAACAACAATAAAAACAACAACAACAAAAGCGTCTGGCGGCATTGGCGGGCTACTCAGCTCGCTGGTCGCTCCAGGTTGGCGTAGCGTATTCCGAGCGCGTATTTTTAACCACGATCCATCATTAGAGCCCCTCTCCAGTGGAGGGCCGCGTTCCGGGCTCACTCTTTTGCCACGCCCCCGCCAGCCAGGGGCAGCCAGGGGCAGCCAGGGGGTGTCACTGGGATCGCGTCCAGACTCGGGACACGGCCGAAACGCGCCGCGTCGCCGCGCTCGGCCATGCGACCCTTGTCGCTGACCGCCAAACCCCCGGCCGCCATAAACTTAAAGGATGCCACTGGCGATGAGTTGGGAAACAACAAGGACAAGGCGGAGGGCAAGAAGAAGAGCGGGCCGAGGGCGTCGTGCTAGGCGCAGCGCGCAGCGGGTCGCTTGCAGGGCCACGGCAGGCAAGGCAGCCACCGCCGCGCGCCGCCTCCCCCGCCCCTCGGCCCTTCGGCCCTTCGGATGTTTCGGCGCTCGCTCGGCGGCTCTCCCGACGCCAGGCAAGGCAACGCCAGGCCAGCTCCACTTGCTGGGCCCACCCCCTGGCCCCTGCTGCCCCGCCCGCCCGCCCCGCCCCGCCCCACCCCGCCCCGGCGCAGCCCCACCCCTGGTGGCTCCGATCGACGCAGCGTCGAGGGTGGGGCCGCGGCGTGGAGGGGCGTCGCGGGGCGTCGCGGGGCGTCGCGGGTGGGAGGGCGGGGAGGCCCCGCTTGGAGCCCCAGCCAGGGTCTGGCAGTGCCGCGGCCACCGTCGCGCCAAGCGAGCCACGCGGGGAGGGCCACGACGGCCACGCAGGCCTGCCAGGCTGCCCTGCTGTACCGCGCTGCGCCGCACCGCGCCGCGCCGTACCCCGCCGTGCCGCGCCCGTCCTAGTGGTCCAGCCGTGTGAATGGTGTGGCGTTAAGCATGTGCCCCAGCGAGTGGCGGCAGCGGGGGTGCGGACCGCCCGCGCCCCCCGCCCTGCCCGCCCTGCCGCCGCCCGACGCCCTGGGGGCCGTGAGGGCCGTGGTCCTGGGGGCCGTGAGGCCTGGGTGCCTGCCCTGACCTGATCTTCATCCGGACTGCGGCACCGACGAGCACCATGTTTGGATTCGCCAAGAACCTGCTCAACACGATGCTGGGCGAGGGCGAGCAGCCCGGAGGCCCCGGCGGGGGGCCCGGGGGGCCGCCGGGCCATCAGGGGGGCCCCATGGGCCACCATCCCCCTGGAGGGCCCGGCGGCCAGCTCGGCGGCCAGCACCCGCAGCCCATGCTGATGCGTGGCCAAATGGGAACGTTCCCCCGGGCGGGAGGACCCGGGCCGCCTAGGGGAGTGCCCCCCGGGCTCACCCCGCAAGGCGGCATGCGGGGCATGGGTCCCCCCATGGGTCCCCCCATGGGCATGGGCGGCCGCATGAACGGACCCAGGATGATGGGGCCACGTGGGCCTGGCGGGCCCATGGGGCCGATGGGGCAGATGGGGCCCATGGGTCAGATGGGTCCCGGCGGAGGCGGTCCTATGAGGATGGGAGGTCCAGGACCCCCTGGCGGTCCTGGCGGTCCTGGCGGCCCTGGTCCCCACGGAGGGCCGGGGCCCGGCATGATGGGCGGGCCGCACCACGGGCCGATGGGCCCCGGCGGCCCCGGCCAAGGCTTCCAACGACCTGGCATGCCTGGAGGCCTTGGAGGGCCTGGAGGACCCGGAGGACCTGGCAGTCTCGGCGGCCCCGGAGGATTAGGAGGCCCTGGAGGTCCCGGTGGACTTGGCCCTGGAGGACTTGGAGGTCCTGGAGGACTAGGAGGTCCTGGAGGACTAGGAGGTCCTGGAGGACTAGGAGGTCCTGGAGGACTAGGAGGTCCTGGCGGACTTGGAGGAGGACCCACCGGCTCCGGCATGTTAGGCGGGCCAGGAGGCTTCGGAGGACCGCCGTTCGGAGGGGCCGCCGCACACGCACCCCCACCACCTCCAGGTGAGTAACTCGTTGCGCGGGCCGCTACTGCCACACTGGTAGAACTCAAGCGCACTCTCGCGCCATGCTTCAAGCGTCCAGCGCTTGGTTTCAAGCGTAGCACTTTGACCCGCTCCTCTTCCGACTACCCAAATGCATCAGAGAACTTGTCTGCGCTCAAGCGTGTCTGCTTGAAGGAGGCGTACAATCACGCTTTTACCAGTGTGTCTGGCTTGGATACTGCTGGCTTCTCCGCGCTAGTGGAATAACCCCGGCATTCCAGTAGGGCCAGCCACCCTGCTTCCAGGGATTCCAGGCGCCGGAACAACATTCCAGGGTTCCGTACGCGAAACTCTTTCTGTCGGATTCATCTCACATTTCCCCTCCTCGGCATTCCGTGTGTTTTTAATCACGAAACCCCAGCAGAGCCGACAGCCCGTTGCCGTTGCTGACGCGCATTCGACAGTCCTGGCGGGGACAGCGAGGCAGCGAGGATGACAAAAATCAAGATGGTCGGCGGCTCCTTGAACAAAGGCCTTGCCGCCCCGACGCCCCCGCTCGGGGCGCCACCCCCTCCCCCCCTCTCCCCGCCGCCCTGGCCGCCCCGGCCGCCACCCACCGCGGCCACCATCTTAGCAGAGAAAGTGCTGACGTAAACGACCCCCCAACGTACCCGGTAGCGCGGGGACCCCCCTCCCCCCTCCCCCTACCCCCCGCAGCCAACCTCCAACACTATTCTTCCCCGGCGCTCGCTTCACAGTGTGCTCCAAGGAAGCAAAAATCGTCGCTCCTTTTAGATCAATAGGCTGCGCAAGGCGAGCGCTGTGACGCTGTGACCTCCGACCTGCTCGGCGTTCCACCGCGCCGCCCCCGGCCGCCCCCGGCCGCCCCCGGCCGCGCCGCAGCGCAAACATTTCCACCGTTTGGAAAACAACAAGCAGCGAAGCAGCGCGACGAGACTGCCGCCCCCGCGCCGCGCCACCCCCACCGCCCCCACACAGTGGGCCAGAGGACCAGTCGAGGCCGACAACATCCCGGGCGCGTTTTGAGCTCCAGAGTCGCTAAATGGGACTCGAACCGAACGTGTGATCCCGCCAATGGATCGCTCTCCGAACTAGGAATCCATTGGTGGGGTCACGCTCGGTTCGAGTCCCATTTAGCGACTCTAGAGCTCAAAACGCGTCTAGAGTTTTGGCCGCCTCCACCGGTCGTCTGGCCCACTGTGCATCCCGAGCGCCTGCGTTCCTGTGGATACCAGCCGCGCGCACGCGTGTTCGGCGGGCTGGCCTACCTGCAGGCGCGCGGCTGCCGCTACACTATTCAGACGAGGCCCTTGGCCAAAAGCATGGACATTTTTCGGATGCAACTTCATTCCGAAACCGTTATTGTCCATACGTGTTGGGTTCTATGACGCTACAGAAAAGCAGTGCGGTATTTCCCCCTCGGAAGCAGGGTCAATTTTTGGCGGCGGATGCCACGAGGCGCCTCGTGACTCGATGACCTAGATGGCGTGAAACTTGCATCACCATAATGACAAGGGTGACCTCCTGCAGCAGGTAGCAGCTGTGGGTGGAAGCAGCAATTAGGACCTCCTAATGACCTGTGTCGGCCCTGACTGCGGCCCTGCGCTGCCCTCTCTCTCTCTCTCTCTCTCTCTCTCTCTCTCTCTCTCTCTCTCTCTCTCTCTCCTCTCTCTCTCTCTCTCTCTCTCTCTCTCTCTCTCTCTCTCTCTCTCTCTCTCCAAATCACTCTAGGCCAGCATGGCTCCAGCCAGGAGCGAGGCCAGGGAGACTTCAGGTGTCTAATGAAGGAAATCTCCCAGTGTTCGTCGTCGTGGTCGTTCGGGGCAAGCAGAGCACTGTCGGGGAATTTCCTGCTGTCGAATTCCTACACTGCGTGGGAATTTGTTTTCGCACTGGCGCAAGAACGAGGTGCTTGACCGGTGTGCCAAATTGACCTCCGCAAAACTGGCCGGTGCCGATGCTTGCTGATGGGACACCACGAGTGGGGGGGGGAGGGCGTTTGACGGGTCTGTGGCACACCGGGCAGGCCTGGCACGCCACTGTCAGGCGGGATGGGGAGGGGAAGGGCTCTGCGGACAGACTGGCGCGGTCACCGAGACAAGGGAAATGCATTTACCGAGTACTCAGCAATTTCTCATGAGACAGGCTGGCCGCGCGGGGAATCTCATTGGCCCGTGGTGCCGCGGGGACGACGGACGGACGGACTGACGGACTCAATCGACCAGCGACACATCTCTCCTCTTCGACACCTTCCTAAATGGATCACGACACACCACTCTGGGCAAGCTGCAATAGCCCCCGGGCTGCCGGAGGCCCTCGTATCGTTATCTTTCATGCAGGAGGAAGGAGGATGCACACTGGTCAAAATAGAAAAGTTCAAACTTTCGAAAAAAAAGTAGCACGTTTAGCCCTGTAGTTGACTTGTAGTAAAAATAAGTTAAAATCCTTCGCACCCTGGGAAGAATTTCTTTGCATCCTGGATTTTCTTTGTATTACAAACAAATTTATTTTTATTACCAATCAGGATAAATTAGATTAATTTTCATGTCAAAGTGACATCATTTTTGACCACTCTGTCCTTTCTTCGGCAAGTGTCATTCTGATAATCTGATAACCAAAGTTTCGGCCGACTCACGCTTTTCTCTGGGCCGCCGTTCGCCAAAAGATCCTCAGCCAGTAAAATCACGGCTCTCGCCGGAATGCCGAATGCCATCCGTGACCCTCGGGTCGGCCGATGACTGTCCCAACAGCTGATTCCACCGAATTATTCACTGCTGGAACTTCGTGATAATTCGTGACAGGCGGTGTGACAGGCCGCGCCCCCCGTCGCGGCACACTGCGACACCGTGACAGTCACGGCCGACTCGTCACGCGACCCCGTGACGGCCGTGACGGCCGTGACGGCTTGGACCGCAGTAACGAAATGAACGCGCAGGGACCTGCTGGAATAAAGGAGGAGGGACCGAGGCCGAGGCCAGGCCAGGGGTAGGAATGACAGAGACTCCGGAAATTGGATTCTGCTGATCTCCTTGACGCTCGTTTAAGGGGTGGGGGCTGCCGGTGGCGGGGCAGGCAGGCGAGCGTGGTGAACACGGCGACGTGGACACGCTGTGGGCGTCCACACGGTCCACACATGCCGTGCCTTGCCTGCGACCCACCCGGCGCCACGAACCAGCCCCTCGCCCGCCACCGCCCACCACCGCCCACTCACCACCTCACGACCCTCCACCCCCGCCCCGCCCCGCCCCGCCCCGCCCTGCACGTCCCTCAAAGTCTGGCGAGAGCCCCTGCGGAATGGCGCGACGTGAGACAGCCAAAGGAAAACTGGGGCTACGTCAGTTGGAACGTAAGCCCGTCTTGTCACAGTCGCCCACCTTTCGTTTGAATTTTTAAGTCTCGTTTCTTTAAATTTCGTGGATCATATTCGTTTGGGTTTCGTGTTGCTGGGAGTGTCTGCTGGTGCCACAGAGGCAGAAACATCCCCGATTTAATTTTTCCCCTGTCAAAGGGAGTATCACCGCTGGAATTCCTTATTGAGACTTTGATGCCACCCCCTCCGCCCCTTCCTCGCCAGGGCCAGGCCTGGCCAGGCATGCCTGCAAGCCTGCAATAACATTCCTGATGTGTCCGGCGGCCGTGGGGGCTACACCTACCCAGCCTGGGGAGGAAGTTTACCCCTTTGTGTTCCTTCATTTTCACGCACTGTACGTGCGTCTACTCGTCTTCTTGCTTCCACTGTTCACCAGAAAACAAGACCAGAAGCCCTACTTTACATGGCAACACCAAAGCTCCCTGTCACGATGCGTGCACCGCAAACTCAACTGCATTCTTAGAAGACATTGTGCTTCAGCACAATGCTCGCATCGAAAAGGGTGAAACCATGATTCTCCATCCCATCCTTCCCAAGAGTCGTGCACTGACGTCAGAGGCGGCAGTTTCCCGCTCTAGCGTCGCGGCTTATTCACAGTCCGGTTGCATTCATTTCTTTCTCGTTTCGCGCGTCTGGGTCGCACCGCCTTGCTGTAACTCACGTGAACTCGCGGCGGCGGGGAGAGAGGGGCGCAGGGTGGCGCAGCACAGTGGGCCAGAAGACCGGTGGAGGCGACCAAAATTCTAGACGCGTTTTGAGCTCCAGAGTCGCTAAATGGGACTCGAACCGAACGTGTGACCCCACCAATTGCTCTCCGAACGAGGAATCCATTGGTGGGGTCACACGTTTGGTTCAAGTCCTGTTGAGCGACTCTGGAGCTCAAAACGCGTCTGGAGTTTTGGCCGCCTCCACCGGTCTTCTGGCCCACTGTGCGCAGGGCGGCGCAGGGAGGACCGCCCCCTCTCTGTTTACGCTCCATCTTCCAGTGCCTGAGTCCCCGTGTAAACATCTCGACAGCGCGGATTAGAATCCCAATCGGGTCGGCCGAAGGGCGCCGCTATCAATTCCCGTCGGGGTGAGTCGATCCGGAAAATTTAAGCCTCTTAGCCAGGGCTTTGGACGTAAAACGCGCGAATCAAGAATTTCGCATTGTAACACCACTTTTTGCTCTCTCATTAATTGCAGTAGGTCCACACATAAACATGAGTCCTCCAATCAAGGCCCGTGCGTGATATCAACCGGTCTTCGTCTTGTGGCTGAAACTCGCAGTGTCACCCGGTGTCACCGCGCATTTTATTTTCGCTCTCTTCGGATTTTTAGAAACTGGTTTCCACGAAACTTTCCGGATGGTAAAAAGCACCCCAGCGGGCCTGGAGGCGGTCTGGGGGCGGCGTGGGGGCGGCGTGGGGGCGGCGTGGGGGCGGCGTGGGGGCGGCGTGGGGGCGGCGTGGGGGCGGCGTGGGGGCGGCGTGGGGGCGGCGTGGGGGCGGCGTGGGGGCTGCGTGGGAGCTGCACGAGCGATAAAATCGCATTATGCCCCCTGATTGCCCGTGGAGCCGCCCCCTCCTCTGTCGCCGCCCGCGCCGCCTCAGACCGGGCCATTATACCGTGACAGGGTGGCCAGGAGACCCCGAGGACGCGGTCCGAATTCCGCGCGCCTCTCTAAATTGAGTGGAACAATAAATCGCGAGCGGACGGACGGGGAGGATGCTATCGTGGGCAGAGGGGTGGAGGTAATTGCAGCGTTTGTTCCGCGATGAGCGGGCGCACCTGTTATCCGACAGCAGCGGTCTGAGAGTCGTTTTCGTCGCGCCGTCTCTCTCGCGCCGATACGGGGCGGCCCTGAGTGCGAGAGAGACAACAGAGCGACACTCTCGGATGGAATCGGTCTGCAGCGCAGCCGAGTCAGCGCCTCTGCACTGCGCAAGCTGCGAACGCTGCGAACAACGCTGCGAACGCCGCGCCCTGCTCAACAGCAGAAAATTAAAGCGACTTACGGTGTCTCGCTTTCTCGCCGGACCGGACGGAGGCGCCGCGGAGGGCGGAACTTGGCACACTTTGCATATGTTGTGTCATTGATTTATTTTTGCAGTGTGGGAGGGTCCGCCGCGGTCTGCGGGAGTAGGAGGGCTCATCCCTTCGTGCGCTATCTCGCTCTCGATTGAAAGCCAGCCTGCAGCCGACTGGGGTCGCTCTGTCTCTCCCGCACTCCTGGGGGTGCGAGAGGTGCGAGAGAGACAGAGGGACGGGGCCGTGCCTCACCGCGTCTGCAGCGGGCGGGACGGTCAAGGCGGGGCTGGCGGGGTGGCGGGGGATGGGGAGGCCGTAGCGTAGCCTGGCGTAGCCTGGCGTAGCCCCAGCGAGGCGGGGTGGGGCCGCCCGTCGTACTACACGCACTACGCTGCCGGGGAGGGGAAGAGAGGGGGCGCTGCAGCGAGTCGCTGGTGTGTGTGTGTGTGTGTGAGAGAGAGAGAGAGAGAGAGAGAGAGAGAGAGAGAGAGAGTGGTGTGTGTGTCCCTCGCGCTGCCCCCGCGCCACTGCCCGACCCCGGGAATCGATTCACCGAGATGAGCGGGACAGGACAGGTTGGCGGACTCAGACGCCGCCACCCCCCCCCCCTTTTCCCCTGCCGTCCCGCCGTGTGACTCCCACACTGCCGTTCCAGCGCTCACCGGGCCACTCGCTTGGCGGGACAGAATCTGTAGCCGGAGATCGGTTTGTTGCTCTGCCTCTCTCGCACCCTTAACCCTGATGAGTGTGACAGCGACAGAGCGACGACTCTTTGGAACCGCTCGACTGGAAGCAGTGCCGCCCCGGCGGATCCGTGGCGCCAACATGTGGCCCTGCTTCGCTTGCTTTTCCGCGGCCGAGTGGCCAGCCAGGCCTCCGAAGTGCAAAGGCTGCCCGACGGACCAGCCGGCCACTGTGCCGACGACGGTAACGCTCGGGCAGCCGCCACAGGTCTCAACTCGGATTCCTCCCGAGATCCCGAAATCCTGACATGACGTCACGCCAGCCGCGACACCAGCAAACCCAGTCGCTTGAATGTATTGGAGAACAAGGAAAAAACGACGCGCGGCGTCTGCCGCCTCTGACTCACGGACTGTACAGTGTGGGGGTGCGAACCAACACAACGGGGCAATCAGGGAGACGGCGAAACGCGTGGGCAGGCGTTCCAGACTGGGAACGGCTGTCAGACGCCGACCCCGACGAGGCCGACGAGGCAGACAAACACTTGGGGGCTGTTTTCATCCGACGACTCCGTCCGACCTGGCTGCGAACCTCGCCGCGCGCGGTGGCTGGCGGTGGCTGGCGGTGGCTGGCGGTGGCTGGCGGCTGGCGCTTCGCAGAGTGTTATTCAGAGGGGGCGTGGGCGTGGAAGCAACGCCCGCCCACGCCCGGCACGGCCAGACTCCGGTCTGCTCCCAGCGTGCCTCCAGCGTGCCTCCAGCGTGCCTCCAGCCGACGTGGGCTCGGTATTTATCTGTTATCCCACGGGGCGGAGCTCCACCGCAACGACCAACCCCTCCTCTTTTCCCCTTTTCCACCCACTCCAGACTCACCTTCCTCAGCCAGCCTTTATCCACCGACCAGTCTGATAACTCCGGGAGGTACACTGTATGAACTGGCAGAGCAGCCCCCCTCCCCTCTACCCCCTGCCTGGCCCGACCCCAGTGCCCGGGGCTGCTCCCACTATCTCGTCTTCTTGTCGAGTCCACGGAGTTAGATGGCTTCGGTCCACCACTCACCTGGAGCCTGCCCTACCCTGCTTAGGAGTGTGTGACAGAGAGAGAGGAGGGGGGCAACCACCAGCAAACCATCAAACACAGAGTACGCACGGTTAGAGGGAGGTTCGATTTCGCGCATCATAATGTTCCCACGAGAGTAACTATGAATTATTTGAAACGATTTTAGCTTTAGTCTCTTTAGAAACCATTTTTTTGGGTGTGGGGCCACAAACAATTTTCTCTCCGATCTGGTTCCGATTGCATGGCGGATGTCCTGTCCGGCGAGTGGCCGTGATTGCGGCGATACTGGTTGCGCCACGTGCCGCCGTGTCCCGCCACCGCACAACAGACAAACCTCCCTCGTGACGCGGGGTGACGCCGTGTGACGTCACCGACCGCATCGTGTGGGGGCGCAGGCTGTGGCTGCAAGCCAGCTAAATGGAGTGGAAGTAGCTGATTGCGCTGCTCCCCCCCTCCCTCCTTGTTCCCGCTATGCCTCTCCATGCCGTCATCCCTTCAACCCTTCAACCCCCCCCCCCTTTTTCCAAGCCGCTCCATTGTCTCTTTGTGCGGACTGAGGGGGCTCCAGTCAGCCCCAGCCTGGCAGCCCCAGCCTGGCAGCCCCAGCCTGGCAGCCCCAGCCTGGCAGCCCCAGCCTGGCAGCCCCAGCCTGGCAGCCCCAGCCTGGCAGCCCCAGCCTGGCAGCCCCAGCCTGGCAGCCCCAGCCTGGCAGCCCCAGCCTGGCAGCCCCAGCCTGGCAGCCCCAGCCTGGCAGCCCCAGCCTGGCAGCCCCAGCCTGGCAGCCCCAGCCTGGCAGCCCAGCCTGGCAGCCCCAGCCTGGCAGCCCCAGCCTGGCAGCCCCGCCTCAGCCCACCTGGTAGCCCCAGCCTGCAGCCCAGCCGGCATCCCCAGCCTGGCAGCCCCGCCTGGCCCCCAGCCCAGCCCAGCCTGGCAGAGCTGGCAGCCCCAGCGGCAGCTCCAGTCAGCCCCAGCCTGGCAGCCCCAGCCTGGCAGCCCCAGCCTGCAGCCCCAGCCTGGCAGCCCCAGCCTGGCAGCCCCAGCCAGGCACCCAGCCTGGCAGCCCCAGCCTGGCAGCCCAGCCTGGCAGCCCCAGCCTGGCAGCCCCAGCCTGGCAGCCCCAGCCTGGCAGCCCAGCTGGCAGCCCCAGCCTGGCAGCCCAGCTGGCAGCCCACCGGAGAGCCTGGCAGCCAGTCAGCCCAGCCTGGCAGCCCCAGCCTGGCAGCCCCAGCCTGGCAGCCCCAGCCTGGCAGCCCCAGCCTGGCAGCCCGGCCGCCATGCCACTGTTACGCCCACAAAGTCACGGCGCCACGACCCACCGGCCGCGGGGATCACACAAAGAAGAATAAAGAAAAATGGACCACGTGCTGCGGGATTACCCCCACCCCTTCCTCCCCGTGCTTCACCGTGCTTGTTAGCTCGGCCTTTATAAGCAGGATGGCCAACCCATCCTTCACCAACCAAGTCGGCGCGTGCCACCCCGTCCCGCTACACTCTCACGGCACCAGTGTTGGCATCCTGATTTCCTTTTTGTTCCTTACTTCTCTGTGTAACCCGGTCGTTTTGTTCTGTGCGCAGGTGGAGTTCCAGACGTGGATCTGAGTCATCTTAGCGAAGAAGAACGGGCGATGATTCAGAATGTGATGGCGAAAGCGCAACAACTAGACAAAGGAGAAACAGGGCCAACAATAAATAGTAGAAAGTAAGTGTACGCCGACAAAGCTTGCTTCGTCCCGAAAACTCGAATTCGCATCACCCTTTTGGCTGGCAGGAATCTCCCCATATGCATTTGCCCCCTCGGCGGTCTCCTCGTTTTGAGGCTTCGTGATCTCTCCCTGTCCACGAAACAAAAAAGCCACTTTAAAAACCCTCGCTGTAGAAAAAAGCAACACGGGAAAGAGATTAAAAGGCCTTGACCTCAATCCTACTTTTTCACCACAGAAACCGACACGCGAGCAGTGAGGGTGGGATAGGGGATCATTTTTCGTCATCCCATTATTTTTATTTTTTTCGGCGGCGGCTTGTTGTCGATAGCCCGTCCCACCACGCAGACAGACAGACAGACAGACAGACAGACAGACAGACAGACAGACACAGTGGGTAGTAACCTTGACCCCGCCGGGCCGCGCCGGGCTGCGCCGGGCCACGCTGGGCAGTGGGGTGCATGGCGCATCCTTCATTATTCATACGATGGCCGTGCATCCTCACGCACGCGGCAAACACGGTTCCCGTCATTTTATCATATTTTTTGGAATTCCCAGGAAATCACTCGCGTCCTGCGTAAAGGCTACCCGGGATTTTTTTTTGCCGTGCACTTGCTGATCCTAGCCGTCCTGCGTACAGGCGGAGCAATAAGACGATTTGCGCGGAACCCTTTCGTTTGTTTTGGCCGGTAAGAGTGTTGAAAATGACGGGCCGAGTAAAAGCAGAACGGATTTCGTTTCAGCGAGTCTGAGGCGCCTCGAAACTTTTGCGAGCGCAACTCTGAGGGCACTTGCCATGCAGTAGACTTGGCTCAACTTTTCTCGAGCCGACGAGACGGTCGAGACGCGGATGCAATGCGGACTTCTGAGACCGGCACACTCTTCGTGTCATCCTTCCGTTCCTTCCTTCCTTTCCGCCACGACTTGAGAGATAATCAATAAAAACAATGTCACTGTTTTTTTGTTTTCGGCGCGTTGGCTGACGCGGTTAAAGTGAGTCCATCCGACATGTGGCGTTTTCCACGCGTGGTTCTAAACGTCGAAAATTCATAGGCGACGAAGCGACGAGAAAATTCTTCTCCGAGACACATAATTGAGTGGCGCTTGAAACCGGATCCTCCTCTTTCGAGACCCCCTCCCCTCCGCTCTTGCGTACAGTGTACGCACGCGGGGGGTTGACGTCGGCAAGTGCCACCCCCTTCCCCCGATGCCAGGCGTGTCAAGGCCTATCCTCACGCCGTGCACTCGCCACTCTAACTGCTGCAGTGCCGGTCCCAGCCTCAGCGTGGCGCGGCGCATTTCGCGATAAAAACATGGCGGTGGCAAGGCCGCAGCGGGTCGCGCTGATTTGTCTCGAGGCTGGTTCTGCCCTATTTATTCTTCTTTTGGCTGGAATCCAGGCCGTTTGCATAACGCGCCACCCCGCCCTCGAATCGATTCCAGTGCAACACCCCTCTCTCCCCACCCCCTTCTCTCTCTCTCTCTCTCTCTCTCTCTCTCTCTCTCTCTCTCTCTCTCTCTCTCTCTCTCTCTCTCTCTCTCTCTCTCTCCACGTCCTCTGCCAACCAGGCTAAAGATAGGCAGGGGACACCATTCTTCCCATTTTTAATCACCTGGCTAACGGAAACTGTTTGTTGCTTCCTTGCAGAGAGCTTGACGCACGGGGAGCACTGCACCCACCAGACAATAGAGCTAACCAATTCGGGTTCAAATCGTGTTCCATATGCCACATGCGGGAGGTAGGTGTCTATTCGCGAACAGGGAGGTGCTCGGCGGTGTACTCAAATTCTAATCATTCCCGTTTGTTTTAGGTGGGCAACGGCGTGGGGCAGGAGTGTGTTGAATGTAGAAGCCTCACCTGCCACATGTGTGGCGCTCTAGTTCCAAGCCACGACTCTAACAAGGTACGTCCTCGTCATCCCTTCCTGCTATTAAGTGACATGCCGAGAATCGCGTTCATCTGTGGTTTTGTTTACAGAATACGGAATGGATGTGTAAAATGTGTATGAAAAGAACGAATGTCCAGCCTGTGCCTTGGCAACCGCCTGGACGAAATCCTCAGACTGGCCAACAGCAACAGGTACAGTTCCACTCGAAACCTTTTGCCCGAGAAGATTCGGAAGTGGTGGTACTGACTCGCACCTTGTTTCAGCCGTGGGACTCGCAACTGCGAAGGACGGGCAGCCTGGAGCGCGAGCGTGAGTACCACGAAGGCGAGCTGGCCGAGCGGTCAAGCTCGGCCACGTTTAGAGAGACCTCCCCGTCACCGCCCCCCGCCTCGGCCGCCACGGGCCGCACCCCTGCGGCGCCCCTACCCGCCCTGCCCTTCACCCCGGTGTCCACCTCGTCGCCGGGCTCCCCGATGAGCGCCCAGGTCCAGGCCATCCTGGCCGAGGACCGGGAGCAGCGGGAGCGCGAGGCGCGGGACAGGGAGCTGGAGAGGGCGCGGGAGGTGGAGGCGAGGGCCAGGGAGCTGAGCGCGCAGAGGGAGAAGGAAGGGAGGGACTTGCTAATACTGAGGGACATCTCACCGCCGAGCTCCACCGGCTCGGAGGTGGAGGAGGAAGAGGACCTGTCACCGGAGGTGTCTGACGACGAGAGAGTCCTGTCCCCGGGTGTATCGGTAACGACCAACGCCGTGCCGGCGGTCGGGCCTTCGACCATAGCTTCCTCCCAGCCACCGTCCATCCCGGCACCCGCCCTCCCAGAGTTTTACCAGACGGCAATTGGTCCGATCCCGGAGGAGGACGAGGAGATCAGCTCGCCGACGGCCCCGGACGGCGTCTCCAGCCTCCGGCGGCGTCACAAAACACCTCCCATTTCGGTCTCGACGTCGTCCTCGACGTCACAGTCTTTGACGTCGTCGGCGACGTCGGCCACTCTCATCGCCACGACCTCCTTGGCTTCCTCGTTCTCTCCGTTGGCCACGACGACAGCCACCATCTCTGCGGGAGGTACGTCCCTCCTCAGTCGTCACAGCACCGTTAGAAAGGCAGACCAGCCAACTCGAGGATTGCCAAGATCGCGTGTCGTTGGCTTGGTGCTTTCAGTCCTAGGACAACTTGGTAGACTTGGGCTATACGCCCGTAGCGTCCCCAGTAAACGGGGCTGTACTTTGCCCTTTCCTTTCCCTCGGCCGTATAAAAGCTTAACGTTTTCGTCATTTACATTTGATTTAAAGTAGATACTTGATAGGGACATTTTATTCATTAGTCAAATTAGACGACCTAATTGCCTTAATGCATCTTCGAATTGGCTGGTCTGGCTACATGTAGGTAGAGTCGTACATATAGGGCAGTGCCTTCAGGCCTGCCCTCTTCTCTAGCCAGAGTTTTTCCACCTTAGCATGATCAGTACTCGACTTTACAACGTCATTGAATTAATGCAAAGTACTCTGTACAATTCATGTCAAAATCGATTCAAAGTCGCGCACGGCAGCTGGGGAAGTGGAAGATGCTGGACAGTAATGTGAATTAATTTGTTTTCCTTTTGATTTACCTTTTATTTGTTTAATTGTGTGTTTTTTTTTATCTTTTTCGTTGTCTTTTTCCGTCAGTCCAAATCATTCGCTACGTATTCCCAGCCCTGGCCACGACGTACTATTACAAACTGTACCAACACTTAATTCTGTATTGGAGCTTTTCTTTTCCCAGTACTTTCCCCAGGCTTTCGATATTCCTGACATATGCAGGTAGTGGTGACAATTATAAAAGTCTGCCTTAGCTTTGAGACGTAGAATTTAAATTGAAAATTAAGCGCATTACACTTGTATTACATCAAAGTTGAAAAATACGTAAAATAACGTTGGACCATGTCATGAGGTGCTGGCAGGAGGGCAACAAAACCTTCATCTTATCACGCCGCATCACAAACATACTTTTTGTCCCTGTAGCTTTGATTTGTTGTATCTTTGCTGCACCATTGATCATTTAATTGTCCGTTAACTGCATCACTTGGTCTCGGCTTTACTGTCGTTTCATTTCCACTGTTTCTCCTTGGGGGTCTGAACACGCTAATGTACTGGCAATAGAGCGCTCAGTGCACCGTGACACGTCATGAAAAGGCACAAACGAACACCACTGAAAACAAAGTGAAACTTGACGCAGACATGAGTTTCTTACGGTCACGTCGCACCTAAGAAATTCTTAGGTATATATCATGCCAGTTTTGTCCCCGAAGGGAAAGAAATATATTTTGGATCGGAAATAAACGTTCCTTTGAGTTCTATTGAGTCATGTTCATGGATTCGACGTCTGTGGTGAAGCGTTCTGTAAGTAAAAAGAGTGTACTTAGGTAGCATTTATGTTCTGCAAGTGATTCCTCGAAACCAAATAGTTTGTGGGAGACTCGTACGGGTTATCTGTGAGGATAAGAACCTTCCTTGTTTCCGGATTAGAACGTTTTACTTCAATCTATTTGCCTCTCTTGGCACGTCTTTTAAGTTAAAATCTGCTCCCCGGAAACCGTTTTGAACCATTCGCGGTTTGCCAATTAAATATTCCCCACATTTTTACTATCAAAATATTGAGTTAATCCAGTCATAAAGAGTGAATTTCTGGAGAGCCCCTTAGCTCAACAGGGTGGAATCCGTAAATTTTACGTGCAAGTTGGTGTGTGTGTGTGTGTGTGTGTTTGCTGCTTCACTTCTTGAGATTGGTAATGATGCGTTAATTCAAATTATTCCTTTATTTTTGGTAGAAGGACTTTACTTCCGTAGACGCCCTCCTTACCTTCACATTACTATCTCGCAGTGTGCGCGAAACAGCTCTCTCCTCTTTGCTGCAACCTCCCAATTAGATCGTTTGTCTTTCCCATTTTCTTACATGTGTGTAGCTTTCTTTTCTAGACAATTTGCGGGAACGTGTATTGCAGAGATTAATTTTCTTTAGTAGACACAACAACTTCTTGCCCTTTATTTTTTGGTATGATCAATTTATTGTTGTATTAATTGGACATTCCTCTAGGAATCTTCTGCTCAGTGAACATCCTTTTAATCCCCAGAAAACTGTTCGAATCTTCTTATTTTATGGACCTCTCAACCAAACCGGTGCTACTTACTAGCACATAGTAGCACTACTTCTTGCACTTTTATAGATATAATGTTTGTGCCACACTTTAACAGCCTTATTCCTGGTTCTTGGCTGGCTAAACGTATTTGAATGTTATCCATGGCGCGAATAGTGTTCGAGAAGATGCGTTGCACAAGAGCACGACAATTGAAGACAGACTTTTCTTTTGTTTCTTTGTTTTACCTTAAGAGTGGAGTTGTACTGCGTTAGTTAATATAGTGACGTTTGTTGTTTTCGGTTTTTTTTACACAGAAAGTCAAAAGTTGGGGTTGAGCATTTTCCCGGTTTTCTTGTTTTGTGCGGTTTTTTGAAGCAAGATGAGCGAGCTTTCGTCGCTTTGTGAGTTTTGTTGCGACCCGCAGTGCCTTTCTTGTTCCCAAAATGCAACTGTACGCTGCAGCAAAAAATCTTTATGAATACGGTTAGGGACACAGGTTATGCATCTGTACTTTGTCACTTTTTCTTTACATTTGATACGCACCAGGAAGCCGTCGACTTAAATGTGCTTGACTGCTCACATAATTGATTACAGAGCTTTCAAACGCTGGTATAAGTTTGAGTGTATGCATGCAGTCGCACCCGTACTCTTCTTCTCTGAAGTGCATGTTGAGCAGTTCCCCTCTGTCGCACTACTCCATATTCCTATACCTGCATGCCGCATTCTTTCAACATTACATGGTGGAAAAACTCTGGAATTTTCCTTTGATACAGTTCATGCTCGATCCAATGCTTTTTTGTCATTATTTTTATGGCATGTTTTTGTGCGTGTTTAAGATATGGCGCGAGTCCAGAGTTTCTATTGGTATGACTTTGTAGATTGTGAAAATGATTCCACCTTAGCTGTCAGGTGTTTTTGTAATATAGCCGAGAACAGAATCTTCTGGACTGACATTATGTCAATGTCATTTGTTCGATTCGATTTGTAATTACTCTACTATATCAAAATAGAATAATAGAAAAAAAACTGAAAGTTAATCTTTACAATGCACTCGAAAATTTAGACCCAAGAGGACGTGTGGGAAACAGGTTTCGAACGGAAAGGTCAAAAATTGATATGAGTAGCTATCAGACGCTGAAATATTTTAAAAGAAGCTGTCCATTCTTACAACATTTGCCAAACTGCTTTTTGGATGTAATTATTCCAACTAAAGAACCTCATTGTATGTAAATAATTGTACCCTTCCCGTTGCCATATCTTAAAGGCGCTTCAAACATGCCCGCCTGTAGCGGTGTCAGTGAAATAACAAACCGTTTCGTTGCATGTCAGAACCTCGGTCAACTCAGATATGGCTTCATGAAGGTAAGACAACTAAGCATTTAAGAACTCAACCCCTAAGTGAAAGCTTGGGATGTGTAACTTAGTACAGTTCAAAAAATGACGCTGACAAGAAGGTAAGGTACTCTTTATACAACATTTTCAAAACCAAAGACACATATATTTATGGGCAAAGAACAAAATCAACGAACAGTATCAGCTGCCTTTGCAGGTCAAACTTTTCCTTGTGTGACTTGCAATACACAAGACCGATTGACGACAAACGGACACGGACCCATCAACAAATTTTTCGATACAGCCAGTAGACTAGGAAACTGTTTACAATAAGAGGGTGGGTTTCCATGATAACAAGCTGAACGGCGATTGAAATATTTCTACCATTCTTTTCCTAACTTATGTTAAATTTATTTACTTTTGTTGTCGCATTTTAATCCTTCTTTTTATTTTTTTCTCGTAAGAAAAAACCTTGTGACTTACCGGTTTATTATTTTTTATTCTTGTGCTTGAAGTGTCATAAAAAAGGGTATTACGACACCGAACTCACCCTGTTCCACATTGCAAGGAAACTTCAATTTCCCCTCTGCCTCTGTGCGCTGTTTAGAAACACATCTTATATATGTTCTGTAAAAGTTAATTAAGTCAATATTTGTCTTTGAAATATAAATGACCGAGTATCAAGGTGATTCTTTACTATGCTCAGAAATAAAATTTCTTTTAAAATTGATTGAACTGTAATTTTTTTTTCAATTTGTTCTTTTATAAAACAATACAATTACGTTAAAGTACGCGATTTACAGTGTATGTTATTAGTCAAATTTTCATTGAATTTTCAAGCTCTGTGTTCAGTTAACGTGGGTGTCCTGAAATCAAAGGTGTAATTAGCTGAAATATGAATTATTCAACTGTAACAACTTTCACGAGCAACCGATACATGTGCACGGGTACGGGTGAACCCAGGAAGCTGTTCGGGGAATTATCAAACGTTGCCTACTGGCAGAGTGCGACTTTTTGCAGCTTCACTGCGTTCTTGAAATGGGAATAGAAAAGTTTTCCTATATTTGCGATTGTATCCAGCGTTGTTGATTCCCAACTGTCACGAGCTTGTCATATTAAATTGATACAGTGGTCGTTAATATATTCAAAGACAATAAATAGTGTTGGAAAGCTCATTACTTGTGAATTATTAATAACAACTTTTTTCTTCAAACAATAGACTGTTTTTCTGACTGCTTCGTGGTTGATGCGTTATCTCCAGGTGGAGCATACAGTTCAACAATGGACGAAGCGACTGGGCGGGGGCCCATGAGTTCCAGCGGCATGCCATTGACTGGGTCGCAGTCCCTCCCGCAGTCTCCAAGAGGGCAGTTGCGGTCGCAGAGATCTCTCGACGGAGCTCTGGGGGGGTCCCTCGGAAGAGGTAAGGTGGTCTCGATAAAACCACTAAAAATGTTGTGCTTCCCATGGTTTCAATTTTTCGCTTTCTTTTCCAGGGACGGAATTAGGACGCGGTAGGGGTATGTCAGCGCGGCCAGGCTCAAGAGAGAGTATGTTTGAGGCTCAGCATAGGTACAGAAATATTGAAAAAGCAATCTAAGACGTATTTTAAGTAGCAGTTTTACATATACTCAACATGCGTACTTTTTGATTCCACAGGGACCTCATGGGCAATGATTACCCTCCCAGAAATGGCATGGACATAGATAGGCAACTAGGACAAGTAAGAGCAAGTTCTTTAAAATACTTACATTTTTTTGTGTCTGTAATTTACTGACGTGACATTTTTGCTTTGTTTTAGTATGGGGAAATGTCCGAGTTAAACTTTTTGGCAAAGCAGCAGCAGCAGCAACAACAACAGCAGCAGCAACTTCTACAACAAAATCAAAGTTTACAAACTCAACAATCCCAAGCTCAAAGTCAACAAACTCAACAGCAACAGCTTCAGAACCAGCAGCAGCAACTACAAATTCAACAGCAGCAGCAACAACTACACCAACAGCAACAGCGCCAGCGGGAAGTTCACCAGCAGCAGCAGTTGCAACAAGAGCAACAGCACATGCAGCAACAGCAACAGCTTCAGCAGGAACAGCAAATTCGTAATACTCCGCACACTCAGCAAATTCAACAGCAACAAGCTCTGCAACAGCAGCAGGTTCTGCAAGCGCAGCAGCTTCAACAACAACAGCAAGAGCAGCTCAACAAACTTCAACAGCAGATGCTGCAGTTGCAACAACAGCAACAAGAGGTCAAGTTACAGGCACAAGCTCTTCAGCAACAGCAAATGCAGAACAAAACCGGAAGAATGATCGATTTACAGGTAAAATTATGTCAATATCTTATAGATCTCTTCTGCTATAAATGTGTGCATAGCATTCGTAACAAACCCTACAGAACTTAAGATATTTCCATCGTTTCTGCCACTTACTCGTAGAGCAAATCACTTTTTCAACTTTCACCGAGTAAGAGAGCAGAGCGAGTGGATTTCTTTATCCTTATAAATAAAAATCCTTGCTACTTACCTCAACCTAAAATTACAATTCGGTATTGTACATATCTCGCTAGAGGATCAGTAGACTCATCCTAAGTAAAGAATAGATATTTCCTTTAACTTAATAGTCGGATATCTGCTTTGTTGCTATTCCTTTAGTGCATAGCTCTGTGTTTACCACAACCTCCCACCTCTGTTTTACCTGTGCGGTGCATTAGTTCATTTTATAAAATTACTGTTCCCCTCTTGTCTATGCATTTCTTAAAAAGATAAAATTACACGATATCAGCAACAAACTTTCAATTTCGTCGACCTGAACAGGTTTTGACTTAATCTGACAGAGAAATAACACCACACTAAGTATAATTCACATAACCTGCTGATTAAAACCAACAGTTCCCGTAAATTTGTCCAATAAGCATTTGTAGATTGACACAGTTTTGAGCACCGTCCTTGAGAAACAGAAGTGTTTTGTTGCACTCTTTGTGTGTGGTGTAGTAGTTGTAGCCTTCGGCAGGGTGCCATTTCGGCCCCAGCCGCGGTCCCCCAGGGCTCTCCTCCCCTTACGAGGGCCGACAAGGCACTGCTACCGCGACGGTCCAGCAGGTCACCCAAGTTGTCACCTATCCTGGACATGTCTCCTTCGGTCGAAACGGCCAGTCAGCTGGAACACGGCCAGGTAAAGGAATCAACCCGTTCCCCTTTCGACACGTCAGTTCAGCGTGGCGATTTCTCGAAAGCACCACACAGACCAGTCCAGTGAAACATGCATTGTAACCGCCACGCAGAGCCCAGTCACAAAACATGATTGTAAAGAACATTTATTGTTTAGTGCCACCAGAATTTCTATGGTACAAAAGAGGCTAAATTTATTGAGTGGTGTGAGTTAACAAAGCATCCTTCTGCATCGGAACGTTCCGCTTGTATTTTTGTAAGACGCGCAATTTGCTGTCGCATCTTAACACGCTTTGCTTATTTTGTTTCCATTCTGCATCCGCTTATTTAGTACTTAAACCTTAACCTCATCACACAGGCACATGCGAGCAAATATTTACGATCACACAAAAAAATTTTATTGAAAAAATAAAAATAAGCTTAATTTGATAGAATGTGAATGAAAATTAAGGCATCGTATTTGATTTTACATATAAAAGCATTCAAAGTTACTGACTTGTTTTCGTGGTTGGTATTAATACTCTACAAACTCAAGATTGTACTAAATATGCTCCAGGTATGTGCTTACTGGCAGGCATCAGACAAGCAGGCGCCACCTGGAGAATGTATTTAGTACACTCTTGAGTTTGTATTGAAGCCCAAAAGTTGGTAGAAATGCTGTGACTCGGCGGATGTGACTGACCTGGAATGTTGTTGTTTGTCCGCAGGGAGGCTCCGGGCTGGACCCGGCGCAGGCACAAGGCCTGTACGGTGCTCAAACTAGCTTGGCAGGCGCTATGGGGGGCCTGGGGGCGCACACCTCTGTGGCCCCGGGCATGACCACCCTCTCTGGAATGACTGGACTCAACAACATGGGCTCGGGGCTTGGCATGGGCGGTCTGCAGGGGATGCAGGGCCAGATGGGAGCCATGGGCAAGATGGTGACGGGCGCGCCCACGGTCACCACGTCCAGCACCAGCATCAGCGGCATGCTGGCGGACTTCAGCCGCGCACTGGGTAAGGCTGCAAGGCGTTGGAGTTGGCCGGCCTCGCGCGGAACGCTGCTTTCTCAGCAAGGCAGTGCAACCTGTAAAATGCACGAATTCGTGTGCGATGAGGTCCTGACGGGGTTTGTTTGCAGGGCTGGGCAGCACGTCACCAAGGCCGTCGCCGTCCGAGGAGCGGCCGGCATACGACCCCCACGACCCACTGGCGGCGCTCCACCCGCCGCCACTATACGGCAGCGCGGGCTCCACCAACACCTCCACGAGCTCCAGCGTGGCCGGCACCATGCACGGCCTCGCCGGCAACACCAGTAAGTCTGCAAGCTTTAGTTTTACTAGTGGTGGCCTTCTGGGTGGCTGACGAGAGTCTCTGTTCCAGATCTCACATCGACGGCCGGCATGGTGGGGTCCATGGCGGCGCAGGGCATGGCGGCGCAGGGCATGGCTGCCGGCGTAGCGGCGCAGCAGAACAATCTCCTCACGCAGCAAACCGTCGCCCACCAGCAACAGCTCCAGCACCAGGTGCAGCAGCTGGCCAAGCAGAACGCGCTGCAGCAGCAACACCAACAGCAGCTGCAGCACCAGTTGCAGCAACAGCTGCAGATGCAGCAGGAGGAGCAGATGCAGCAGCAGTACCTGCTTCAAGAACAGGCCCACCAGACCCAGGTAAACTTGTGCGAAGAAACTACAAAAGTGCCATGTTTCGAGCCATGTTTGAGTGTATGTTGACCCTCTCTTTGACGTGGCCTTCGCAGATGCTGCACCAGCAGCTGCAGCAGCAGGCAGCGCAGGCGGCGCAGCAGCAGCACGTGGTGCAGCAAGTGGCGCAGACCGCAGTGCAGCTGCAGCAGCAGCAGGCCGCCGTGCAGCTCTTCCCGCAGCACATGACGCCCCAGCAGCAGCAGATGTACCAGCAGCAGATGCAGCAGCAGCACCAAGCGCAGCACCTCAAGAAGACGCGCCGGTCGCTGCCGCACCAGCACCAGGGCGGCATGATGAACCAGCAGGACCTGGGCATGCGCCAGACGGTGAGTTGGGTATTCAATTTGCAGAGCAGTGTAAGCGCATTTGAAAACCCACGAAAGGTGTTCGGATTCGAAATCGATCAGAATGGAACGATTCGATTTTGGACTGGAGGCAGTCGCACACACTTGGTGGCGGAGGCTTGACGGATTGTCTGTTCCAGGGCCGCACGCACCTGGGCACCAGCCAGCCCGTGACGAGCGGGTCGCTGTCGCCGTACGCCACGCCTCAAGGCACGCCGGTGGGCACGCCGCGGGGGCCGCGCGACCAGGGCGGTGACTCGTCCGACACGCTGTCCGAGACGGACTCGCAGAAGAGTCTGCGCATGCGGCGCAAGCTGCCAGCCATCCCACCCGAAGAGCCCGCGCCGCTGCCCTGCAACAAGAAGCGGGACCGGAAGAGCCACTCGGCGGACCGCTTCCGGTAAGTCACCATCGCCGCTATGATGTTGACCCCCACGACGTTGACCCCCGCGATGTTCACGATGGTACTGACGTTGCCGCCCGCTGCCGCCAGGTCCTTCTCCCCGCTGCGCCAGGCGTCGCTGGACGGGTCGTCGGCGAGGTCCTCTTCGCTGATGCTGACGCGGCCCTCGGCGTCCGAGACCAACCTGCGCAAGATCGCGCACGGCGTGGACCAGGTGCCGCGGCCCGGGTCGGCGCTCGGCCTGCTGCAGGGCTCCAGCGTGGTCAGCTCCACGGGGCTGCCCGTGTCCACGTCCTCGCTGTACGCCAGCACGCAGATGAGCGACATCGCGTCCGTGCTGCCGCCCGACCTCAGGCACCTCTTGGGGCCCGGGGCGGCGGGCGCGGCGGCCACGGCGGCGGCCCACCTGGGCCACAGCGACCCCTACGGCAAGACGGTAAATGCACGCTCAGAACCTTGGGCACCGCACTGCCCAAAAATTAATTAAAAATACCAAATTTCTTTCTGCCATAAATGTACGCAGTCTCACAGGATTTTGCGCATGCGTTTGTAGCGTAGTACTTATTTTTGCGAGAAATTTCACATGCGCAAAATTGTGTGAGGCCTCGTGGAAACTTTTCCAAGAGAACACCTGGGACTTGACATAATTTGTTTCAACTTTCAGATGCCAAGCTACATGCAAACGCTCAAAGAGCAGCTCAAGGAAGAGATGCGCGCGGACAGGAGACGGCTGCTGTCACTGGACAAGGAGAGAGAGCTCCGGTTTCGGCGGGAACGGGAAAAACTGGAAGCGTTGAGGGATCCTCTCAAACGGTGCGTATTTTGGGCTCGATACAATCTTTGCCCCAGGGGTCGTTTAGCGCCTGGGTCTAGCCCTTAATGGTAATGGTGGGTAGGCAGCCCAGCAGTCATGAATGCACGCGCGCCTTGCTGATTGCCTACCCCACAGGCGCTCCAGGGCTACCTAGACCGGGCAATGCCACTTTACTTCAGTGGCGGATCTAGGGGCCGTGGCTATCCAGGAGTCAACGGGGATGCAGTTAATCCACCGCCCCTGGATCCGTACTCAGTACTTATCAGCACCTTGAACTTATTTGTACTTTTGTGTCTTTTCTCAGGCTGGAGATGCAGAGGAAGATGGCCTCGCCGGTGCTGTCCCGCTCGAGGAAGCTGCGAGTACACCGACGGCAGCTATCGGACCCCAAAATCCACCCTCCCTTTTCGCCCATCACCGAGGACAGAGATCTGGAGAACGAGTACGACCGGGTGAGCGTCACGTCTGAACTTTAACGCTGTATCAAGAAGACAACATCTTGCTGAAAGTGCATATGGCGTTGCAGGGATACTTGGGCTTCCTCCACAAACCGCCGTACAAGAGTTACGAGTACGAGTCGATAGACGACGGCCACCGGTCCGAATGGGACCCAAGCCACTCCTACCTCAGCACCTCGTACGCCGCGGCGGGCGGCGCGCTCCGGGAGACGGCCATCAACTCCGTCCTCGACGATGACCGATATTTCTCATCGTCGAGGTGAGTCTTCAAGCCGCGCGCCGAGCAGCGCCGGTGTCTCTCTGCCACACCCCCTCTCGCCCCATTCTAAGCGAGATGTTTCTAGATAGAAAGCCAGCCCACCTCAAATTAGCGTTTTGATTTTTTGTGTCAGCTCTGACACAAGACTCTGTGGCAAAAAAAAAGCCATCATTTCGTAAACTGTGCCACCCCCTCTGATTAAGCTCTGCCAGAAAGAAAATACTCAACACGATAAATTCATAGTAACTGTTGAAAATTGCAGACACCTTCAACACCGTCACGACATTATTTCAGTTGCTGACATTGTTGTGTTATTTTTCTTGATTTTTTTTCCTTTTAATTTTTGGTTCTTTTTGTTTGACACTGCGTTGCTTCGTGTCCGCGCAGTATTTGGTGAGGGGCGTGCTCCCGGTCGTCCTTCTCTACCCCTTCTTCTCTCTCTCCTCTGGCCGGTATGTTGAGACCGCACTCTGTCTCTTTCTACTTTTGTTTTCTTCCTGACGCCATTTGTATGCATCCTCCTTCCTTTGCCTTCGCCTAAATTGAGACACGTAATTCGGTCATCTTTTTTAATTCAGTTCTCTTCTACGTTGTTCATGCTGCTGTAGGATGAGTATACTCTAAAGTTGAGCACTCAGATACGCATAGCGCCTTGCGTCCCGCCAGGGATGGAAGAGAACATCAAAATTAGTTTTGCCTTGGATTCCTCACTCCTGCTCCAAGGAGAGCATGATGAAGAAATGAACTAATCAAGGTGTATCGTCCAATATTGTTTTGCTTCTTACCCTCCTATTTTAACCCCTATTTTACGTCCTGTGATTTTATTTTTTCCCACCACCTTTTTTATTTTGTCATCAGTGCTGTCCAACGTACCCGGTACTAAGATTCCCAATTTTAAGTTCCAGAAAACATAGAAATTTACATCAACTTCTACGTCTGTTAGTTAAAATGTTATACATACACAAAACCGCTCCGCATAGTGGAACCAAAAAATATTTCTGACATAATTACTAAAAGAGGAAGGTTTTCAATGCGCTAAACTCCAGGAGTGAACGACAGGAAAACGAATATTCGTTGAAGTAGAATGCTAAGTTTTCGTTCACCACCGCGTTCGCTTTGCTGTGCAATCAAATGAGAGTAACTTGAGTCCTGTCCAACACCCGACACATACAAAATTACCACTAACATGCCATAAAAATAAGCACCGCCTCTGCTGAGGGGCAGACGCAGTTTAGAATTAACGATTCCGTGGACACAAGTGACTTCTTTTGATTGCGTCTAGTATTGGTAACGAGGCAGGGCCGCATGCCGCGCATGGAGGACAAACAGCATGCCGTTGGGTGTAGTGCGGTAACGCTTGTAAATAGTTGTCTGAGCTTGTAGGTAGAGAAAGAGCTGTCAGTAAATTTGGGGGAACGAGACCATTTTGTAAATAATGTACAGCTCATGTCGGTTTGGAAGAAACTTAAATCAAGCGGAAATTTTTTGGGGCAGATTCTTTTGAGATACGAAGTGGCCCTTGTTTTGATGGGCCAGAATTCACCGGAAACGGTCGAGTTTCACGCCTTAATTTTTCAAGCAGTTGTAGCAACCGCAGTCAGGATCTTTGTGAGATACGGGTGCAGGGACCCCTGCTTGTATCTTGTAGACCTCGTTTTCTTTTTGTAATGCCTCGTTTTGCGTTTCACTCCGCGGCTCTTGTGGACCCCTCTGTCTTGCAGCCACGGGGCGCTGTCTGGTTGGCCGCAGCTGACAGGCCCGTTCGCTTTGCTTGTCGCAGGTCGGGGCTGCGGCGCTCCTCCGACGTGCTGGCCGGCCGCTCCTTGACGCGCAAGCCGCGCAAGCCTCGCTCCTGGCACCCCTCTCCCTACGGCAGCGACGAGGACGACGACGCCGTGTTCCGCGAGGAGAAGAAGGCCAAGATCAAGGCGGAGATCGCGCGCCGCCGCCGGGAGATCGAAGTGAACGACCGCCTGCACGAGGAGCTGGTCCGCCTGGCCAAAATCCGAGAGAGCGCCGAGCTGGGCTACGACACGCCCCAGACGGCGGCGTCCTCGGCGTCCTTCGCTGCCAACGACCTGGGCGTAGGGGTCCTGGGGCGGCACGCCCCCGTGGGCTCGAGGCACGGCGTGGCCGGCGGCGTCGGTCCGTCCGACTACGCCAGCTCCAGCGTGCTCAAGTCCATCGACGAGCTGCTCCTCACGGACCCCATGGACTACACCCACCACCGGTCCCGGTCGCCGCGGCGCCACCACCCTGTCCACGGCCACCCCTTGGGCCACCCCGTCCCCACCGAGGAGGCGGACAGGTCCATGGACCGGATCGCCTCCACCTTCCGCACCGACGACTACACGTCCGGCCTGTACGAGCGGCTGTCCGACTTCTCGCCGCTGACGGACTTCACGCCGCACGCCATGCCCCTCCTCCCGGACATGCCGACCAGGTCCAGGAAGCTCCTCGAGGACCTGGGCAGCTCGCCCATCACCGAATCGGTCTTGGCCCTGCCACAGAAAGGCAAGTACGGTTCCAGACTGTACGCCAAATGAAATTCGTTGTTATTTTCGACCCGAAATGCGAACGTGTACCCGTCTGCATTCGCTGAGAGGAGGATTTGTTAAGTTTTAACCCTTGAAAAAAATTGTTATACTTCACCAATGAAAATCATTAAATTGTTGTTTATTATTATAACGCGCGTGATGCTTCATCCGCAGAAAAACTTTTCTATGAGTCTATCACTAAAAGAAATCTTTCTCTTCATCTCTATTTTTTCTCTATCTCGAATCTCCACATATTACGGGAAAAGGGCTTTCTCTAAATTTTCAATCTCGATCTAAGTGATTTGGCAGGAGTCTTCATGCATGCGTCGCATTGGCAGTGTCCTGCTTTCAACCTGCATCACCACCCGTCACCGCGCTCCTGGTCGAGAGCCAAGAGTGTCTATCCCAAGCCCTATCCTTATTTTTATTCAGAGACGATTGCCATCACAGGATACGGTCTATAGTTTCCATTCCATTCGAAATTCCTCCTTGCACTGATTATACATAAGTACATTGCATCTCTCAAATTGTAGAAATCCACATTAAAATTACAATACCAGTTTCTCAAAATTGAAAACGTAAGTAGACAATTTGTCAAACCAGCACAATGAATGGCGAGAATGGCCTGTCGACTGTGATAGCAACCCTCTCTACCCTTCGCCACCATATCTTTCTTTCTCAGTGTTGTATATTTACTATCGCTTTCTGAATATTGTCACGTTATTGGCTGCTGTGTGTTTAAATGTGTGTTTTGTACGTGGGATTCAGCTGATATTCAAAACATTAGAAAAATAACATAGATAAGGTTGCTGTGATTTACTAAATGCCTAGTGTTTCATTTTATAGATTGGTATTTTTCTTTGTTTGGTGGGAGGGGTTTGGGGGGGTCTGATATACCTTGTTTATTTTTTAATTTAAAGTGGAAGTGAAAACAATAATTTGGACTGTACAAGTGTGGAAGTACCATTCCAAGATCGCAATAAGGGACAGCTTTTTTGTAGGTCATGTTAAGTGTAACTGCCATCACTTGCCACGTAACCGTCACCGTCATCATGTTCGCCATCATCAAACCATCACAGCTGTCTCTACTCCCCGACAGATCGATTTTAGTTCACGTGCTTGCCAAGATGCCAACCTCAGGGGTAGAAGCACAATATTTCGTGGAGAGAAAGAGAGAGAAATTGCACTACTTGATTCATATCAGCTTAAGAGACAAATAATAAAAAGCTTAGCGCTGGCCGGGGTTGCGGCATCGAAACCAGGCCAGGCTTTGTACATTGCCTTAATTCTTATCATTCGGTAATAAATTAAACGCTATGGTACTTAATAATTTTATTATTGACGAGAGCAAGTTTAGGTTTTGGGAGGTATTTCACGCCTCTCGCTGCTGTTGAGCCTGTGAGGCTGTTGTGATAGCATCACCCTGATGTTTCTTTTGTTTGCCTCAAAAGCAGTGTTTAACTCTCATGTAGCACTTTCCGAGTCAAATTTGTATCGGAGAATATTTCCCGGTATGTGTGAGCTCCTGTTTTGCCCGTAAATCCCATAAACTTAAGTTTTGCTGGTGTTGGAATTATTTTGTAAAAGTGTTCTGGCCATTAGGGGCACTAGGGGCACAACGCAAGTTTATTGCTATTGCATATTTTCATGTGATAGCATGCGGACTCTGGGTGTCCCGTTTACGGCTTTCCGATTACCGCCGATACGTTACCTGACTGTTATGGCTTCCGTTTTAATGCCACGGACTTCGGCTTTAATGTATTATGTACAAATGCATATACAATACACGTTTTGTAATTAAAAGTTTTTAAGGAAATCAAAGGATTTTTAAAGGACAAATACCAAATTTCGTTAATAAGCTGGCAAAGCTCTGCAAATTCGCCTGATAGGCAGTGAATTTCCGCTGTTGTCTTTATTGGACCACACTCTATTGTAACTGTTACGAAACTTTGTCACAATAAAAGGGTTTATTGTAGAACAAGGTTATACTCTTTCAAGGGCCAGTTTTACAATGGATCAATCCAAAACACAGTTTTTTAAATGGTAACAATACAATTCACTCTCAAGTTCATTTTGTTTGCCGCTGACAAGTTTTGATTGAATATTTCAAGAGCAATATCCAGCTTTATAAGACCCTGCATATTTCATTACACACTACACTGTAATCCCGTCTAGTTGGCAATGCGACTTTTCAGTGTTACTTCATATGCATGTTATTCACTTGATGTTCAAAATTTTGGATTTCAAATTATGAAATAGTATGCTCTGTTTGAAAGTGCCACGTCTATTTCTTTTTTTGAAGTGCCGCAGAAATTTGTTCAATGATTTGGACTGGAGATTATTCAATTCATCAATGAAAAATGTACTAAATTTATTTCCTCATTTGATGTTATAATTTGGGGACATTTGTGTGACATGCTTTTTGTTTATGTGCTCGTGTCTTTTTTTCTTAAAGATACTGAGGGAGAGCTGTTTACTTGTATGCAAGTATGTGAAAAGTTGTATCTAAAATTCAGACGACAAATTCCAATTTTAACTATCCCTTCCAAGAGCGGGTGAATCAGATGGCAAACAACACTGCACAGACACATAAAAGTCCCAGAAAACCGCTCAAACTAGTTGATTAGTTAAATACACAAATGTCAGGCAGCATTTATGGAAGAAACGTCCTTCAGGTATGTTTCTTTAAACGCATAGTCTTCCAATTTCTCTCAACGCATAAAGTAAAACGTTTGCTAGATCAGCATCGTACAGGCTTTCTTCGGTATATATTAGATTAGCATCAGTGATGACTATGAGACCACGAGTCGATATACTTACAATTAATCCAAATATGTAATGCTCCTCCACCCTCTTCATGATTGTAACAATTTTCGCATATAAACAGACTGTATGCGGCATTTTTCTTGCTGCAATTTGAAATAGCACACTCCATAATTAATATATTTCTTACTTGAAAAAAAAAACGAAACATAATAAACAAGCCGGGAATCAGCGGTGGACGACGAATGGTCTAGATTTCTTTGAGGAGGGCTGCTTCGGCTTCCAAAAAGATGATCAAATCGTTAAAAACTAATCCAGATCGAGTAAGTACTATTTTAAAGAAGTAGCCCAAGTAATCACTGATTGCATGTTGCATTCACTCTTTGCTCTTGCGCAGACAAGCTCACGATCGCTTTCGTAAATGAGAACGTCGAGCACGGAACTCACGTAGCCAATGGAACTGTGCAGCATGAAGTAGGCCAGACGCACTGTGGTGGACAGGCGAGAGAGGGATGCAGCATATAACAGATGGCTTTTAAGTGCCAGATATCCCAAATTTTTGTTTCTACACTCACATAGCCATTCTTGCAGCTTGAATATTTTGGAATTGTCGAATTCTCTGCAGTTTGAATGTTAACGTTGCATTGCTGTACCTTTAAAATAGTGATAAATTTGTAGCATTGCAGTCACATTAGTCAATGAATTTCAAAATTGATGACAGCCTTTAAATTCCTCTCAGTCATCCATAAACAGAACTGGATGTCTGCCTTGTATCATAATGAAACGTTCATACCTCTCGTAGCATATTCATACAAAGTCTAGACCAGTAGAAGTTCCGTTGGTTCCCGGCATGGCAGGAGTACAAAGCGTAGGCTGGTGTAAGATATTTAATTTTTTCAGAGAGGTGAAGTGTTAGGGTCTCCTGTCAAACCCCTCTATGTTTTGCCTCAACGCTTAAAAATCAAATATTTATACAAAATTATCATCTTATAAACCCTTGACTCACGGTGATTCCTTGCTGTGTGTTGAACACATTAAAGGCCATCTGTATTGTAATTCCCGCATTTTAGTGGAAGGAGACTTGTGTTATAGCGGGGCCATATCTTACACTTCGCCGAAACGTATATTAATATGTTATTATGTTGATGCACGCACTAGTTAGTAGATGATAGTGTTCCAGTATCATCTAGAAATATTTTTGCAAGTATTGTTCCTAATGAAAAATTCAGAATATGTGCAAAGTGCTTCGTTTAGCATGAAGGTGTCACTTATTTGTCATATGGTTGTCCGGCACCGAGCTTTTAAAACGAATGTTGCTGTTGCGTTCTGAGAAGCCCGTAAGCCCTTCTGGCACTTTTCATCGAAAACTATGCCTTTTTCAGCGAACATAGTATTGTGCACTTTTAAAATACTCTGTATACAAATAACATTTGACACTGGCATTATATGTTAAGGTAAAATGTGCTTCGCTTGTATATTGTTAGAACCAGTTCTTTGACAAATGTGCCACTGCTACAGGGTGCACCCTTATTTAGGACATTCTCTATTTTTGGAGGAAATAGCACTGCCGCTGGACTTCCTTTGGTAGAAATGCCAACAAAACTGCTTCAGATGCTCACTATATACTGTCAGCTTTATCAGCAAGATGTATCTGCTAACGTGTTTTTGTACTTTTGAAACGTAGCTACTCATCACACTAATTTTTTTCATGCATTTGTACGTACTTTTACATTGTTCTAGTTAATTTGTCAGTGTTGAATTCCTTCGTCCCTGCGGCAAGATGTGTCTGTACATCACATATTCCCGGGAACTTTCATCAAAATTTATGAATGTAGAAATATATTAGTGAATGACAGAACAGACTTCAATGCTGCTGTCGCGTAACCACTACAACTGAACAAATGCACATCTATTGAAGTAGCCGCACTAGAGATTAACGTACACTTGATCAAAAGAAACTGAATGTTCCAGCTTTGTTACTCACACATCAAAAACCAGTCAGCATGGGTATATTAGTGTAAAATTTGATTGGTATACTTCTTTAAAACTTCTGTCTGGAATTGGTGTTTTAAATTCATAACTCGATATGCATCTTGTTATGCCCACCCCATGCTGACTCTGACACAGGTTTTCGAGGGTGAACCTAAACTGAGATCGTGTGCTACAGGTTCGAGCCCCACATCTCAACAAAGGGTGCAGTCACCAAGGTCACACGAGTCACCCTGTCGGACAAGTCCCCGAGGGCACCAGCGGCGCAGCCCCAGCCCCAACGTGGCGCAGTCCCCGCGGGGCCGTCGAGGCCAGCCAGGCGGTCGGCCCGGCCAGCCCGGCCAGCCCCACGGAGACGAGGACGGGGCCAAAGAGCCGCCGCGAGGCACGGGCAGACAGCTGCCTCAGCTGCATGGGAGGCCCCCCAGGGGCCATCAGGGTCAGCAACAGAACCACCCTTCCGCCAGAGGAGCCCCGCAGTCACGAAGGTCCCAGGTAAAGTTTTCGGCCCTGTGAAACGCCGTGTTCCGTATGCAATGGCATTTAGTTTGCTTCGAACGTCTCAAATAAAGCTGTAGCACATTTCGTTTCAGGAATCCTTGCAACTGTCCACCCCAAAGTACAACTTCCCCGTGAACAGATTCTTGCTCACGCGTGATCCCAAAGACAGATCTGTGGCAGGTGAGAGGGACTGTACGTAACTCTTCGTTACTTACGCCTTTCCTCTTCTCTATCGCTCGGCGGGGGTTGCCGGTCGCATGCTCACGTGCCTCGTGTTTGCAGGGAATGGTCTCGGTATGAGAGTCTTTGGAGGAAAAGAAATTCCAGGCTCTGGAGGGGTCCTTGCCGCTTTTGTAGCAAGGATATACCCTGGCGGGGTCGCTGACCGAGCAGGAGACATTCGAGAAGGTATTTGTTGTTATTAATCCAAATGCATGCTCCCTCTTCTTTAGCAAAGTTGCGTGTGGGTTTGAGCACAGTTTCCTTTTCTTATTTGCGGAGCAAGTTTGATCACAAAGCACCTCTTTCAAACTCTTTCCTAATACACTATATTCAACTGAATTCACCATTTCACCCTTTCTTGTCTATGCGGCAGTTTACCTCCTATGCATGATAGAAACAGGAAAAGTGACGATAAAAATCGAAAACTTTGGCCCGTTTCGAATATTTTAAATATTCATGACTCTTGTTTGCATTTTAGGTCAACAAGAGACTAATTTTGGTCATGGTCAAAAATGTTGCAATTTTTGTCGTAGCGCCTTCAGAAACATGATACCTTGTCAAATCCTAAATCAAATTTGGATGGGCCAAAAAATATTTGTGTGTAGTTAGGCACCTACCGTGTGTTCCTTCCTCTCCTCCTGTGTGGAAAAAATCTCACTGGCGCCACTTTTTTCATACTTCTAGTAAGTAGCCTCTTTGCCGAATTTTCTCTTCTTCTCTTCGCGAACCACCTCTTAAAGGTAACACGCTCTTTTTATAGCTTTATGCACTATGACAACCTTGATAAAAAATAAAAGCCACATAGAAAATTTTACTCCATTTTTATTATGTCCACTTTCCATCAGACTGATTCACCAAAGCCACCCCTATTTTCACGAAAGCTACAGTCAATTTGATTATAGACTGTATTGTATTTTAATCACCCAAACTCAAAGCATTTCCAAAGTGTCCCCTTATTGCCTCGCCTCACTGTTAAGTGGTCACAGATAGAAACGATAAAATGCCCTTTTGAGGTAAAATTAAAGTACATTTAACTTCCGAAATGAGTTCAAAATAAAACCCAGGAATAGGCCAATCTGTGTATTGATAATCTGGAAAAAGAGTGTGGCGATATGTCTCAGAGTAGATTTGCGTATGCGTCCAGGTGACCAAGTTCTAGAGTGGAACGGGATTCCGTTGACGGGCAAAACGTTTGAGGAGGTGCAGTCAATACTTGCCCAGACGCAGACAGTGGAGGAAGTTGAAGTCGTTATTCGAAGGTGAGCACCAAACACAGCGAGTTGCGGGATACACCGTTTCCAACAGTAGCTGCTCTTTTCTAAGCAATTTCTTTCTCGCTTTATAGCCGGCAGGGTTCCTCGCGGTCTGGCTCCGCTCCACGCCTCGACGTGGACCAGGACAGAGTGCAGGACCGAGTCCAGGACAGGGACCGCGACAGGGGAGCGTATTCGAAGGGGAAGCCGTCGCCACTCGCTGGACATGAATGGAAACGCCAGTGTGAGCAGCCGGGAACGACATGGAAGCTCATCCACCCACGGTGAGCTCAAGGACCATTTTAGAGTGCCTTGCTCAGAAAAACAGGATACGCTAACTGACAAAATGCGCAGGTGACGACGGAAGACGGAAGTATTCTGAGGGGGACGCCCTCTCCGAAGGTACTGTTGCCACAGAGGCTAACGTAGCTCACAGAGGAAGCGCCGGCAACAGTCTAGGCGAACTCAGCCTGCAGGTACTACAGCATGTTAAATGCATGACAGACATAAAGGCGCAATAGAAACTTCTGAAATTAAGTGTTTTGTTTATTCTTTACTGTTAGGTCTGCTACGACAAGCAAGCAAGCATCTTGTACCTTATTGTCCACAAAGCACGAAACTTGCCTCCAATAAACAACCAGGGTAATCTGGCACCGCCCGACCCGTACGTCAAGGTGTACCTGCTACCTGGAAGAAAGTAAGTAAAGTAACACATGAATTTCGTCAGAAATTACTTGCTTTAAAAAAGTTACTGACCCCACCGATTGATTTCCAGCCTGGAGAACCAGAGACGCACAAAGGCATGTTCCCGGACTCAGGAACCTGAGTGGAATCAAACCATGGTTTATGAGGGTGTTCCACCCGAAGAGCTTCCCACTCGATACCTCGAAGTTACCACCTGGAACTACGATGTTTCTAAGCCGAACCCTGCAATGGGCGGCGTGCTCCTGGACCTAAGTGGTTCGTGGATGGCACTTCATGACCTCACAATTAGTTTTCTTGGAACGAACTTATTGGGTAATTTACTTTTGTTCAGATACGTCGGTTCTCGACGAAGAGCCCGTCTGGTACACTCTGATGGACGGTCCATCCCTTCAGGCCGCACTTTCCCGCCTCACCAGCAAGCGCACTGGTTCTGTTTCTACTTCTATCTACGGCTCCGGGACAGGTTAGTCACTATACGAGGAAAAAGCATTTATTGGAACTCAGGGAACCTCTCAGGGCTTTGCAAGGTTCCTTCGTGTCGCTGGACGGGGATAGTCTTATTCAACTACTGCTGCTGACAAAGATACGAGAAGGTGACCACGTGCACCAAGTTCCTAGAACGCTCCGAAAGAAAAACAATGTTCTACGGAACTACATTCTGCGTCCAGCTCTTCATCCCGACAGTACCTCGCTGCTTGAATGTTTCAGAGTTTTGGGTGTGCATTTGACGTGTGTAACGGCCCTTCCTTTGAGTGGAGAATTCCCCATTTTCGTTTTGATTTTTGTCACCTCACCCAGGCCATTTGGATCAGCTGAGCTGCTCCCCTTTTTTAGTAGGTGCGTTTCGCTTGATTTTCGCAGAGGGGACAATCGTCATCTTTTCTTTTGATTTTCACCCCCCTCTGCGCTTAATTGCCACTCCTTGGCCTTCATCCTTCCAACCCAAATCGCACAGGAGCGAGCAGGCTGCAAGACTGCAATCTGTGTCCCTTTCGATCGTGACGACTTGGTTTATTCTTTTTTAGGCCCGTATTCGCCACTTCTCTTGCGCGCAATGTCTTTCTTTGACCACCTGTTTCACCTGAGTGGGAACTGAACGGCAGGTAAAGTACACCTGGATGATGACGTAAGACTACTGCAGCGTGCCTCCGGTTTTCCGGTTTTCGACTTGCCGAGTGAGATGCCTGGGCGCTTGCATACGTCCGCACCGTTTTCTGTTATCCTACCTGTGTTTGATTGGGTAGCTTGCCTAACAGCGTCCAAATGCTTGTTTCAAAAAGGCCCAATCTGGGCACGTGGTCGACTCAGTTGGCATCCGCGCCGGACTGTTCTGATACCGTTTCCAAACTTGTCGGTGCTTTGCGTGGAACAGGGCCTCTCACTGGACTGAATCGATGTCTGCATGAACGGCAAGGCCATTCTGCTCGCGAGCATGGGACTCTAGAGATTGTCATGGTAACAGTGTTTTGCATCCTTGTTGCGGCTTGCCCCCTGCTCGCACCCCGAAAAGCGATTGTCATGCCCGGTCATGCCCCTTCCGAACCCCATGCATGGACGTGATGGCTGCAATGTGCTCTGAAGTGAGAGCCAGAGCACCCTCTCACACATTGTACTGCCTGCCGTTCCAACGGACACCCGTAGCCACTTTGTGTTCATGAATGCCCCAAAGATGTGCGTGTGTTGCCTGTGTATTCTTCCCTTTCTCTCAATTTTGCTCAGAATTATATATAGTAGATTGTTGCCTACATCCCCATTTTGCTGGTTCATGTTGCATTTTTCTGCGTTCATGCAATGATTTTTGACCATTTTTAAAACACATTTTTGCTAGGAGAACAGGTTCGGCATACCGATGGCCAATGTTTTGTTTTGTGTCACTGAAAACTCCACTCACGCATGATACGGTTATTCAAAACTGGAATTATGAATTATGGACACGGGCAATGTCGTGTTGTAGTGAACCAGAAGGCGAGGATGGCCTCTCGCAACCCCATCCTGTCCACGGCAGCCACCATGGGCGCCCCGCTCGGCTCCCAGGGCTGCCACGGCGGCTTCTGCTGCGTCTTGTAGCGCTGCTTCTTGTGGCGCCAGTTCTTCTTCTCCTTCCGCGCTGTGGTTGTTGCAGCTTTGTTTGTGTCCGTAAGTGTGCCTCTGTGTGCGTATGTGTGTTGAAAAACGGCAAATCGAAAGTGATCGACACTCAGTTTCATAAAGGAAATACTCTTAGACGTGATTCAGTAAACTTTTTTTATTTTTGCTTTAAATGAGTCCATGAACGAGTATCTAGTAGCGTGTGATTTCGTTATTCTGTTTGCACTGAAACAAAAGTAGTAAATCACGGTACTGAAAGTTTTGCTTGTCTATCACTCAAACATTTCTCGAAGCTATCTGTCTTTTCTGTCTGTTCCCGTCTACACTATTGGTGCACAGTTCACAGGCTTCCAAGCCTGATTCAGCAATCTCACGTTTTATGTATATTTCCTAATGCTGTCACTGCCCTGTTGCAGTCCCCGAGTTGCTGATGTTGCAGTGAATCTTCTTCTTCATCTTTTTCTTCTTCGTGCCTTTGGACTAAATATGTAAAGTTAAAGAGGTCGAAGACTGTGTAGTTGCTTTAGCTGTGGAGCGTGTGTACATATTTGTGTAAATTTGGCTAAACTGTGTTCTGTGGTCCGTTTTGGACGAAAGCGCTATGCGATACCTACACCAGTTAGCGCCTTTAAGGCTTGAGCTATCTGGTATATCATGTTGTTCATATCCTGTTAAATTTTGTCGTATTTTTATTGGAGTTTATTTTTCCTTATTCTAGAGTACCATTCGTTTCCATATCACTAAAACGCATCATTACGCTTATTATGGTTCGTGAAAGATTTTACTATGTAAGAAATGTTTCATCTATCTCTCTCCGAATCCCTTTAATTGGGATAGTCGGCTACACAACAAGTAAACATGGGTCAATAATTTTGTGAAGATTTCGTTCGTGTGACGTCGATGCATGAACAGCTCCGGGCCTCGAAACCCTATGAATCACTTGCATCGTTGAAGTTATATTGTAACCAATCAGGATTGGTTAAATGGACTTGTCAGGAAGGTCTTTATTCTAAATTAATATCGTTTGTCTCGACAAATCACCTTCATCTATTGAATTTTATTTTTTATTTCTAAGAAAGCAGATATCATGTTACTATATATGAAACATATACGAGACTGTTGTTCCCTTTGCTCTTACCAGAGGGAAATTTATGTCAAATCTAATCCAAAAGTTTCTTTTATCAGTCACATCTACATATCAAGAGTGTTTTAGCACATAAACGTAGAGTTTCCCTGGTGTATAACAAAATAATAAATTATTAAATCCCGGTTGTGTAGTTCCTTCAATCTCGTTGTTGAGATCTTTGGTGCTGGCTGTACGCTTGCTGTTCCTTTAACTTGGATAATGTCTTAAGAGATACGAGCTGGGAAAAGGCCTGTGGTAATCCATTTTTATTCATTTCCTTTTATAAGTATAAAATCTCAGCTTCCAGTAAAACGTTCAATCATCTTTTAAAAACCATCTTCTTTACTTCAAATTTTCAATATTAACATTTCAACTATAATTCTATTTCTTGTCTTTGCTTGCACCCCCTTTCAACATAAGAGTTCGCGAAAGTCGGGTTTCATGGTTCCTGCCGAGCCCGAGCGCTGATTGTCTGACAATAAGGACTTAAACAATCTGTAAAATGCATTTGCATTATATATTGCCATGCAATAAAGCACAGACTATAAATTGTGCCGCTTATTTTCTTAAATGAGTGATATCCAGTTCTTTATTAAAAGGCATCTAACGTAGTTAACACTGAATATAACACAACTTGTAGTAAAACAAATATTTATAGTAAGCTTGTGGAGATTCAAATCATTTTCTTCCCAGTCTACATAGTAAAAATGACGCTGTATGAGCTATTTATAATAAAATTGACGTACTTTAGAGTTGGAACTAAAAGGAAACGTGTGAATGATGCAGGCTCCCGCTCAAATTCCCGATTCCCCACTTCTCCCTTATCTGCTTTACAAATGTATAAAAGCCTTGTACAAATTTAGAGGCTATTGTTACTTGGACCTCGTCCTCTGCCGTGATTCCTACAAAAATATGTGTGATACAATTATTGATTTTGTTGCCAAATTTCTCTTTTTGTGTGCGTGGTATCGGTCTTGACCGGTGTTATAAAGTATAAACTTTGTTGGGTTTGAGATTCTGTAAAATCGACTGTTACAAAATAAAGGTTGTGCCGTTGAAGCTGACTGTGTCGTTCCTTTCCCTGCATTTTATTGATCCTCGTTGCAATTCTGGTTCCGTGCCACAGACTTGTATGGTGGCTCACGCGACTGAGACGAAACATCAAATCGACGCGGAATAGGTCAATAACATCGAATTTGGCGTAAAGAAAAAAAAAAGAGGAAGAATGAACATTACAATTCCGACGTTGGCGTCACGTCGATGGTTACGGTTTCCCACCGGCTTGCCGCTCGCCGAGAGCTCATGCACGGAAGGCGTGGTATTGCTCCAGGGCAGGGTCCGCGGGCCGGGCTGCCTTCCTCCTGCACAGCGGCGTGAGGCACTCCAGGCCGAAGCAGGCGGTGGCGAACGCACAGCCGGCGAACAGCGCCGCGAACACGAAGTCGATGTTGTGCAGGCGGAGCTGGCGGGTCCGCTGGCCTCGCCGCTGGCCGTCGGCCGTCCGCGCGGCGCCCTGCTTGTCGGCCTGCTTGTCCGGCTCCACGTGGTACATGCGGCGCGCCTCGCCCTCCCAGTACTCGACCAGCCCCGCCTGCACGGCGCGCAGCATGTTGCGGTTGAACAGGTCGAACAGGGGGTGGCCGCGCCTACAGCACGGAGGGGGCAAGAGCGGTCAGTGGGTCAGAACTAGCCCGGTTGTAAAGTGGGCCAGAAGACCGGTGAAGGCGGCAAAAACTCTAGACGCGTTTTGAGCTCCAGAGTCGCTAAACAGGGCTCGAACCAAACGTGTGACCCCACCAATGGATTTCTCGTTCGGAGAGCAATCCATTGGTGGGGTCACACATTCGGTCCGAGTCCCATTTAGCGACTCTGGAGCTCAAACCCCGTCCGGGATTTTGCCCGTCACCTGAAGAGCACGACGTTGAAGTAGGTGATGACGGTGTCGTCCATGGGCACCAGCCCGGCGCGCCGGCCGGCGAAGGCCACGTAGTTCTGGCTGATGGCGAGGGCGTGGCCGTCGGGGTGCTTGCGGCGCATCTGCGTGATGCACACGGCCGGGTTGGCGCACCGCTCGCCGCCCAGCAGCAGTGCGCGCACGCTCGGCGAGGGGTCGGCCTCGGCGCCGTACAGCCTCGTCATGGTCATGTCGGAGGCGGCGTACGGCAGCCCGCTGGCCACCTGTCATAGCACCGTCTCAGTAAATCCCAGCGTAATGCACAGATTTTGCGCGAAATTGAGCTTGTGTGGCACGCACCAGGTCGTCCAGCGTCCGCGGCACGCGCTCGTACTGCGCCGAGCTGAGGCTGCTGGTGAGCAGGGAGCGGAAGGCCTGGTTCAGGTGCATGCTGCCCAGCACCCAGGCCGTGAACAGCAGGCGCACCCTGGTGGAGGCGGGCAGCACGCCAACGCTCGTGTCCACCAGGGCGCGCCACGAGTCCAGCACCACGAGGGACCACGTCTGCGTCCACCGGAGAAGACAGCAATCAATTATGAGACGAAATTGTTGACCGAGCCAGGGTTTACTAACCAAAGATAAGGACAGTTTCATCAATATAAAGTCAATTTCCCCCATTTTCCGCTCTTTCTGCGACACAGCTTTACCTCGTACTGAGCGAGGTCCGGGCCGAGGCCAGACAGCCGCGCGAAAGACACCTCCAGCACCACGGTGGTGGCGTAGGAGACCAGTAGCAGGAGCCAGACCTGCGGACGGAACACGTGGTACACGCTCTCCCACACCGTGAGGGCGCGCGGCGTGGTCGCGAACCAGCGCGTGCGGTCCTGGGAAAAGAGGAATTTCGTCACAGAGTGCCACCAAAACCAGTGACCACGCCGCGCTCCCGGAGCCCCTGTGATGGACAGGGTAGGCCACCCGCTCCAAATCTGTTCATTGGGTGCTGCCTACCCTCTCCATCACAGGGGCTCCGCGACCCTGAAGGTAGTTGCTGCCGAGGTAATGTTGTCTTTTTGAAGCAGTGGCCGGTCGCACGCCGAAAGGCGTAATATTGTCTTTTTTGAAGTAGTGGCGCACAGTGGGCCAGAAGACCGGTGGGGGCGGACAAAAATCTAGACGCGTTTTGAGCTCCAGAGTCGCTAAATGGGACTCGAACCCAACGTTTGACCCCACCAATGGACTGTTCTCCGAACGAGGAATCCATTGGTGGGGTCACAAGTTCGGTTCAAATCCTGTTTAGCGACGCCGAAACTCAAAACGCGTCTAGAGTTTTGGCCACATCCACCGGTCTTCTGCGCCACCGGTTGCTCTTCGCTCCAACGACATCGCCATTCGCGTTAATGCCCTAATGACACACCTGCAGGTAGGCGCCGGACGCGTCGTAGAGCAGGAACCGTTCCGCGTAGGGAATGATGCCGGCGTAAGCGACGTCAGCGCTGCCTGCCAAGCAAACCGCGGCACGCGAGCCCATTAGTCCATTAGGCAGAGTGCTAGGTGCCCGGCACACTGGTACACGCAGCCCCACCGGGTGTGATTTTTTTTTTAAACACCCTGCCAAAATTCGAAGGACGGTTTCGCTTCTGTGGTGCTATTCAGCGCACCTTCGTTGACGCGTTTCATGAGGCCAGGCCAGGCCTGCGCGGCGGGTGCAAGGACCTCATGGAGGCGAAAGCCGAGGGCGTCCCCGGCAGACCGCAGCAGGCGCACTTCGATGCCAGAGGCAAGTTTGTTCCGGCACCTGTGGGTCACATCACGCGGAAGCCATCAGTCCCTCTCCGGAAAGAGTAACATGCTCATCGATCATTTTGTCAATCATTTGTCAATCATTTTGAGCTATGATTTTCCAGAGCGTTTGCTCACTTGTCCGCGATGGTGAAGGGCGGCCAGTCGAAGGTGACCGCCCTGAGGGTGAAGTTGGCCAGGCGCCCCGCGACCACCTGTGGCTGGTACAAGCGCGGCGGCGGCTCGAGCTGTCCTTGGAGATGGCCCTGGAGGTACCGCAGACGGCCGTTCCGCCACTCAGCCTCCCTCCACGGCCCCTGCCCCGGCCGCAGTATGGGGCTGTGGGTCCAGACAGACACCGAGTCCCGCTCTGGAATCGTTCCACTCGTTGCGTCAAATTCGGATCAGGCCATCGCCACCGTGCCTCGACCCGCGCCAGCGCCTGTGAGGGGCGGCACGCCACTCGAAAACGTTGCCGCCGGATGGGCTGCCTGCCTCACAGGCGCCTGCACACTGTACCTTTTCTGGCGACGGTGGCCTCGACCACCAGGTGACGCCACAGCTCCCGGAGGACGTCGTGGACGTCGTGGAGCGCGCCGGCCTCCTCGTCGTCGTCCTCGGCGTGCCGCAGGAGCAGGACGAGGAACTTCGCCCTGGCGTTCCAGTTGGACAGCCCACGCAGCACCTCCACCTTGTGCCAAAATGTTCACACTGTCGAGCCCAACGTGCAGGACCCATCTTGCGTTTGTTCAGCGTCCAATCGCAGTCGTTCCGACCGCTTCTGGCTGGGAAGTCCAGGCTATCGGTTTTTACCTGTTCCGCGATCTCCTTCTCCTTGACTTGAACTGGCGCCAGGAGAATGTAGGCCGATGGTTGGTGAGATAAAAGAGGCCACCTACTGGAAGGAACTCATTTTTTATCATCGTGCCGACGTTCAGCGACATTTTACTTCGATTTCACATCGGGCCAGGGCAAAAAGCAGCTCTCCCTCCTAGTTCGCTATACATGACCTGTGGTACGGCTTCCCGCAGACAACCTCGAAGGTCCAGCGTAGCTGGGTGTTCAACGATATCAGAAGGAAGCTCGCAGCCAGCAAAGCATCACTAAATTAAAAAGGTTAAAATATGAATGCTTACCACGAAATAAAATCAATATTAAATTTCTTTTAGGATCAAGAAAATTTTTCTGAACAAAACACAGATTTCTTCTTTCTTTTTGATTCAAGTCATTGTTTCGAAGTTAAAATTTCGGCTACAGTTCTTTTTTTTTTTTGCAAAACATTTTAGTTATTTCACCAGGTGGTCGCCGCGAGGAGGACCAGGCCGTTGGGGAAGTAGGTGTTGGCGATGTGCGTGGCCAAGTTGGTCACGTCGCTGTCGGAGTCCGAGGGAGCGGCAGCCCTGGCGCCCTGCATGGGCACTGGGGCACCGCACACGCTGGCCGGCCAGGCCGCTGTGGCGTGGTCGGTGTCCCGCCTCACCCCCGACCAAGTCAAGGGACTACACCTCGCGTGATCTTCCTCGATCAGAACCGCTAAATTGACCTGTCGTTTCAGCGGCATTTATATCACACCCACCATAGTACTGCCAGCGCGTGTCACGCCTATTTTTGTTATTTCTCTTGTTTTTGCTGAACCACGTACAGAGCAACGTACGGGGGATGGATACGGGTCCTAAGAGGGAGGAATGGGTGACCCGTTTGTTAACTCACTTAAAACTTAAGGCTTTTTTTTTACTGGGTGTTGTAATAAGCTTGGGGAAAAAAAGATCACAAAAGAAAAACAGTGATTTACAATTATAACTTTTATTTTCCTATACGTCCAAGCAGTTGAACGAATTCGGATCCCGGTGGCTAGGCCATGCAGTATTTTGTATCTCATAGACACTTTTATTTAAATGATGGAAGATGAAATTATTGGGAATTTATTTTAACTACAAAAAACATGTGTTCCACAATAACCTTTGACAGCAAAACATTAAAGAAACTGTCTGATATCACAGCTTTCAAGGTACTTTTTGCGAGAAACTTTACAATAATCAACATTTGTCAATATACACAGCACACTCCATGCTCTTTTCTAGAAAAATAACAAAAGGTTTGGAGATATGGAGATGGTACTGAAGAATTCAAAAATGTAACTCCGATGACCATTGTGATGTTGCTTCTCAGTCTTGACTCAAATCACGACGAGGTGCACCCTCAGAAGCCTGTTGGAAATAAATAAATAAATTACAAACATTGAATTGAGGCGTTAGAAAATTATAATATTAGAAATATGGGTACTGATAACTTTTTTCATACTTTGTTCAGACGATCGATGAAATCAAGAGCATGGGGCAGGAGTGGTCTGACACTGTTGATTTCCATAGTTGTAAGATAATCTAGACGAGCATGTGACCCACCACTCTTAATGAACGTATCAACAGATGATCTCAGCTTGGATATCCTTACATCCCAAAGATTCTGCAAAAGACACGATTCAAAGATTGATATTCGCAACATCTGAAAGTATATAGGGAACCAAGATACGGTTTCCACAAACCTTGACAGCCATTCGGATTTCTTCTATTCTGGGAATGTCATCCTCGACTGCTGATAAAATGAGTTGGGCCACAACCATGTAGTGCTCACTTGGCATTTTAGTAAAATACCTGGAAACAGGAAACAGTAGTCAAACAACAGAAGGAAGCTCACAACACAAAGTGCAATGTCAGTAACCCAAGATCAGTGACAGATAAGACAAAAACGTAAAATCCTACTTGCTGGCTTTCTCTTCTTCTTTCAAAGCTTCTAATTTATCGACGTCGAGCCAGTCCGGTGCGAGAATTCGACACTTTTGTCTCTGTCTGAGGTTAAGTGCCATCCACACTGGCACGTTCACAGGTAGACCCGCCCGAAATGGTCCCACATCTCCAGAGATAAGATGGACAGTGGCGTTGTTGAAGTTGGGAACGATGCTAACTCGTTCCTTCTCTGCTATGAACTCCACTTCACTCGGATCCATTGATTCGAGGAGAAATCACAATGAAATAAACACCTCTTTGACAGCAGCCGGCTGCTGCAAACGAAGAAACAAACAAAAACAAAAACAACAACAGATGGTTTTCCCGCCAGCAAGTTGACCAACTTACAAGAACTTTGAGCCTCTCTTTTGAATTGGATTTTACCATTCAGTAGACTGGCAGTCAAATTTAAATTCGTTAAGACGCTCTTCTTATGCAACTCAATGAAAACCGAACTGAGTTCTTGTGAGTCAAGAAGAGAACATTAGCCGTGAGAGACGTCCAGTTGGTGTTATCACTCGTTCAATAGCCCGGAAAGTTAACCATGGTTTGAACAGATTTTACTGCTACTTGTAAACAGGCACAGAAAAAAAAGTAAGATCTGTGGATCACGATGACATTGGACAATACGCATTGTTACATTTATTTTAAACTTTGAATTAATAATAAAAATAAAGCAAGCATCGACCAAGTCTCAAATTTTTAAAATCTCATTTTAGTGGCCCCACTTTCAGCCTTTATCAGGCACGACAGCAGTATCTTCCACACCACAAAGTTACTACACGGCTCTACTTTTCAGCGAAAATTGGTGGGTTTCTATTTCAAAAGCCTTTACCACTGATCTGATTTAAAACCCCCAGGCTGCATTACTGGTGGCCTGTTGGTCATCCCATCTGAAAATAAATGAACTGTGGACAGATCTAGCCAATCAAAATACGACCAGTAATTTTGGTAAAACTAGAGGGTTTTTCATGGGCAAGTGCAGGAAAGGGTATTAGATTTGAGGTACAGTTTATTTTTTTATTTTTTGTTGGTCGTTGATGAAGCAATTACATTATTTGATGAGATACATCATCCATTACATTTTTCTTGTGGTCTGAAACATTAGGAGCACTTTCATACGTGCAAATCGTCACTCCATGATGGTGCGCTGGAGTCCATTCGCCTCGAAGTCCAATATAGTACACTCTGGACACATCATCGCCAAAATTTGTTGGTAAATGAATAGTTAAGTGGTGTACAGATGAAAACTTCACAATCCTTTGAACATGAAAAAAAAAAATCAAAAACAAGATAAGAAAAATTAGAACCTGGGCAACTTTATTTCATTTGTCTTTTAATATTTCCTGTGGCTTACTTGATGGGATATTCAAGCGATCCATTCTCATCCCGAGCTAATTCAAATTCCTGATCAGGGGCTACAGATGTGTCATCAAATGACATCTTTGGGCGATTTTTGTACCTGCAATTTACATGTTAATGACATTAATTAGACTTTCAAAAGTATTTTAAAGGTGAGACCAAAAAGTTCTACTTACAGTCTCATTTTTGAAGGGTGCATTTCACCCTCTCCTCCAATCAAAATAATTCCCTTCAGTTTCACATTTCCCGTGAATCTGTAAGAGAAATTTCAGAGCTGTAATTTTGCCACTCAGTAAAATGGATTCATATGATGAGTCAGCATCAATACGAGTTAACGGTTTTTGGTGGTATGAAATATACATTTCTGTTTTTAATACTCACGGAATGTTAAACAGAAGTTCTTCGTCAGCATCACTGTCGACAAACTACAACAGAAAGTAATGTAAGCAATGCAAAATACGTAAGTATAGGTAGTACTGCAACCTGAGAGGCAACTCCTTCCAACCTTGTCTCTACTTAGACGATCTTCCCATGGCTTGAAAATAGACCGTCCAGCACCATCACTATGTTCATTTAAGCACTCTAAATTGTCAGTATCTATTTTGGTGTAAAGAGAGTACTCAATTCCAGCCTCTGGACCTACTGGATGTTCGTGGTGTTCATGTTCACAGTTATGTCCTGACATTGCTACCGAAGCACAGACACACACAACTAAAAATGCAGAATTTTTAATCCAGCTAAAACTGCAAAATCACCGTTCAACGGTTTCCGTTCTCGAACCAAAAAATTCTGGATGTAAACAACGACACACAGCAGCCGGCAAGGTGGAGGGGGGGGGGGGAATCTAAGTATTTGTTTGGCCTTCGCCACTAGGGCATGTTAGCCAGGATTTCCGCTTCTTCTTTTTCTTCTTAGAGTTGGTATCCGAGGCAAGAGGCGGGCAGAGCCCGCGTCGCCTAGGAGGACTCTTCTGGGGGTTTTCTTTGCCTGTAAGGCGGTTTGCGGTGGTGCGGATTTGAAAACGCACCGATGGCAGCAATGAGTTGGACCAACGGACTAAGAAGCCGTTGGATGTTGCCTTGGATGTTGTTGCCCGGGCCGCGTCTTCGCACTCGCGGAGCGCTTGGCCGGGGTTGTTGGGGGCCCACGGGGGGAGGCCGGGGTCTTCTACTGCACCTGCGAGATGACGCTCCGTGGTCGGATGCGCCGCAGTTCGCACACTTTGGCGAGTCCTTGCGGTTGCATTCACTGGCTCGGTGAGCCTCCGAGCACACCCTACATACCACTTGTGCCTCCGGGTCACACTGGTCCGCCCGATGGCCATATTGTTGACACTTGAAGCACTGCTGGTACTCTTCTGACACTATGGGGCGACGGCGGCGGCGAGGCCGACGCGGTCGCGGCTGGGGTTCGGGCTGTTGTTGTTTATGCACAGAGGGGGGTGGGGTGGGGGGCAGCGGGTCGGTCTGGGTTGTTTTGGATGCCGACTCGGTTAGACCACGTGGAATGTTGATGGGGCCACTCCAAGCAGGTGGGGCGATGACAGGGGCCTCCTCTATGGCCTCCACTACCGCTGGGAGGCAATATTGTACCCTATTTATGCCCTCCTGCACTAGGGTCAGGCCCTGAGTTGAGAGGTCAGCCGCACTTTGCGGCGGTATGAGGGCCAGGATGGTGTGCGAGGAATCGGCTCGGGCGAACATGACGCCGCTCACTGGACCCATGAGCTTCCGAAGCTCATGTTCCAAAACCCAATCTTCCAGTGGGGGGGCACTGACTTTGTACCACTGAAGCACTGGAGCACACTGTCGGGGGGCGAGGGAAGGGGGGAGAGGGTACTTTAGTGACATGAAGTCGCTCACACCCCAACTACATCCTACTGCTTCCGCTGCCTTGGCGAAAGCGTGATGAAGGGCGTTGATGGCTCGAGAACACTTTGACTCTTCACACACCAACGACGCACTCACTACTGGTAAGTCTGCGGTCACTATGTCAATTGACAACACGTGTTTACGAACACTAGAGTCTATTTCTTGCCGCAGTCGGTCTAAGTCGACCCTTTCGCTTGCACTGACTGCACCAGGAGCTTCTAATGTTCGTGGATAGCAGATAATCCAAACTAGATTTGGATCCTGCGACTTGGACTTCTTCGCGGCAGGGCGATCGCCGGACGCAGCACGTCGCCGGCCTGTCATGTTGTTTACACCGGAGCACGTCCTGACGGCACGGTGGTCACCAACCAAGTCCCCGGCAAGGTGGACACAGGGCACAGCCTACTCTACTGTGAATAGTGTTTCGGTGTACTGCAAACTGCCAATAACCGAGGAAGAGAGGGGGTGTTGGTTGGGATGCCTATCCTGCCGGCGCGTCATTCAGGCGAAGGCTGTTTCTAGCTCTCCTGGTGAAGTTCAAGAAAAGTCGGCATTGCCAAGACACTTGGGGGGAGACAGGGTCCCCCTGATGACTGAATCATGGTCGAGCTTTACTTATAGGATATGTTTGACTTTTGTTCTGATCTTATGGCTCGTCCAATAAGGGAGAATTTAAGATTAAGTCCAATATAGCAGTATCAGAGTGATAAGAATGGGCACTGCCAAGAGATTGTTACAGCTCTGTTTGAGGTCAATGAGGGAAAATATCAGTCACAAATCACAGCATTTATAAATATTTATTAAATAAAATATTTTAAGAAATATTGAAAAATTAATTCAGTTGCTTAAAGAACAGAAGCCCCTTCCCTTTTACTGAGCTTTCTTAGAACCTTCCTTCTGCTTTTTCTGTTTCTTGCTTTCTTCTTCATCAATGGGAGCTGTCTTCACAAAAGGTATGAACTCCCGGTATGCTGTGGATAAGAGTCAAAATTCATAAAGTGAGAAAAGTCACAAATTGTTGAGGTCAGTAAAATCTGATGAATAGCCTACCCTCAGGCATGAACGGTCTCAACATCTCCGGAACAGTGATGCCAGAATCAGTTTGGTATGTTTCCATGATAGCACAAATAACTCGTGTAACAGCACAAGCTGTGGCATTCAGCATGTGTACATAGTTTGTCTGCCAAAAAAAAAAATTGTCACTAAAACATACTTTGGGTATTTTTTTTATATGAAACTAATGGACTTCTTCCTACCTGGGCATTCATCTTTTTAGTCTGACCATAGCGAATTTGCAGCCGGCGAGACTGATAATCCAAGCAGTTACTGCATGAAACCAATTCACGGAAAGCTCCTGATCCAGGGAACCAAGCCTCCAGGTCCAGTTTCTTTGCTGCAGCATTGTTCAAGGCTCCTGATACAATATTGACAACTCTGTATGCGATACCCAACTCATCATAGAACTCTTGAGACATGGTTATCATTTCATCCATCATCTCCCATGAAGCATTGTCAAAAGGAGAAGTTAGAACAAATTGTTCCACCTGAGAAAGTAAGAAGTTCACATTCATAAGCAAGGGCACATTAAGAAAATTCAGGACAGGCAGATAAAACTAATAAAAAGTGTACCTTTTGCACTAACCTTTTCAAATTGGTGGACACGGAAGATTCCTCTGGTATCCCTTCCATGTGATCCAGCTTCCTGCCGGAAACAAGTGGAAATTCCAACATATCTAATGGGCAAGGAAGCCTCTGGGATCCACTCATCTCTGTGGTAAGCAGCAATAGGTTGTTCAGATGTGGCAATCAGGTATTTCTCCTCTGCAGCAAGTTCCTCACCAGCGTTTTTACCACCCACCTATTTGAATAAAAAGAAATATTATTACAATATTTTAATAAAAACTGTAAGTGTCCTGTACAATAAGTAAACAAACAAACTCACTTTGTAAAGCTCTTCATCGAATTGCGACAGTTGAGCAACCTCCTGCATCACTTCTTTGCGCATGAAGTAAGGGGGGAACAAAGGCTGATAGCCTCGAGTGTGCCAACGTTGCAAAGCACACTGGATCAGCGCATATTGCATAAAGACGCAAGGACCCTACAACATGACATTTTAACCTTTCACTCCAATATTGAATATTGATTAAGGTACATGGTCTAATTTTCCTGCCAATAACAGGAAAAAAAAGTTTTGATTCAAGTACCTTCAAGAAGTATCCACGTCCTCCACCCACAACAGCTCCTTTTTCGGACTCTAATCCATCAATCATATAAACTAAATCATAGTGAGAGTATTTTTTGCGGATAGTTACATCACCTGCTGTCCTCACAACAGCATTTTCATCCTACAAAATTAAATTTCAAGGGATCATAGACAATACCAATTTGCAACAATACAAACAATGACAAATATTTTTCAAGCAATACACAGAGGAAAGAAAAGTGACAGGCAAAATAAAAGCTCACAGGCTCAGCTAGGAAGTATTTTTAAAGTTGCGACCTTTCCATTCTTTTTATCTTTAGTTTTGTAACAAACAGATAGCAAACTGCTGACAGCTAAACCAACACATGCATGGGAACTGAAGTTCATAAGAGACTCACCTCATCATTGCTGATAGGTACAGATTCATGAAGCTGATTTCCAATTTCTCGCAGAGATTTGTTGCGATTGGCCTCAGCTTTTAACATATTTTCATCATTCTCTTTCATTGCCTCATCAACACGGACACGAACATCCTTAATGTCAGCAACAGAGAGCTGTTCAAGTTGTTCTTGGGTAACAGTGAAAACGTCAATTCCTGAGGCAGGGATGGTAGATGGAGCATCGGCAGTTTTGGCCTTAAACAGAAGAAGCAACTTTAATAATATGGCTTCTATGAAGCAATGAAACAACAGCTACATCTGAAGTTCAGGATGTCAATTTCAAATAGCACATATGCAAGCAAACAATATGAAAGTCGAGCAAGGGACAAGTTAATTGTAAACTTTAGTTCAACCAAAAAACAATCAAAAAAATTTATTAAGAAAAACAGTTGGTTAGATGATCAAATGCATTTTAAATCTTGCTCAAATTAAGAAGCAAAGAAAAAACTTAACACTGTGATCCTAGGGCCAATATACAGCAAAGAATCAACTACAGCAAGCTACTATCGTGCAGGGTGGCAATACTGCCTCACCTGAGGAAAGTTCTTTCTCAGATCTCCAAACGTACTGATGTGGTTGTACCACCTAAGGACATGGGGAAAACTATTTGACGGAATAGATTTAAGGGCATCATAGGCCCTACAATCCAACTGTGTGGCTGAGTAACCACCAAAGTAACTATAATGCATAAGATAGTCATTCATCTTTTCAAGGCAGTCAACATCTTTAAGATTAATACTGATACTGTCATTTAATTTCATTAGAGAAAGATCATAGTTTAATTGATTTTTAACTCTTTTCCCGTCGCTCTCTTTCTGGAAGATTAAAACAGAAATATGGACAGTTACAGCAGGTGTCAGTGACCTCCTGTTTGATTGCAGCACTATACTTCAATGATTACCTTCATTTTGCCTCCAATGACCTTACTGCATAAATTTTTTGTCTTGTTGAGATTGTCAGCAGTATGGCGATCTGTTAAAAAAACAAAAGTTACTGGATAGTAAAATATATTTGTAAAATGTTGAGTGTGTTCAATATATTAACAAGGTTTTATGGCTTGCTGTAAGCTTATAAGGTGTACAAAAAAAATTAAAGGAATGATTTCACGGCTTTGTACATGATGCAAGGTGCAACACATGTGTGTCATTTAAAATCAGACTAGAGCGCTTTGTTTAACAAGCAATAACAAAAATATTGTCATTGCTGGAGCAAACACTACTGTACTAATATGGTTTGTTTTCAATACGAAAAATACAAATGAGGCCAATTTCAATGTCCACTGCATTCAATGGGACTACAAGTAGGTTATGGGTACGAAAGCGGATTCTTAAAAGAAACTGTCACTGACAATAAACTGACTGTGACAACTTCAATGTCAGACCATAATTTGGTAGGTCTCTGTCATTTCAATCAAGTATCCCACTACAGGCGAGAGGGAAAGGTACCATAACAGGGCTCTTACATTGCCTCCACAGAGCGTCATTTTCCACGACGTCGTCAACAAGTTTCACGCTTTTGAACCGCTTCTCTTGCAGCTGGCGAATTTTCTTCGGATCGCCTCCCTTTTCTTCTCGGAACAGCTCAATGTCCAGCACCATTTTGAAGGGCTCTACTCAGCGGCTGTCAAATTCACCGGGAAAACGATGAGACACTTGAGAGACGGGTGTTCTCGGCGACACGCGACGGGACACACAGACGACGGGGCAGAAGACACGCAGACCGCAGGCTTTCCGCAGACGACGCGGCGCACTGACCGGAAAGGCATTCTTCCTACCAACAATGCCAAAATAAACAAAAGTCCCCGAAGCGTAATTCACATCACCGGTTGATTATTTTAAGACAATTTTCTGACAAAAAATTTTGAAAATATTTTTTTTTATATTTTGTACATTTTTACTTTTCGCCTACGTTTCTGGGTTTTGGATTTTGGTATTTGGTGTTAAAATAAACTACGTTCTCCGAAGTCTTTAAAGGCGGAGCCTAAAGTCAGTGTAGCCATCTGCGGACGTGCTCTTGTGGCTTTAACCGGGTGAATGAAATAAATCTAGTACATGCTTCATCAGGAATCTGAGTGTATCTGAAAGCCCTTAATTTTCTATTTTAATTTTCAGGAAAGGGTTTCGATGCAGAGCAATGGCGTTGACTTTATTTTCATGTCAAGAATTATTGTCTACACGTTGGTACCAATAGGGCGCGAATCTGAGTTTTTCGTACTTCATAATATTTGTGTCTAGCTGTAGAATTTGAAGTGAATCATTAACTCCGGAGTTGTCACATTACTGTATATTTGAAACAGTGTAAAGTCCATCCCATTCTCTTAGAGAAAACCTATTTATCGGCGTTTCTCTCTGATCTGCTACGAAAAATCTTTGATGTTGTCTTTCGTGTAGGGTTATGTCTTTGTCCACCATGAGTGACAACAGGGTGATTGTTTTAGTAGACATGGATTGCTTCTATTGTCAGGTAGAAGTAAGACTGAACCCAGCACACACAGGGAAACCTCTTGCTGTTGTACAGTACAATGCCTGGCGAGGAGGAGGGTAAAAGCTTTTTGACAAGATTTCACGCTATGACGCAATATCTTTTCTTATTCAACTGCATTTATTCTGATTGATAAATCTCCGTATTTCAGGATAATTGCAGTGAACTATGAAGCTCGAGATAAAGGTGTCAAGAGAGGAATGCGTGGCGATGAAGCTAAGAAATTGTGTCCTGATATAGTTTTATGTAAAGTGGCTGAAGTTCGTGGCAAAGCGGATTTAACAAAGTCAGTATCTAGGCATTTTACTTCAGTCAAAGTTTTTCAAATCTGACATTGTCATTCACAGGTATGAATTCTTATTGATCAAAATCTCATGTTTTTTTCAGATATCGGGATGCAGGAAGGGAAATTGTTGACGTTCTTCAAGGATTTTCAAATTGTGTTCAAGTGGCAAGTATTGATGAGTCCTACATGGACATCACAGAAGCTGTTGAAGATCGTCTCCTTCAGGTTTTGGAACAAGACAATGCTTTGTGCATAGAAAAGCTTCCATCTACCTTTGTAATAGGATTCTCTGATGATAAATCAAATGATGAAGGTATTGAATTAAATCCAGTAGCTTTGATATATTTTATCTTATACTTAGTTGTTATTGTTGTTTCTTGCTGTTTATTTCTACTCTGTTTTCAGATCAGAGAGTTGCTGGAGTTAAAAATTGGCTAGAAAATCTAGCTGACCCAACTTGTATGAGACTTGCAGTTGGTGCAATGATAACTGAGGAGATGCGAGCTGCTGTCTATAAGCAGACTTCGTTCCGTTGTTCTGCTGGTATCTCATATAATAAGGTAGAGCGGTGGAGAGATTTTACTCCCTCTGTTTAGTTTTAAACCATCAAATAGGTTTGAATGATAATATTTTGTGTTTGTTTGGTCCCATTCTGTTTGTTAAGCCCCTAGCCAAATTAGTTTGTGCAGTGCACAAGCCAAATCGTCAGACTGTTTTACCTCCCGACAAGGTTGAGCTCTTTTTCTCCACTCTTCCCCTGCGTAAAATGCGTAACCTTGGAGGTAAGTTTGGCACGGAGGTTGTTGAGAAACTAGGTTGTCAAACTATGGGGGACCTAGCCAAATACAGTCTTCAGGAACTGCAAAGATGTTATGATGAGAAAAATGGGTAAGCTTTGTACTTTTTTGGGTCATAAGCATGCTGCATCTATGTTGTAATTGATTTGATAAGATCAATTTTACAATTTCTTTTCCATGTAGACTTTGGCTGTACAATATTGCGCATGGAATAGACCATGAGCCTGTCACTAAGCGTCTCATAGCCAAGTCAATAGGATGTAGCAAAAACTTTCCTGGGAGAACAGCTCTTGCAGCAAGACAGAAGGTTGAGCATTGGATGCGAGAACTAACTACTGAGTTGGTTGTGCGCTTGACAGAAGATCAAGTTACTGTAAGCAGCTATTTCTGAATGTAAGCATTATTTGTGTTTGTTTCCTTTAATTTATGCTTGGGTTTTTGTTTAGAACAAGAGACGTGCACAACATTTGACTGTTTCTGTGAGCCAAGACTCCAGTGATGGATCTTTGGCCACCTCTGCTCGTTCAGGAGCTTTGCCTTGCTATAATGTTGACCGCATTGTGGCTCTTGCTCTTCAGTTGATATCAAAAACGAACATTGGCTCAAATCCAACTTTGTCATGGTAAGTAAAGTAGAGATGTGTTAAATAATGGGGGGAGAAGGGAGAAAAAAAAATCATAAAACTAGTATGTTGTTGTGTGGCTTTCTTTTTATTTGTAAACTTTGCTTTGGCATTCCAGGGACCCACCTATTAAAAACATCAGTCTGTCAGCTGGAAAATTTACTACAGATTGTTCCTCGCAAAAGTCTTCAATCCAGTCCTTTTTCAAGCAGGTTACAAAAGAAGAGGCATCTAATTCAAGTGATACAATTACTGAACATCTTTATAAAAATAATTCTGCTAAGATTTCTCTTTCTGCTCATAATGAAGAACAAAATGTTCATAAACAGGAACCAAATATGAAACATAGGTCTTCCCTTGATAATTACTTCAAACAGAATAATGTGTGCTCTGATAATGATTCAAGTAGGGATATGTTTCTAGACGATGAAAGTCCAGGGAACATCAGTAATGAATTCACAGACCAGGTTAGTGAGAAAACAGAAGCTTTCCCACATGTGGATAAGAATTCTTCATTAGATGGTAAAGTAACTCATTCTTCAAAAAGAAAACAACAATCCATTAGTTCAGAAGGTGTTTCCTGTCCAGCAAACCTGGAAAGTGCTGCAACGCATTCATTTTTTGCCCGTTATATTCTCTCATATAAGAAAAGAAAAACAACTGAGGTTCCTATTGAAAGTGAGCCGGTACCTTCCACTAGCAAAGGACTAGCTCACAACATCCCTCAGCATTCCCCTAGTAATTGTGATACAGATTCTTCTGACTCACAAAATGCTAATGAAAATGATGATGACATTCTCGAGAAGTGTGTTGAATGTGGCAAACTCATTCCACTTCAAGAATTTCCAGAGCACGTTGATTACCACAGTGCTTTAAATCTTCAAAAAGAACTCAACGAGACTCTCACACCTCCCGAAAATAATGTCTCTCGTGTCTCTGTAGTTGAGTCTGCCCATGCTCACTCTTCTCATGGATCCAGTAGCAGAGGTGAAGAATCTTTACCGCCGGAGGCTGACCCCAGCTCAGATCCGCCTGTAGAAAAGTGCAGTTACTGTGGAAAACTCATACCTTTACAAGAGTTCCCAGAGCATGTAGATTACCACAGTGCCTTGGACCTTGAGAAAGAGCTGAACAGGGCTCCTCCCCCTCCCCCTGCCGCCAATTCAAACGCCTCTTTGGTGCCGGCAAAGAAGAAAAAGGGGCGCACGAACAAGCAAGCCCCGTCCCCTGCTAAAAAGGTTCAGTCCAATTCCATTACCGCATTTTTTGTACCCAAATAATAGTTCATTTTATGTATTTACAAGAAAATGATGTTTGAATTTTTTTGTACTGCCTTTTATACTATTTTTATTGTAGCCTTTTATGTAAACTGCCTGTAGAGTGTTGGAACTTTTTCGAAAAAGCGTTCCGTTGACGCCTGCGCTGAGCCGGGTAGGCAACAATATGTGCAGGCGTGGCGCGCATTGCCTACCCTCACTGTTTCAGGCGCCTTGTTACTTCCATTTTTGTCTGTTGTCTTTTATGTTCTTTTTTACGAGAAATTGTTATTTTAGCATGGATGTTGATAATTTTATAATTTTTATAAAATGTGAAACGTTGAATTAAATAAAAATGCAGAAGCCGAAAAGGCGTTTGCAATGAAAACCGCGTCCTTTCGTGCCTGTGTGACGTGTTGGTTTGACATCGGGGCCAGGGACTCACGCTGCAAAAGCTGGCTTGCAGAAGGGAGGTACGAAAAAACGCGGTTCTGGCGAACAGGAGTGCTAAACCGACGGGCACCGATTCGGCTGTCCAGCTGCTGTTCCAGGGAACGTGACGAAGGGCCAACCACTCTCAACTTTCCCCAGTTCATTATAATTCTTTCAAATGCATTTGAGATCGTTCCTAATTTCTTGTGTGCTGTGGCGTGCACAGTTTAATCGCGCCTGAGGCGTCAAAGAACCCTGTTGCGTTGCAGAGTGAAGCCAGCCCGGCTGGCCCAGGGCTGGCCCTCCCGCGGCTAGGGTAGCAGGGCCCAGCGAAAACTGCTGCGCACGCTACGCGGGACGCGTGGCGGCCGAGTCGATATTTCGTCGAATGTGGAGATGAGACCAGGTCACCTCGGCGGCGGTTGAAATTTGTCACTGGGTATGTTTTGAGGGGAGGGGGGGTGGAAGTCGGCGTGCACCCCTCCCCCACCCCTCCCCGACGTTCCACGACGGCCCGAGTCGATCACGCCCGGAGTCCCTCCCCCTGGCCCGCTCCGCGCTGCTCGGCGCTCGCACCCAGCACCCCCTGGCCTGGCCTGGACTTGGCAGCGCGCAGTCGCTCGCCGTCGCTCGCAGTCGCTTCCAGACGGCATTTACATTTGCCTGCGTTTCAGGGGGTGGACTCCACAGTGCCTGCTCCCGGTTTCTTAGCGACGTGTCGGCTTCACAGGAGGCAGGTGAGTGTGCTTAGGGTGGGCTAGAAAAAAAAAGACAAGGTACAATGACTTCTATAGCTTCGTTCGGGACAGATTCCGGTCCGGAGCCATACTCATGAGATGTTATCGTACCGTTGCCGGGTGAAAGATCTTATCTTGTCGTTTCCGAAAAATGTGCCCTGGCTTTCAAGCCCGCGAATTTGTCCAAGTTCGATCATTTGGGACAGCTGCAAAAAGGGACCATTATCCAATCCCCACTGAACTAAAAAAAAAAAAAAAGACCAAAAAAAAAAGGGGTGCCTTTAGAAATATGTTCTTTTTACTATCTTATCCGTCCCCACAATTGTCAAACTTTGAGGAGTTCGCGGGCACCTAGGATAGGATTCTTCGTCGGGAGGCGACCGGACAAGGTCTTTTCCCGCGGAACGGTAAGGTAAGCCCGCCCGAACAGGACCCCCCTCGGTGGGCAGGGCGATGCAGCCTAGGGCAGCCTAGGGCTGGCCGCGAGTGCAGGCTCTCGTGGCGCGTGAAGGGGGCGGGGCGAGGCGGCGAGGGGCTGGCGCCGTCCCCGCAATGAGGTTAGGGCGCCACGCCGTACAGTAGATTTAGGGGCAACCTGTTGTGGAGAGTCGCCCGGAGGAGCGTCCTCGCTACACAAACACCAAGCTAGCTGCGTCGCCTGTGGAGGACGAGCCAAGGGGCGCGGCGCGGCAAGCAGAAGAGCGCCCCCGACCCACACGGGATTTTATCTGGCGGCATCTTGGGGACCGAAAAAAGGGGGAGGGGGCAGCGCCGGAGCGGCGAGCCACGGCCCGCTCTCCGCGGCGGGTATTGAGCGTGGCGTGGTTGGAGCGTTGCGTTGCGCGGGCTATTGATTTGCGCGTCGTGCGTTTCCGGATTGTGCCGGTCGCCACTGTTTTGATTGGAAAAAATGGTGAAAGTGCACCCGTATTTCACCCTGCTCGGCGGGCTAGCGCCTGATAGGTAGTCTTCTGCTAGTCCCGCAGCGCACCGGTGTGCGAAGGGAAGACGGTGGCCTACCTTGCCCCTGTAGGCCTTCTGCGCTGCAGTTGTTTGGAGCCAGTAACTTTTCAATAATCTCGGGGTGCGACGGGGTGCTTCTTTTTCCTACTTGTGCACCTCGTTGTCTACACTTGCCGGCTTTTTGCGAACAGGGAATGGTGCACCTCGGTCTGTGAGCCACGCCACCGGGGATGCGGTACGGTTCGTCGACCTGTCTGTGGTCCTGTCTGTGGCCATGTCTTTTGGCGAGCCTCTCGTCAGCTCGCCTCGGGACAGCGGCCACGATTCCCGACCCAGCAGACGCCCCGCAGGGGCTCGCCAGGGACAGTCTGCGGACCAAGCCATCTTGTCAAATCATGGTGAGAGTCGATTTCGATGTCGTTTGGTTCGTTTGAAAAGTGTAAACGAGGAAGTTTTCATTTTTTGCCAACAGATTGGTAATTCCATCGTACGCTCCTGCGGCTACATCGAGCATAGTGATGGTAAGACTCCGCGCTGTGGACTTGCCGGGCCCGGCAAGCCCGAGACGTTTTGTTAATCAGCCCATTTTGACCTTGCAGCTTGCTGCATGGGACCCCTCTCCACCAAACCGATCTCCAGCACCCAGCGCCACCTGGCGGAGGGCCCGGCGCACTCCAACGTCACCTTTACCACCCTCTATGGAGGTAACAACACAGTTTGACGTCAAACTGACGGTCATTTTGGTTGTAATTTCGCTGATCGCCAACCACTGCTACCTATGCCGCAGACGGCTTGTACTTCCTGAGCCACGACGAGGGCTGTGGCTCCGACCACGAGTGCTGGGAGGTGTCGCTGGGCCGGCTGGGGCAGCTGGGCTCGGCCCTGGACACCACGTCGGACGGCATGGTGGAGGTCCTGGTGTCCTTCATGGCGGGGCCCAAGGTGTACAACGTGTCCCTGTCGACCGTCACCACGTCGCGCGCCTCCAAGGACGGCGCGGCGCAGAGCGGGCCCGAGTGCAAGATGCTGCGGGCCAGCACGCCCGTCCTGGACATCTCGGGGCAGGAGTACGTATCCGGTGGGAGCTGCTGCCTTTGCTGCAGTGTACCGGAGTGTAACCCTGTGCTTGTTGCAGCGCCACGCTGCGGCTGGTGCCGCCCCAGGGTGGCATGCCCAGCAACATGCCGGCCGTGTGCGTCACCTTCCACAGCGACCAGTGCCGCGTCGACTGCAAAGACTTCGCCGTGCCCACCGAGTGCAAGCGGAGCCGCTTCCACCAATCGGTGCACTGCGTGGAGAAGGTACCTACCTCGTCGTTTTGACAGCGTGCCTCCACTGGGCCTTCCCCCCGCGCCCCTGCAGGCGTCTTCCCAACCAGCCTGCGTGCGTGGCGGGATTGCCTACCGCCAACCTTGCAGGCGCTCGGCGCGTCGCCCCTTGCCTTGAAAAAGCACAAATTCAAATGATTCTCGAGTGATACTTGGCTGTAAATTGAAATTGATTGGAGCGATTTCATAGCGTTGATGTCTCGTCCTGCCGCAGCCGTTCGACTCCGTCCTGACCATCCGCAACGTGACGAAGTTCCAGCCGGACATCGACCACGCCGACCTCGTGAACACCGCCAACAAGGACTACCCGCTGCAGTTCCACTGTGCCAGGGTGCGGCTCGGACGGAATCGGAATCCATTGTCGAAATTAGCGTAGAGGCGGACCCATTGCACGAGGGAAGTCTGAATATTAATGGAGGTTCCCTTCCTGTTGTTTCAGCTTCAACTGGGCGGCTGCGTCCTGGCTACTCCAACCATAGCCGTCCGCATGAGTGAGTAGAACCACTTTTTGCCTGCTTACAAAGGCAAAGTGGAGCCTTTCTTGTACCTTTCAGGCGGCTGTCTAGCGGCCCAGGGAGGGTCATTGCCCTTTCACCCCTCTAAGGGAAGGCGTTTTGCGCAGGCTCGTCCAGCGAGCCCGCGGAGGTGTCCGTGGTGGCGTACGGGGCGCGGTGGGCGACCCCGCTGCGCAGCCTCCTGCTCGTCACCATCCCCCTCTGCCTCGCCGTACTGCTGCTCTGCGTCGTGCACAACTTCTGTTCGGGCAGCACCTCCATAGGTTCGCCTCCAAAATTGCACTCCAAAATTAAACTTTGCTCGGAAGATGCGGATTACGGAACGGGCTTCTGTTTCCGCTTCCGCAGGCTGGCGCCAGTACCCGCAGCTGCCGCTCCACTTCCGGTCCGAGGACCACGCCGTGGTGCGGCCCGCGGCGGCCGCGGCGCCCCCGCCGCCCGAGCCCAGTCGCCGCATCATCCTGGTGTACTGCAAGCCCAGCGGCGACGACGACTGCGACGGCCACGTGCTGTCGGGGGCCTTGCGCGCCCTGGGCCGCATCCTCAGCGCGGGCGGCAAGACCGAGGTGAGAATCGGCCAGAAATGTTTGGATAACGTTTCTTGCGGGTTATTTTGAAACAAAAGCGTTTACAGCAGCACAGACCGAAATCCAACCTCACCGGCCCGTCGCAGGTGATCGACATGTACGACGACCCCTGCCTGCTGGAGGACGGCGCCGTGATGCGCGCGTCGGATATCCTGAACGACGCGGACGCCGTCCTGGTGGTGGTGCTCACCCCCCTCTTGGCGGAGACGCTGCGCCCCAGTCGCGGCTCTCGCAGCGCCCTCGACATGGACCCGTTCCAGAAGTTCATCACCACGCTGGCGCTGGGACTGAGCCACGTGCCGCAGCGCGCCGCCAAGCGCGTCTTCCCCGTCAGGTACCGAACCGAACCGACAGCTTCGAGGTATCGACTTTGTCCGATACAAGCTAAATTCGATACCTGAAATTGAAAATCCGATTACCTTCCTGGTAAAAATGTTGGAAATTTTCTCAAAAAAAAAAAATATGTGTTGTGTCTCAGCTTGGATGCTCGACAACAACCAGACTTTCTCATCGGCGTCCCGATCACTGCGGTATACGTGATGCCGTACCACCTCATGGACCTGCTGCGGGCGATTCCAGGGTAATTTTTTTCTCGTCCTCCCATCAAAAGTTATGTCAAAGCGTTTGCGTGAATTTAAAAAAAAATTGTGTGTTACTAAAGGGTCTCTGAAGACGCCTCTTCTTACGCCAAATTCCAAGCCGAGGAGCAGAAACTCAAAATGTACACGAGAATGTGTAAGTAAATTTGACTGCATTTTTTGACGTCCAGGCGTACAAATTTTTCAAACTGATGGACTACACTGTAACCATGGGAATGTACGGGGTCCCATCGGAACAGAATAAACCTTGCGTGTTGCGCCGCGGCCCAAAAATTTAATCGATCGCAGCAATTGTTAAATTAATTATGCGTTGTTCGTTTGCAGACAGCGAACTGAAGCCGGGAGGGGATTCCGTCGATAGCGTCTAATCGATCCTCGTAATCGATCTATGCCACATGGTGGAGTTGTGATCCTGGGATCAGAAATGAATACGAACCAAGGACCAGCGCCGCGAGAAGATATTAAGTATTGTAAACATTTGAACCAAATAAGTAAGACTGGACACGTTTTGTATTGAGTTGTAAATAAATAAGTGTTTAAAAAGTTGAACCCCCGGAACTTGTCCTTCCCTCTATCTTAAACGGCAAGGGTCGTTTTGGGGCTGAAAAAGAAAGGTAGCCATTGTCAGCACAGGTGGTCAGTGATGTGCGAACGCTTCGAATCCGAATCGAATCTGCAACCGAAAATCCAGTACATAGTACCCACGGGCTGAAAAAGCGCCTAGGATGAGGGCTACACCTCGCTGGCCACTCCTCCCCCTTCCCCTGCCGCCGGCCCTCCGTTTCCAGCTTAAGGCGCTCGCGTAGTGGTCTCGCCTCGGCTGTTATCTCGCGGCTCCAGCCTCTCCGAGCCTCTCCGTCCAGCCTCTGTGCGCCCAGCCTCAGTCTCACGGCCGCTTCCCCGCGGACTGGAGGCTGTGAGTCTGGAGGCGGCTCCAGGTCCCGCCCGTTCGGCCTGCCTGGAGCGTGCTGCAAGCGCTGTAAGCCGAGTGCGAGGGTCGGGGTTCAGACCGCCGGTGCCTGCCTACCTGCATGCTGCCCTACAGTGCCGAGCCGCGCGGAACCTCGCGCATCGTGCCCGGTGCCCCGGAGGACTTCCCCGTCGCCCACGTTCGTCGGCGTCCTCCTTCCACCGCCATCGCCCGGACTTGACACGGTAGGTCTCGCCAACACGGGCTTAGGCCGAGTGACCGATTTTGAGAATAGATCCTCACAGTGTGTGATGCGACTTGATGAGGTCACATCACGATTAGCCTGGTGACTCTTTGTTTCATGTACAGTATGTACAAACGATGTGCTCCCTAATTCAAAAGGGGCCGGTTGAGGTGGGTAAAGGTTTGAAACGAACCTTCGTCACTTATTTTCCTTGCCGCCTCTACTTGTAAAGTCGGTACGAGTATAACAACAACAACAACAACTTCGAATGGCAGTGCTAAATACACTTTGGGGTTTTGCGCGCAAAACGGCCTTGCCATAAATTCGGGGCCAGAAATGCCAAAACGTCGAAGTTTTATGTGGAATTAACGACAGCCGTCCCGTCCGTTCCTGCCTCGGGGAAACAGCGCCATGGCCGGTTCGGGGCGGGGCGGGGCGGGGCGGGGCGGGGGGGGGGCGGGGCGGGGCGGCGAGGCAGGAGTCGGCCGATTGACCCGAACCGAACTCATGTGCGGTACGAGGTACGTGCTGGGGTGTTCTCACGGTGCCGGGGAAAGGGGAGGGGGCTGCGACGGTCCGAAGGCAGAATGTGCACCACACTGGCGTGTCCGGCACCCGCCGGCACGCGTGCGCAACACGCGGCAACACCCACGCACGACGCACCACTCGCGTCCCCGCGGCCCCTCCAGGGTACCCCCCACCACCACCACCACGCCCCGTCTCGCGTGCGGAAGAACACTGATGATTAGCGCGGGTGGGAGGTACCCGAAGAGGTACCCGAGGAGGTACCTGCCAGGCACCCACCTGTCCCGGAGCTCGGGCTAGCCGTGCCGGGCAGGCCCTCCCCGCGATGCCCGCAGACAGAGAGGGGCGTACACCTCGGCGGAGTATTTCACACACGGACGCTCTCGCGCACACTCACACACACACACACTGATGGGCTGGACCGTGGGGATCAAGGGTCAGCCGTAATGGGCTATAGCCCAGCCCATACAGCACGTCTGCAATGTGCACAGGTGCGGGAGGGGAGGGGAGGGGAACCCAGTGACCCAGCGCTGTAACCGAGTGTATCGTACTATCTGCAAGGTAGTAAACCCAGTGTCAACCGAGGTGCGTGCCGGTTTCGTACTAAAAAGTGGATCCAGTCGCCGGGGCCCACTGGACCTGCCACGATTCGGGCCATTCGGTCTGGGTCCCGGCCGTCCCGTCATCCAGGCGAACGCCTTTGGTGGCCCGCTACGCTACGCTACGCCGTTCCCGTTGACTTCTGTGACATTTGCATACTGACGCTGCAGACTGATTCTGAGAGTCGTTTTCGTCGCTCTGTCCCTCTCGCGGCAAGGCTCGACGGGGAAGGCCGCCTTGGTTCGAAGATGGCCAGAAGGGTCACACAAACAAACCGGGAGACAAAGTGGGTGGACTCGTCGACTCAAAGAACGAGTGCGCTTTCGATTCCCTCCCCCCCCCCCGGTTATTTTACGGGCGTTTATTTCACCGGCCTTTAAGAGCCCGCGCCTCCACAATAAGAAAATAAGAAAGAAGACGCGCACCCACCTCGGCATTTCTCTTCCGGAAATCGGGCCAAACCGACCCGGCTGGACCCGGCCGTCGGCTTTATCGGAACGCCCCGCGCGTGACCTCCGCCCCGCCCCGCCCCGCCCCGGCCGCGCCTCACCTGCAGGGGCTATCGAGGCATCAGATCGGGTGGGATTGGCTGACGGATAAATCACCGCGTGCACGCACGGGAAGCGAGGCGGGCGAAGGAAGCGCACGGGGCGGCATCCTCCAGGACCGTCCCGGACCGTCCAGGACCGTCCAGCCCGGGGCATCCTCGGCCCCACGCACGCCCCCACGGCCCTCGGCCGGGTCACGGCACGGCACTGCAGGCCGGGAAGTACGGGCAGTCCCTCGGGAACAAGGAGAACTAGGGGCGCGACGGCGCACAAGCCAGAAGACCGGTGGGGGCGGCCGAAATTCCAGACGCGTTTTGAGCCCCAGAGTCGCTGAACAGAACTCGAACCGAACGTGTGACCCCACCAATGGATTGCTCTCCGAACGAGGAATCCATCGGTGGGGTCACACGTTTGATTCGAGCGTGAGACGGGTTTTCGGACCTCCGCGTGGCGGTTCCATGTTCCACCGGGTTGTCATTCCCTGCCTCCCCGTTGCAGTGCTATGGGCGCGGGCTGCTCCTCGCTGCTGGCGCGCCGCTCCCCGCGGCCCTCACGGCACTCCCTGTGCCGGTGGCGGTGCCTGCTGTGCCCCGGCGCCACCGCGGCCGCCGAGGCCGAGCAGCCCGGCGGCAGGGCCAAGGGCCGCGCCAAGGGCCGGCAGCGCCGCGACGACGCCCACCCCACTGCCAACGGCCCTTGCGGCAACCCGCTCGGCGTGGTCGTCATGCCGCTGCAGAACCCGCCGGACGTCATCGAGGCGCATCAGAGGTAAGTGGGCCGCTACACTGTGCACTAGTACACTGTCGCGCCGTTGCAGGTTGCACGGCTCGGCGGGTGGCGCCATTTAAAATGGATCAGATCGGGACCGGCCTACTCGCCTCGATCGCAACTAGCCTGCGTATTTTGACGCTAAACGGCCGCGAGTTGGCCTGGGGGCTGGGCAGGGCTGGAGGCCGCGCGATGTAGCAGGATCGCCATGTCCTGATATCCGCTGCGCGGCCGTAGCCGCCGTGGCCGCCCTGGCCGCCGCGGCTGCGACTTGGCGCGGAAAAGGCCACTTATCAGAACGGCCGCAGCCTCCCGCGGCCTGCACGAATCCTCCCCCCTCCCCCTCCCCCGAATGAATCCTCAACATTCTTTGGCATGAACATCCTCGTTTATTATTACTCGTGCCTGTGCTGCCAAAGAGGCGGAAAAAGAGCCCTGCCCGACTAGATAATAAGCGCACTTCATAAATCGTCGCGAAATTTGTATTGTAAGTGCGCGTGGCGGCGCACAGTGAGTTGCCTACCCGGCAGATGCCGTCTGCTGGAAAACGTGGATTGCCTTTGATTGGTGGAGCCGGTGGGCCTCGCGTCCTAGGCGCAGTCGCGCCCGGCGGCGAGGCTGAGCGCGGCGCGTTGTGTGGCGCGGTTGCGTCCGCCGTTCGTCCGCGATACGAAATTCGATCTTACGGGGGCAAGCGGAGCGCGGACCGCGGAGCACAAGAAACTGGACTCGTCCTCCGGCTGGAACGAGTCCAACATTTTGGAACAGTCGTGCATCCAAGCGAAGAGAAAATCCTGCATGGCGAACGCGGCACGGTGGCCGTCCCCGGCCAGCCCCGCCTTCCCCGAGACGTATTAAGTCCTTTCCAATGTCCCATGTTTTACGCTCGAGTCGCTGCTCCCCGCCGACAGGTACTTCCACTGTACGGACGCGAGTCGCCGAGCGGCGGAGCCGGCAGGGCTGGCGGGGCTGACGGCCCGGACGCGGACTCAGCCGGCCCCCGTCAAATACTCCTACTTCTCGCCCGGCGTCGCCGTCGCCTCCGCCGCCGGCCGCCCCCGGGCCGCCAGGTCGCGGCGGCCCGCCCTGGACAGCACGGCGGACTTCTCCCGGGACCGCACCTTGCCCACGCAGCACCAGCACCCGTCCCCCGGCAGCCCAAGGTGCACGCGGCGCTGGTCGGCGGCGCCGTCGGGCGCTGGGGTCGCAGAGCGGATTGCGGAACGGCCGCGCTGCCGACGCCAGGACCGCCAGGACCGCCAGGCGCACGCGGACCGCGGCCACGACCGCAGCGGGCGCCCTCGGACGGACAGGTCGGCCAGGGTGGCGAGGGCCTCGAGGTGCTCCAGCAAGTCCGCGTCCAGGACTTGCAGAGCCACCAGGACGACCAGGGCGCACAACCCCAAGGACCCGTCGTGCGGAAGGGGCACTTTCGGATACGACATCGAGGACGTAGACAGCTTCCTCGCCAAGGTACGTGTCAGACACCTGGCCGCCGGGCGGGTAGGCAACCCACCCGGCACCGGCCATGGTGGGTGACGTATCCTTCGGGCGCCTTGTGTCCTGAGCAACTTTGTGCCACCATTCACCAACCCTTGGTTTGCAGGCGTCCCTGGAGAAGCCAGCCAACATCCCCATGGTGCTGGCGTGCCCCTGCACTCTCTACCGAACGGAGGAGGGAGGCTGGCAGGAGGAGGTGAGCTGCGGCGACGTGCGTAAGGTGGCCACAGCTTCCCTGTTTTACGACTTGTTCTCCTCGCAGGTGTCGCTGCCGCTTGGCATGGTGGTCAACGGCGTGTTCCGAGTCGAGGCCTCGCCGTCATCGTCGTCGTGCTGGCTGTACGCGCAGACGCCGCACGGCCACGAAGGCTACGTGCGCTACGCGTCCTGCCTGCCCCTCGGCATCCTGGCCGCGTCGGCAGAGGCCGCGCCCAGAGACTCCACCCCGGCCCGGTCGGCGCGGTCCTCCTCGCCGTCGCCTTCCTCGGCGGCCAGCAGCGAGACGTGGGCGGCCACGCACCACCACGGCCACGGAGGGGGCGGGGCGCGCCCTCTGCCGACGCCGTCCTGGAGCCGAGGCTGGGGCCGGGGTCCGAGCTGGGACACGGCCTCGGACATTCTCCCCGCAACCTACACTGGCAACCTGACGGACACGAGCAAGGCGAAGGACACCCGCTCCGAGAGGTACGAAATCGTATCAACCGTGGTATACATTCATCAACCATTTCTCTTGAAAATTGTGAAACTTGTGTCATCTAGGGCCTTTAACTGCGCGCGGGGCACGACGAGGACACTAGTCGACAAGGGACTGCAGTTTCAGCAGGGCTTGCTGGAGGCTAGTCGGGCCGAGCGCTCCGTGGACGAGCTGTACCTCCGCTCGATGCGCTCCGGCAACACCCCTCTGTACGCCGGCGGTTCCATTCATTTTTCAAGCGCCATTAAAGTATGTTAATCGATTCTTGAAAAGGGGAAAGACAAAAGGACGCGACGATGGCGACCAAGCAAGATGCAACTTCTGCCCTGACAACGAATACTTATGGAAGGAGTAGAGGAACTGAAAATGAAGGCTTAGTCAGGTGACTGCTCTTGTGGAAGGGCAATAAAAAATTGAAAGATTTACAGAGTTTGAAAATGCCTTTACTGCATCATTTGACACTTGTTTTTTTTTTTGTTGTTTTTTCTTTAAAAAGACTACCTGTCAAATTTGGAATGGACATTTACACTGAAGGAAAACACCAACAGCACAGCACTGCAAGATACACAAAGCATTCAGCAAGAAAAACATACAGGGAGTCTACAATTAATAAAATAAAAATTCACCGAGTAAAAAGGAACAGCTTTACCTAAAAAGACAATGCCTGCTGCACTGGGAAATAAGTTTAACTGCAATAAGGGAAAGGAGGGTGAAAGCAAATTAATGTCTGAAAAAGACAAGCTAGCACTATGGTACACACAAAATACCTCCAATGGAGTGTCTAAACATTCACAACTGCATTATAAGAATGCAGCAAGGACAGAAATTTATCTGCTAAAGAGCACCCTATCACTGTAGGAACAAATTACAATGATCATGGTCAAAGTGACACTGCCCACTCAAACGGCCAAAGAGGTGTACACAAATACAAACAAAAAACATAATTGTTATCACTTTTTCCTTGGCACAAAAAAATAAATCATTCACTTCACAAGAAGGTGAATGATAAAACAAATAAATAAGAAGTAACAGGCAAGGCAGAATTACACACAATGATCAGATGGCATACAATAACAAAGTTACATGTGTATGATCCAAAGATGTGCAACATTAACTGCAGTGCAAGAAGAGTACTTGGTCACCAGGATCAGGGCAAAGCACTTCGACAAACCATCTAGATGGCTACCAAATATTGGTATGCCAATGGAAAACTGTTTTACGAATTGAACAAACAGAAAAAAGATGTCAAAAAAAAAAAGAGGCCAGATTAAAGGTAGCAGCAACCTGATTTCAATATCAGAAAAATTAAAAGATACTTTGCCCCTTTTGAAGTATAAGAATGATTGGAAAATTCTAGAGAGATAAAATTAACAGGGAACTTCAACAAGCCTTGCATATGGTTGATTCCATTCAAGTTTACTTAAGAATACATTTATCGCTCATCACATTCATTCAGAATCACTCAGAATCAATCAATATATCACATCCTCACACATACATACACATAATCTAAATTTACAGTGGGAGATTTGTCTCTTTTCATGTTGATATGCCAACACAACAGAAGGAAAAATAAACCACTTAATGGATTCCTTCAAACAAACTTAAGGTTGAGTGCTGAAAGTTTAACAGTCATTCATCAGATAGGCCCAGCAGTGGCCTACTGGATCAGTCTTTTCTACATTTACGCCTCGAGGAGGGTAACCATAAAACACTTCACCATGGACTTAAATTACACTTCAACTGCAACAGCCTCAGAGTCTATTGAAGAACTCTGGCCAGCATCTCCTGACTCTGTCTTCAGTTTTTTCTCTGGATGTTCTGCTCCATTTGATGCTTCAGAATCATTAGCTGGGGCAGACCTTTTGAGGGAGTTGGATGTGCTCACTTCATCACTGGGAACTTCTTTGCCTTCTTTAACAGGCTTGGCTTCAGCTTCTCCAGCGCTATCAATCTTTTCATTTTTGATTGGTTCATCAAACACAGAATCAGTTGTTAATGTGACTGGAAGCTTCGACAATTCAGGCCGGAACTTCACTATGACAGCTGTCATATTGTCACAACCTGTTCCATCACCTAAAGTGTTTGGTGCAAGACAATGGTCGAAAAGCTGCAAAAAGAGACTCTTTTAGGTGAATGTTCTTTAACAATGGGCTACGTGGACATGACAAATGGACACAGCCTTACCTCTTCACAAATTTGAGACATTTTAAGCTTTCCCTCTTGAATCCTCTTACGTACGAAGTCAACCACATCCTGACTGGACAAATAGTTCCAGATACCATCACAAGCCAACACCATGAACTCATCAACATCAGGATTGATTCTTAGAGTTTTGATATCTGGTAGAGCTGTGATCATCTGCTCAGTTGCTTCTTTCTCCTTATTTTGCTTGTAAGCATGATCACCTGAGGGCATAAAGTATGGAGTCAAGCCAAGATCACATACAATGTAAGTGGTTGGATTAGGATGACACTAACCTATAGCACGAGAAAGGTTGAGTCCTCCATTTACTCTTCCATCACAAGTAACTTTTCCACCAGCGTTAGTAATACGTTGCCACTCTGAGGCATCCTCTGGCTTATGATCCAGACTCATCTCAACAGCCGTTCCATTGCGACACACAACACATCGGGAATCACCAGCATTTGCAACATATAAGTCTCTGCCTTTAAGGAGGGCAACAACAGCAGTGCATCCACTATCGGCACCGGGCTGTAGAAAAAATAAAACTGATATCTGTCTGCAAACTTAACAATATTGGTATGAAGAAACAGCAAACTTACCTCTTCTTTTAAGCCCATAGCAAAGTCACAATCCTCATCTTCCTCATCCACACTATCGTCATCGTCGTCTTCATCATCGTCCTCATCTTCCTCGTCATCATCCTCTTCCTCCTCCCCGTCCACATCTTCATCACTGCTGCAAATTAAGACATGAGTCATGGAACCGTTTTCTGTGGACAGGTAAGAGTCACTATTTAAGTAAGAAGGGCTCATGTATACCTTTCTGCTACACCACCATCAAAAGTGGTATCATCCTCATCTTCTGTGTCCTCTGAATCTTCATCTTCCATGTCTTTTTGTGCTTTAAGGATACTGCGGTACATTTGTAAAGTGCTAATTCTGGTTGTTCGTACTGGCTTGGATTGCTTGGGAGATTCCTGAACAACACATAAAATATTGATGTCATTAAAAAACCACACACTCACACACACACTAATGAGAATGAATTTATCATTACGTCAGCTTCAGGATCTGGACGAGGAGACTTATCCTTAGCCTTTCCCTTCCCTTTCACCCTCTTCTCTTGGCTAGGGGTAACTTCACCATTTACTGCTCCATCTTTAGAGGGAGAACTTGACGAGACTGCATCATTTCTGCTATCTGACTCCTCCTACAAAGGAAAGACAACCGTTTAAGACATAACTGGCACAAGCCAAAATTAGGGCTTTAACACACAGCAGACAAAAGTAGATTACAATCTTACCTGTTTGATATCATGGTTGACATCACCATTTACACCCTTTTTATCAGTGCTATCAACAGCACCATTCTGTTGAGCACCACTTCCACCACTGCCACTGGACACACTTGAGTCCGTATCTTTTTCACTCTTAACTTCAGCTTTAACCTCTGTTTTCACTTCCGCATCACCTGACGATGAACCAACATCTTTCTCTTCTTTCTCTTTGACATCACCTGAAGAGCCTACATCAGGGCTAGCTGTTTGGGTATCTGGGGGCAAGCAAAAATGAACACACTTACAAATCAGTGACAGCATGAAGGGGGAAAGTAAAGGAAAGCATCAATACCTGGTACATCATCACTGGAGTTTACTTCGTTAGAATTGGAGGGCCCAGCTGAAACCTGAAGAATGATTCATTGTGAAAATACGGTAATTATTACAGAAATTCAGAGTCATTGAAGAACACCATTCCAAGTTTCTCACATTAGCAGAGGAGCTGGAAACTTGGTCACTATTGGATGATGAACTACAACCAGCACCAGAGCTGGAACCTTCATCTGATGAGCTTGAACAACCAGCACCAGAACTATTTCCTCTCCTAGCTTTCAAGTAAGGTGATGCAGGTTGGGTCCCTGAAAACAAGTTTGAAAACAAAATTGATAGTAAGTTGGGGCATGTATGCAAAATGATGAGAACACATTCACTTACCGTCTTTCAATCTTTTGATAGCAAGTCCTCCTTCACTTTTGTACTTGGCAAGAAGTTCCTCTATCGGCATACAAGCTTCTTCTTCAAGATTGCTTACTTCTTCCTCTTCTTCATCTAAAAAATTGAATTAGCAAATATTTTAAACAATAAAAATAAAAATTCAACAGATAGAAAAATACAAACGGCAGGACTTACCTGAAGATTGGCCTTCCTCTTTGTTATTTGCTAACATTTTAAGAACAGAAATGATTTCTGGCTTTGTGAGTGTATTGTCGAACCCTAAAAAGGCTTGTTTGAGAGCCTCCAAAAAGTCACCATTTTTATACTCTTCAACCTCTTTCAAAAATTTTGGAAAATTTTCTGCACAATATGCAGCGACTTCATGCCCTCCGTGCCCATCGTAGACCGCAAACAATGATGTTCCATCGTCAAAATTTAATACTGCATTGTGGGCGTCCTGTCGAAGAAAAAGACAAACATTAATAAAACCACAGAACAGTAATAATTGGGACACTTTGGCGAGCGGCTGTCGATCAACACTTGACAAACCGAATACAATGAACTTTGCGCAGGGGGTAAAGCACCCTAACCAATGCACACTATTGATTGGAGTGTAGGCCCCAAACAAAGCACGCGGCGCGGGCAGAACGAGGCGGTGCAAAAGTGTGCCCACCGACGGAGTACAAGCAACCCGTGCGGTGCCTGCTCGAGACGGACCGCATCATCTGCGACACTGTGCAAATTCACTGGGAACGCGGCGTATCGCTTTCGGGACGAGCTCGGCGGCCCTCTAGCCGGCCGCGCACCGGCACCCAACACAAAGGCACCTCGGTCGCACCGGTGTGCCACCAGGGGCCCAAACGCCGGCCCGGCCGTGCCCGCGGCACCGGGCCACGGCGACGACGGGGCGTCTCGAGTTACGACGCTGTCCGCGAAGACATGAAGCACAAACTCACCTCCTGCGTCATGCGCCAGCCCTGCATGGAACTCAGGCCGCACTGCAAGTACTCGTTGGACTCGTCGCTGGACGTCTTCTCCGTCAGGGGCTCTGACAAATAGGCACCCATGGCAACGGAAAGGCAGGTATCAGAGACACGTCGAGGAAATGGGCATCAAACAGTCGCACCCTCGAAGACTCGCCGGCCAAAATCAACAAACTGCGGGCGGGAGACTGCAGACTCGTGCTGCACGTCTAGGCTGCCATAGTCAACGACCTGCACAAGATGTAAGGTCGGGGTAAGTAACTTTGAGAAAAGTTTTGCCGCGTGGGGAGCGACGCTGGCGCTCTCTATCGGACCTTCGAGCAACCAGAGTCTTCATTCGGCGGGCTTTTCCTAAGGCCCGCGGGTTAAAGAAATTGTTATGAATGGATTTCATTGTTAAAATTCCAGCCGTGTTGTCAAAAGAAAAGTAGAATCCGTGGACCCTTGAAGGGAAGTAAAGAAGAAATGGCTAGAATGCGTTTTGGATTTCGCCTTTCGCATTCACATTCCCATTCGCTACATCGTGCAAATGAATGGCGAAACTGAGGAAAAATAGAGAAGCAGGAGTTCTGACAACAGATTTAAACACTGTGTGGACACGGAGCATTGCAAGAGTCTTCATAAATAATTTATTTGGAGACGATTCATTTAAATGCGAGCGAATCCCGCTAAAACTAGCCTCGCAGTAGGCCGAGCATCGACCCCCACTGACATTCATACTAACTTTGGTCTCAGTGAGCAACAACATAGGATTGTCTCCGTTCTTACAGACTAGTGAATCGTAGCTAAGGCAACTACGTACAATGTTCGTTTTCTGTGTAGATGAGAAAAAATATAGCAGTCAAACTTAAAGAGGCAGTCTGATTAAACCATAAAACCGAACACGGTTGTGGCATGACCCCTCATAACATCAACAACAATCCAACAAAAACAAGGACAACTGCAGCAGACTACAGAACATGGCTCCCCCGAATCTTGTTGGTGTTTGGCAGGTTTGTGAATTTGACTTAATTTTTGAGTCAGTGTGACAAATAGCAATGCAAATTGATTTTCGGAATGATTTTTCATTCATTGAACTCTCATAGAAACGGTGTCGCAATTCACAGTTTAAATCGCGGGTTTGATTTGTCATCTGTTTTGACAGCTCTCTTGGTAGAAATAAACTTTATATTTTCTTCTACTTACACCTAGTTTCTTCTACTTTCATCTAAATATTCCTTAAATGTGACTTGTGGCCATTATCAGACCAAGTAAGCATGCCATGCCATTTCAAAGATTTCTTAAAATTTGTGCATGACCTGACCTGCTAAGAGCTGACTTTCCTACATGGCCACTTCAGACTGAGAAATCTCATTCCTTGTCTAGGGAATTCAACATTACCATCCATTTGATTTTTTTTCTGTTGTGAACAGATTCTTAAGTGTGGCCAGCTAAGTGCAGATTGCAGCTGTGGGAAGAATTATGGAATCGAAGGGTAGGTTTTGCCCCAGGGGTCACACTCATCATTTATATTTCAATGTTTATTTGCCTTGTCTCATGCCTTGTAGGACAACTTTCCAACTGGACGATGCTGGAGATGTCTTATGGAAACCCTCAGAGGGAGCTGAAACGATTCCTATTTTAAACTGCGATACATATGAGGTCTACAATCCTAGCCACAATTCCACTATCATACAATTTGGTGCACACATTGGTCATGTCATTGAATTCAAGGTAATATCTGGTTTTTCTTTATAAATTCATCCTTTGGAACTGATTCAGTTTCAAGCGTGAGCTTCTCTCCAGGTTGAAGATATGGATCCACCAGGATATATCACTTTAAGAAATGATCTTTGGTGTTGTTTACGTTGTAAGCGAGTGCCCACTGAGGAGTTAGAACCTCTACTTGATGCACCATTTACCCTACATCCAGCATTAGAAGACGGATATTTTTCTGACATCACTCTTACAGCAGCTAATGGAAAACAGGTAGCTTCCTTTTTCAGAAATCACTTATGCGCCAATATACTTTTCTTAATCAATGCCTTTTGTTTTTGTTTTGTTTCAGTTTTTTGTTCATTCCTGCATACTTGCTTTAAGTCTGCCAGATGTTGATTGGAATCAGACTGTTACCCCACTTTCGGGTCTTCCAGAAGATATTTTGAGTGCTATACTGTACTATCTGTATGCAGAATGTTTGCCAAATAACTTGACTGAAGTTTGTGCTCGACAAATTATTTCAATTTTGTCTCAACTTCCTTCTGGAGCTTTGGTCAGACTTTCTGATTTGTGTGAGCTCTTCCTGAAACATGTGGCCTTGAAAAAAGGTAACTGTTGTCTCTAAAGACTTAAGTCTAAGCATATCCAAGAAATTCACTTGTCAAGTCAATTAACTTTCCAAGCTGAACTCATACGCATAGTTTTTGAAGATTTTTTCTTAATATACACTATACATTTGAAATTTTTCAGAAATCACAACTCTTACTGAAGATATGCATGCCTGTGGTGATCAAATTATTGAGCACTTTACTGGTGCTAAATCAGCTGTAAGTCAAGGAACTGAAGCTTTGAAAAGTAACCCTGCAAAATTATGCTATGTCATGAAACAGTGTGTTCGAGAATGTGCAGTTGGTGCGTCTGAACTCAGTTTGTCATGGCCATAAGGTTATTTTTCAATTCTCAGCTTATTTTTGCTCTATGTGAAATTACAGGGCTTGGGAAATTTGTTGTTCTCTGTCACCTTATCACAACACGAAAGAAAGAACTCTCCTCTGCTGAAAGAACTGAAATTATTCGCTATGCAAAGTCAAGACTCCCTGTGTTCTTAAAACAGTTACATCAACTTCTGAAAGCAGTAAAGTCAACATTCAGCGGGATGACTTCAATGCAAAGATTTGACATTGCAACATACATTGTCCCTGAGGTACTGTTCTTTATTTTCCATTTTTATAAAGTAAATTGCCAGTAGTCTGATAAAATTTTACGATACCCTTACTGAACTTTTTATTGATTCCAGATTGAATTAGTTCTAGACGTTGTGTCTACCATTGCCCTAGATATCAAGACAGCTTTGGAGCAGATTATCAATGACATGAGTCCTCATGTCCATTTACATCCTCCAGCAGATCCTCAAAACAGTAGAAGCGAAAGTTCTTTTAGTACCGACGGAATCTCTAATTTAAGAGCAGATGCAGAGAATGTACAAGACAGAGATATCTTAACTTCTTCTTTGAACGCTGTGAGTAATGATAATGACACTTATCATTTGGGTATGGAGATGAGAGTGATTACAACTGGTGTACTAATCCAAATCATTTTTTTTTCTTTTGGCTAGATATTGACCTTGAAAGATATCAGTAAGCTCAGAAGATTTCACCAATGGATGACTTTTAGTTTGGCATGGCTTTTACAAAGAAGGTATTTATAAAGCTGTTGTTGTGTATAAAGCTGTGTGTGTGGGTGTGTGGTTTCTTTTGTTTGAGTTTTTGTAGGTTTTCTTTCTTTCTTTCTTTCTTTTTTTTTTTTTTTTTTTTTGGGGGGGGGGGGGGTTTGGATATACCCTATGATTTCCAGATATTGTTCCAAGTATGACTCTTTTATGCTTTTCAATCAAGGGAAAACTTTCATGAAATGTCAAACACCAATAAAGTACGATCGGTCACACGCAATTTGGATCAGATATTGGAGGAACTACCGGTCTTCCTACTTCGCCTTCAAGACATTGATGATAAATTAGAATGGAGAGAATTTAAATTCATATTTAAAATTGCAGCCTCAAAAACCGTGAGTAATCTTTTCATTTATTTATTCTACGGTAAAATGGGATCATTCAATGTGGTTTATTCCTCTAATTTTTTTTCTTTTACCCATGGTTACAGTCTGGCTGGGTTGACTTGATGCTATCACACAAAAGTCTCCTGCAGCAAGTATTTGAGCAGGTGTCAATCCATGTTCAACGAGAAGAGTTTACCAAGTCACTCCTGAGTTTAGGATTGATTGATCCTCAGCAGGGATGTGCTGCTCCATATTCAGAAAATGTTGAAGGTTGCAGCAGCTATGTCCCTTCTACCAGTACAACTTCAGAAAAATCCGATGAAAAGGTAATGGAGAAGAATTATGTAACTACACAATAGAATCTCTGGCAGTTATTTATTTTTTGTGCTTTCTTTAAAACGTTTTCTTCTTCTCCTTTTTTTTTCTTTTCAGTTGAATTTGTTGCAGTCAGTCTGTGTATCACCCTCATCAAGGAGAAGTTACCTATCCAAACAAGCTCTTCCTTTGCTTAAATCTGAGGAAGGCTATGATATGGTATTTGAGGTCATAGCCACCAAAGGTTGGTCGTCAATTTATTCCTGTACGCGCTCTTTCTAAAGAAATTTGTAATGCTTTTGCTAAATGGTAAGAACACTTTGATAAGGAGCATATGGTTTTCATTCTTTGCTTTTCTCTTTTGACAGATTTAGACTTAGCTGGGGAAGGGAACCAACCTGGAACTGAATCTACGCCCTCCGATGATGCTGAGCCAAAGGAAGAAATCCACACTGTGAAGGCTCATCGGGTTATTGTTGCTGCTCGCTGTGATTGGTTTAGGAGGGCACTGTTGTCAGGCATGAGAGAAACTATTGATAGGTAAGATCTATATCAGGAATGGTGATTTAAATATTATCAATTCTAGTAGAAGTACAGGCCATGTTATGCCATGTCTGATTTAAATAAAAAAATTTCTCTCAAAATTTAAAAAAAAAAGGTTTAATTTTGTTAACATTTTGCAGAAAAATTCTGGTGCATGACACGAACCCAGCCCTGTTTTTGGTGTTCTTGGAATACCTGTATAGTGGTTGTATTGACATCAAAGACTTGAGTGTCGATCAGATAGCAGAACTTATGATGCTCAGTGATCGTTATGAGGTTGACACACTCAAGCAGGTCTGCGAGCAACTTTTGAAACGGCATATAGATGGTGATTCTGTTCTTTACTTCCTAAGCTTGGCTGATCAGTTCAATGCTAGAGCCTTGAAGGTAAGTCTCCTGTTCAGCCTTTCTGTGAGTTTGGTCTCTGGTTTTAGTTTCACATACTGCATTGATTTTATTAAGAATATTTTTTGCATTTTTACAGGATGCTTGCTTGACTTTTGCATCTCACCACCCAGGAATAATGGATCATGATTTGTTTGAAGAACTGCCACAGAGCCTACAGTCTGAAATTTATGACTTAATAATTTGGGTGAAACCATCGTAAGTTTTTATATTTTTGATTTGAATACTGCCTTCTCAAATTGATTTCACAATTTATCTATCTACTTCCCAACAATTACAGTATTGCTGAACCACCAGAGCCCACAGAACCTCGTGTCAGGTTTTCCAGCCCTGACCCTGACCTGTCTTGTTCCTCTAGCTTGGAAGATTTAGAGGACCTTATGGCTAATCTCCGTGCAGCTGGAAGTCAGGTACATTTTAATAAATATCTTTTACTAGTTGCTGGAGTTCGAAAGCTCATCCTTTGTTTCTGAATTTTCTTCCCTTGACTCTTGGACATTCCAGGGAAATCGATCCATCAGTGATTCATTGGAGGAGCTCCCACTTACTCAAGATACCAGCCAACTTGAAAGGTGTGTGCAAGATCTCTTTGATATTGTTGGTGAGGAAGCTTCTCGGCATGAATTGGTTCAGGTATGTTCAATATAAGGGAGCAGAATTTCAGTTTATGAATGTGCTTTTAATAAATATTAACTACATCCATGATCTATCTTCTAGCTTGCCATGGCTGCTGATTATGATGTCAACAGGGCGGCAAATTTTTACTATGAGCAGAAGGAACAATCTTAGAGTTGAAGAAACGGTTGAGGCATGAGATAATGATATGTCCATATAGTGGCGTTGAGGCGCAAGATGTTGTGGCTGGCTTTAGCTGCACTAATCAAAGACTTTTAACTTACAATTTTGCATTTGTTGTGACTGCACTTTTCCACCAACTTGGGAGAAAAAAAAACCTTGATACTATTTGTGATCAGAATTTTCTTTTTGAGTCTGCTAGACTCCTTGCTTTGTTAAGTGACTTTGATCAGTTTGACTGTTCCTTTTCTAAAATGAAATACTGTATTTAACAGGTTACACAGATTTTTTTCTTGCATGATTTTTTTATTATTACTCAAAGCAGCTTTGCCTAGCGCTGAATCACATTTTTTGTTTCCTACACTATCATTGTTTTCTTTGAATTCACTTATCTCTTACTTTTTAATTGTGATCTTTTATTGTTAGGTTGGCTAGTCATTCTTCAACATGAGATTCAATGTGATTGTCTTCTGTACAGCTCTTTTTCAAACTGCACCTCCTAGATTTAGAGAACTTATTCAGTGGTGCACAGTCCTCAAATTGGAGGAGCACTAGTGAGTTAGTCTCGTTTCTAGACATCTAGTAGCTTTTGAAATTGCAGATGTGAGAAATTCTTTGAATTGTGATACTTAGTTCTGTTTTTATTTATAAGATTAAGATTTTTTTATCAATTCCTTGTTTTAAAAAATATGTTAAGAAGCACCAGCACTAGCTTTTATGAGGTCTCTCATTTCATTGACCACTGGATCTCCCTTTTCAGTATTGCAGCATTTGATAATATTTCATGTATGTAACTTTGTCATTGAATCCCCTGAAGAGCAGATTATGCCCATAGTTTCAAATAATCAGGACTTTCTTTTGAGCAATGCTATATATTGCACAATCTACCTCTATAACCCCTCCAAAGAAAAAAAGGGAAAAAAAAGGCTACAACATAATTTTTGTAAAACTCACATTCTTTTAGATGAGTTTTAGTAATGTTTGATGCATGAAAGTGTACCAGCTGGTGTGTATAATCAGTTACCATGTCAGGTACAACCAAAGACTGATAATTTTGTGGACATCTAGAATGGAAGATAAAATGTGGGTAAGGATATGCCATGTGTATTTAAATTGATATCTTGTTTTAAAATTCCAAATGCTAAGCCTGGCCTTGCTGTCATTTTGCTAACACAAGCTGGATCATATTCTATTTTAAGGATATCCTTTTCATTTGTTCAGCCATTATTACATTGGATATACTGCAAGCCTCGGGAAGGTTTTGCATAGATTCCTCGAGAGGCTCATCTTAGATTCTTCTTTGGAGTGGAGCACATTCTTTCAGCAATCGTATGAGTGATGAGAGTTCATTTTTGATGACGTATAGAAGTCGAAGACTAATATGGGAGCACCCTTCATTTGTCTTGGACTTATTTTCAATGCAACTTGTTACTTGTCACACATGGTCACAGTATCGTCCTAATATGTTTCACCATTTCTTTTTTTTGCTTTCTTTAATTCTGGAATGAAAGGATGGTTTTTTTACATTGCGGCAAGAGTCCACAAGGCTAAGATGGAATGAATTGGGTTTAGTTTGGTGCAAGCAAACATAAATTAAAGAAGTCTTTTGTCTTAAGAGCAAACCCATTATTATTATTGTTATTCCATATCCTCCAGAGAATGTTGTATGTCACATGTTGTATTAAAAATTTTGCAAGAGTCTTGCACTAATGGAATTTGTTTCTGAACTTCTAGAAAGTACATGTACAAATGAATGGAACTTACACCAAAATCCAGAAAAATCCAGTCTTCTTAGAGCACTGCATCAGTGAGATGCACACACACACAGACACACAATTCACTTGCCTCTATCACACTTCTTTGGATATGACCCAGTTGCTTTTTCATCCACCGAGAAATAGATTGTTAAATTTCCCAAGGTTGAATGAACATAAAATCAGTGCAATTGTTGGTTCAAAATCCATTTTGTGGCTGAAATCTTGCCATTTCTCATTCCGGATTGAACAAGCCGCTTCAAAAAGTCACACAAAAAATACATTTTCAGAAAATTACAATGTATTATTTATAAAAAAACAAGTTCCAATTTTTTTGGTATAGACAGCACTAGAATGTGCAGATTGGTGGATATCATTGTGCATCAGCGAATCCTTCCTGAGCATCATCCTGATTAGCAGCAAGAGGCTCTCCCCAATTGAAGCCACCGGGCCGATCTGCAGGCTGAGGTACTTCCTCTGGAGGAGGATCAAAAAGCCTTTTCCTGACAAGAAACACATGTTGATCAGAATCTGTTATGCATGCAAGAACAAGTAGAAAATTCATCCAAAACCTTACAATATTTGGGGAGTGACTAATAGTCGGAAACCACCACTCAGATTTGGGAAAACATCTTCAATGAAGAAATACATGTGCCCAACAGCTATTCCAACAAAATCCACCCACACTGCGTTACTCATCAAGAGAGAGAATCCCAAGAGAACCCAGGGCAGGTAAGGAGCCTGAAAACATTCAACAAAAATTATTTAAAAAATTAATCAACATTTTCAAAACACTGTTCAAATTATTCACTTACATTAAAGTTGAGAACACCAAAAAAACTCATTCTAACATATGGGTTCCTCCTCGACCAAACATAGACAAGCATGATTGTGAATGCTTGCCCAAGGAACAACAAACTTACAAAAAAAGCAAAAATCTGTTGGGCAGTCAAGGCAATACAAAACCAAAAACTTCAATTTAAAAAAAAAATTTAAATGGTAGGACAAGAAAACCAAGTTATGGTCTGATAAGGATACTATCATGGAAACACCACCAAATATGAACATCATAACAAAGTCTGCAGTTCGGCCTCTAAATGATCCTTCTTCTAACATTCTGCAATATCGGTAAGTGAATATTACGTTGAAAAAGAAATTGAGACCAACTGTTCCAAAGAAAAGGAAAGTTGTAAATAGTCTCCATATCTGAAACATGACAAAAATGGAACATGATGACACGTTTCATACAATATACTATAAGAAAAAGTTCTAAAATTCTTCAGTCTACAAACCTGGAATTGTTTTATTATTAGAATTGGATTGAAATAAAGTTGAAAGGGGGATATCAAATCCAGTTGCTGAAACAGAGACCACAAATAAAGAAGAATATATCATATTTATGACTCAGTAAACTGGATTTACAGGCAAAGAGGCAAGTTTGATTTTAAATTTAACAAAATCAACAAGCCAAAGTGGATCAAGACCATTTAAAAAAGAACTCGTGAGACTAAATTACATTATTTATAGATACATTGGTTTTGAATAGTTTGAATAGATTTTCTTTTTTGAACTTGGTGCAAAAAAAGGATTTTGTATGAAATGATGAAAAATCACTTGCAAATACAAGCAGATAAATACTGCGGGAATACAACGTGAATTAACCGACACTTACAACAGCTAAACTTGTGACAACACATGCTGTGGTATATGCCCGTGTCACCACGGGCATTTGAAGGTACTCTTGACGCAAAGTTTGATAAGCCATGGCAAGTGAGGCTATAGAGCTGTTTACAACCACGTCATTATTTCTGAACTGCAACTTCTAGCGTCCTGTTAGACTTGGAGTATCAAGTCTACTCACGCCCCCATCACTTGGGAACAATGTATAACATGGCCTTCAAAGTACAACCGTCACACCATCAAAATTTTTGTAAAAAATTACTACATTAACTGTCAGCAGCGGTTTGTTCAGCGGTTCGGTTCACTACTACCACCTCCCCTCCCCTGCCTCAGTCACAACTACTACTGCTACTACTACACCAACACAGGCCTAGTCTCGCGTCGTCTGCTGGGGTGCCTCGGTTGAAGTTACATTGCAGTTTCAGTTACAATAAAAATAAGCCTTACGGCCCTCTCATGTGACATTTTACAGTGAAGGAACTAGTAAGCAGCACACAGTGATGACGAGAGAGACGTCAGTGGTTTGGATTGGATGCGAAATGCGAGTTGTCACGCAACTTTTGCATTCGCACTTTCGCTTTCGCTTTTGGCCTGTTTTGAATTTCTCATACATCTCGGACTAATTTTGGTTCGGTTCGGTTCGGTTCGGTTTTGACTCGGGAGCTTCGGGTGGAGTCGTTCGTTGCACATGCATGTGAAGTCCTTCGAGTCACGTCAATCAAAATAAGGAGATAAGCTTTTGATCATTAATCGTCATCGTTGTTCATTATTAACATCTTTACGACACATTCGTCGAACGTAAGCTTAAAATCCTTGGTTTAGATGTAGATACTTGTCGCCGGAACCGCTCGCCGATTTATAAATAGTTCATGAGTCACCGTGTCATGGTAGCCCTCAAACCCAAGTTACACTTCACTTTGTCGTTGTGTCGACGCATTGTGAAGTTGTCCCGTCGTCAGTCGTGACGAATTGATAATTATTTTTCAGCGTGGACCTGTGACAACTTCACCTTGTCGCCTTTGACGAGAGGCGCCCCACCTCTCCCCTCCCCTCTTCACTGCTCTCGCTTGGTGGTTACTGTAGTTTGTTGAGTGAATATTTGAAATTCCTGAACAGATTATATGGCAACGATGACGGATTCAAGCATCAGGCCTCTTCGAACACCCAAGACTGTACCGATAATTGATGATTACGAAATATCAAATACAGTTCTTGGTCTGGGGATCAATGGCAAAGTAGTGCAATGCTATTCCAAAACTACTAGAGAGAAATACGCCTTAAAGGTGAGTCGTGCATGTGAGAACTTTGTGATTTTTGTCATTTTAGTAATGTGAATACATTACAGCTGCATTTCAATTAATTTCTTTGGGTAAATTGTGTGGATATCTACGTTCAAGGCCTTCCTTAATGCCCTTGAAACGATGCTGTCTATGGCTGATAAGCAAGTTTGGCAACCTACATTTCTTACATTTTTCTTTCACTCACAATAGGTTTTACATGACAATGTGAAAGCTCGTCGGGAAGTGGACTTGCATTGGAGGGCTAGTGGCTGTCGGCATATTGTCAATATTATAGATGTGTATGAGAACACTTACAGTGGGAATAAATGTCTTCTTGTTGTGATGGAATGGTAAAGTATAAGTTGAAGCTCAATAAGTTTTTTTAAATCAGGCGTTCCTTTTTTTACATGGTGTGTTTTCTATCATTTTGAAGCATGGAGGGAGGTGAGCTTTTCCAACGAATTCAAGAAAGACAGGATGGAGCATTCACAGAAAGAGGTAATTGGTCATGTTGCTTTTTACTTTGGTTGACAGCCAGTGTTACTTTTTTATGTCATTGTGTTTATTTAGAAGCCGCACAGGTCATGTGGGAAATTTGCTCTGCTGCCAAATATTTGCATGATGTCAATATTGCTCACAGAGACCTCAAACCTGAAAACCTACTCTATACCAAACCAGGTGATTTTAACTTATGAGTTACACACAAAAGTTTATGCACACTGATTTATTGACTTCATGATGAAACCTTTTCTCTGTGACTATTGTGTCAGGTGAAGATGGAGTTTTAAAACTGACTGACTTTGGTTTTGCCAAGGAGACATTTTCAAAAGACACCCTTCAGACTCCTTGCTACACACCTTACTATGTTGGTGAGTTTCAATTTACATTTTTCTCTTATTTATGAGAAATTTGCATTTTAATCTAATAATGGAATTGAATTACAGCTCCAGAAGTTTTAGGACCTGAAAAATATGACAAAAGTTGTGACATTTGGTCACTTGGTGTCATTATGTACATTCTGTAAGTTACCTAATTCATTTGGGTCTTGAAGCCTTTGTTTCACTGTGGTGATTCATTCATCTTACATTTTTGTATTTGGCTGTGCAGATTGTGCGGATTCCCCCCCTTCTACAGCAATCATGGCCTTGCAATTTCGCCGGGAATGAAGAAGCGTATTCGGACAGGGCAGTATGATTTTCCCAATCCTGAATGGCAGAATGTTTCACCAGAGGCCAAAGACCTTATTCGTGGAATGCTGAACATTGACCCCACAAAACGTTTTACTATTGAGCAGGTCATGAGGAATCGGTGGATATCTGTAAGTTTGTACCATGAAGTTTTAGCCAAGCCAATACAGTTTCAAATTTTACTTTGATTAATCTTGTTCGTCTCCTTGCAGCAATACACTGAGGTTCCCCAAACTCCACTTCATACAGGGCATATGTTGCGTGTAGGAGGCGATATCTGGCCGGAGGTGCAGGAAGAAATGACACGCTCACTTGCAACCATGCGAGTGGATTATGATCAAGTTCATATTAAAGATTTGAACAACTCTAATAATGAGCTTCTGAATAAACGACGCAAACGTGGAGATGCGCCATCTGGTTCAACTGCACAAGGGCATGCTACTGAGCAAGAGGTTCAATCATAAACAATTTTCTTTTCTATTTAGTGTCTTGAGTCCTTTTCCCTCCAGACTGTTTATTGTTGTACACATCTCAGTTACCTATGTATGTTGAATTAACCTTTAAATGAGTACTTTGTAAAATGGTGTTGTGCATGGGATGGATTCATACAAAAAGTACAAGACATCATTCACTCACTCTGTCACAGTGGGCTTAATGAATGCTATCAATAATGTCAGAATGAATCAATCAAATTAGTTTATCAGATATACTTAAAAATTTTGACACCTCTATTTGGTGGTTGCGTACTTAAAGTACATAAATAGATTTAAAACTGTATTGTTTGTGTTGGACCACAGTGTTTTGTGCTGTTAGTTGAGGTGTATGCCATAGTAGTTCAGGAAGTTCTTTAAGATAACTAATTTAGCAGTGGGGGTCTTTGACCACGATAGTATTCTTTCCTTTTTTTTTGTTGGAGTGAATAGCTTAAATCACATTTTTATACATTTACATACTGATTTTCAGATGAAGTTAGGAAAAGTTGCTAACTTTTTAAAACAACAAAATTGGTTAGGACTTGTCTCAAATTTAAGGTGATCTATGTAGGTCAATCAGAAAAGAATATGGGAGTGTTTCCAGTTAATTTTCATCATTATCATGTTAAATTTTACTTTGTCTCATTTGCCCTTGCATCCAAGGTTGTATGTAACATTTATCTGTTGACGTTTGTCTTTGAATTAGATGTCAATGAATGTGTACAGTCATTTAAAAAAGGTCCAGTAGTAGCTGTGGCTAAGAAACTAAGCGGGTTGTCAATTCCACATAGTCTTAATTAAATAGTTATCTCGTCTTAATGCTTCCTAAACCTAATATAGAGACTAAACATGTTTATAAGTTTGAAACCTTAAAATTTTGTGCCGTTTGAAAGATAATCTTGATTTCATGTCTTCTTGTCTACTTCATAAGTGTTGGCAATGTAACAATTTTCCCCTTTGTAAACTCTTACCAGCCATTGAATTCGAGATGAAATGTGACTTAGGTAGTAATTGAAACATTCTGTACACAATAGATTGTTTAGGTCCCCAAAGCTTTCTATTTCTCCTTGTGAGAGTAATGCACAAGCTGAGAGACAATGTGATTAACTAGAGGTATACCTCAATGCCTTCTTGTGATTTTACTTCGTCCTTTTGAAAGAACCAGTTTCTCATTAAAAAGTTTCATTGAAATGCATATAAAACTCTAGTAATATTGTTAATATCTCAAATGTTTAATGTTTGTTACTATCATTTTCAAACTATACTACAGTTGTGCATTGTTATTTAGGTAAGATTTTCAATAGGACATAAGTTGAGCTACTAAAACAACAATCAGTTGGTTCTCTAGCCGTGTTTGTGGGCCCTTAGCCCCCTGTGTAGTGATAGGAGACAATAATTTTGTTTGCAAGTCTGTAAAATCTATTACACTTGATTAATGTCATTTTTACATTTTAGTTTTTGTGTGAGTGTGCATTTGTGTGTGTGTGTGTGTGTGAGAGAGAGTGTGTGTGTTTGTTGCATTTGTCAGTAATGTGAAGGACAAGGTTCATGACAACCTCTATTACATTCTGACTCCCTAAAAATGTATCTGGATTTTCCTAGTTACTTGCTAAACCAAACTAGAAAAAAAATCAAATGTTCGTCTGTATTATGTTGTTCATTTTACATATTTGAAACTTGAATAGATTAATTAGTCCATCAGATTGTGTCTGGTGTGCTTTGTATCATAACAATTCTGCTCGGGACTTGACAAAGCATAAATTGTGTGAATGTCTTAGGAACTTTGTGAGAGATGATCTGAAAAGCAAGCAAGTGTGGAAGGTATGTTGTTTTTTTTTATTTTATAGTTAAGAAAAATGAACAATAATTAGGATCAAAGGGTATTGTCGAATGTGATTTTGAAAGAGCTTACTTATGTCATACTTTCATTAATACTGAAGTTTGCCTTGGGCAATTGTAATTTTATAGATATGGAATTCATAGTATTTCAGTTATCACCTTTGTTTCTTTATTCTTTTGTAAGATATATTTTGTGTGTAGGTAGCCACTGCGGTTGGCACTTTTCCTGTCTTGCATTTTAAAAGACTGTTTGAATTTTCATGAGACCATGTGTCTGTATGTTGTCTATTCATCAATGGGACATGTTGTCCAAATTGGTTTTCATTGTCTTTTTGATGTCATGGTGCATCTCTATTGTGACTGTATTACACACAGATAAGTCACTTTGGGTGTAGCAAATTTTCTCCATTTTTCTTGCTCAATTTGTAATTTGGTCCAATTTTTATTTTAACTGTGGTAACAAATTACTAATAAAAATTTTCAGCTTCCATGATGTGGGTTATGAAGGATTCAATGAAAACACTTCCCAAATTTCACCTGGCAAAAAATATACTACACTTTCCACATTTCAATAACAACAAAAAGTTAAAAACAAATCATTATGAAAAATCTTAAAAATTAAAGTACACAACAAGGTAATAATAGCAAGCCAAAAGTTTGTCAGAATGTGTCATCATTTCCCAAGAAGTACCGTATATCAGAGTGCAACAGCTACATCTTGTCTGGACAACAATAAAACCTACTGGCTAATACTCTCATACTCTATTATAAAACATTCCTCAACCATATCATAGCTATTGCTCTCACAATTTCAGATAATTTTATTTGCAACTGTCCAACCAATGTGAAAGGCGTGCACATCAGGGCATTTGGCCTACAACAACAGGGTGGGTAGACTAGTCCATTCTTCTTCACCAAGTGATGAAATGAGGAGATGCTACCACTCCATTAGTAAGCCATATGGCACAAATGAGAGAACGCAATAAGTTGCACAGCTTGCCTGTGTTGGCAAACAAAACCCCAAACACAGTAGATGTTTGAATGCACTAGTTTGTTTGGAGAAAAACGATCTCCTACCATCCACTTTAACATGTTGACTCAAACGACTTGATACACCCTGCAGAAGCGAAAAAGGCAGGTACAGAACTCCTCGTATTTATGTTTCTAGGTGTAAATTGAAAATCTTGCACGACGACCATCTTTACTGAATCACCACACTGCATTAAATTACTCTTATCAGTAAAAACGACAGAAATGAAGTTGTATTTTCTAAAAAATCGACAATTGTCATTTCAAACCCGTAGGGCCTGTTAAAATTGTTAGATACAGCACTTCAAATCCAAGATATTAGTGACCTCCCTAAAAGCACTCTTAACCATCCGCTGCATGTTCCATAAATCTTATGTATGAAACAAGAACTAAACCTATGTGTTTCAACACCATTCACGCATGCATTACAATCTGAACAGTTTATAATAACAATAATGACTAGGCACACATATATTTGTTCTGTAGATTTGAAATACTTCCAGACATTGTACTCCTCCCCTATTGCAATAAAAATATCACCGTATCATTGATAAACTTGGTACAAAATGGTAACCAATATCTGAACTCGAATCTACCTTTTGAGCCTTTGTGCACACGTATTGTGTGTTTTCTACACTAATGATTCTTCTCAGATGTAAGACATGCATGGTATGATGGGTTTGTTTGGCACTGGAATCCTTAGCCAGCCAGCAACCATGAAACCTTTCACTCCCCTTCACAAAATGCACACAAAATACTGAAACTGTGCAAGAAAATTTGCAAAATACAAATAGCAAAATAGCTATTAATAATTTAGTGTAAAATAGATGGTACACGAATCTGACAAAATACAGCTTTAAAGCTTTCCTCCCCCTTATAAATTTAAGAATTGATTTGAAAGTCATAAAATACATGTAACTCATCAGAGAGCACCCACATATTAAACCCACATATTCAAAGGCAATAAAATGGGACGTGTCACAGATAGCACATTTTGCCTCTGAAAAATTGACTGTCTCAATTTTTCTTCAATTTCTATGATTGAGGCACACAGAATTGCTTTACACACTAAGGAACAACACAAAATCAAGAATAAAATGTGGAGGAGCAGATTGCAAGAACACCACAAGACAAGATCATTGAGGAGACGGTTGTCATTGAGCCTGTCTGCGTCAGTCTATGCTGTGACACAACACTTCTCAGATGGTTCAGAAACAAAATGCAAACATGAGGCTAACAAGCACAAGTACTAAGCTTTAAATAAAACCTAGGTTAGCCAAATAAACTGACTGCTCCAGAAGTTTCTTTTCTGCTATAGAGTAGGTAGACACAGGAAAGTTCACCAAGTGCAATTTATGCATCCTCTTATTAAAGAGAAGTGTGATAATGCACATGCAAAGACCCCAAACAAGACCTGATATTAGAAACAGCAAACAAACGGCTTGAACGTGAGATCAAAGATCAGTATCATTAACACTCAAACCACAAAACAATACTTTAATTAACAGGATGATATGAAAATAAACATGCTAAATCTAACAAATGGGTGCAAGTAAAGTTGCGTTGTACCAGTATTGCCAGGATAAAGAAAAACAATCATTTCTATTATTGAATATATGGAAAAAAAGGATATAAATTTGAAGAGTAAATTTTATTTTGACAGACATATTAAACATATTATACAAAAGAATTAATCAAGCTTATGGAAGACGCTAAGATTAAAACATTACAAATTCATGATGAACTTTTAATAAACAAATTTGTACATTGCTACAACAAAATACTCTTTACTCACTGGAGTGCTAACATATTAGGCACTATGGCAAAGAACTCACGCTCCTAAACAGACTAGTACAATTTCATTAGGTATAGACTCAAGAAGAAGACAGCACAGTGGAAGTAATCCTCCAGTAGTAATTCAATGAAATAAAATCTGAGTCAATGGAGCAGAGAGTCCACATCAAAATGTGCAGGAAGTGATGAGAATGCCATGTGCAGTAATAATAGTTTGATGAAAAAAATCTATTGCAGCACAAAGAAGCGAGAAATAATTAACCAGTGAGATCGCTTATTAAAATGGCCAGAGTAATGATAGTTAAAATACACTAACTCAAGTATTACCAATATATAAAATGAAGTGATGCACTTAACTATGATCTTTAGTACTCAGCATAAGTTAGTTAGAAATCAATAAAACATTAATTTTGCATCAGCAGAAACTGGGTACATTCACAGAGCATACAAAGGGTACTAATGTACTGTGTCAATGAACGTACCCACCCCACTACAAATTTGGTCATCTCCACAAAATTTAAAAAAAAAAAAAAAACTGGACAAAACAAGCAGAAAGCTTATTCCATAATGGCTTTAATGTTTTTAATGGAAACAATAAAATTGAGTAACTTAGGGACCAGCTCACAGCCCTGAAGACATTATCACATGAAATTTCTATTGAGTTTCAAGTCAACTTATGGCACAGGATCCCTCAGATCAAAAATACATACTTCATAATTGAACTCAAAGTCACAAATTAATTTGAGAGTCTCATAACTTCTCATTTCAGACAGATTTCTCATGTCCTTCAAAAATTGCTGATAGTTAGACAAATTTAGAGCAAACTTGTAAACAGAAAACTCTACATTGGCAAATGCCTTTCAATCATTCAAAGCTCAGACGATTAAGGTGGCACTGAAGCTCACATGATTACTATAAAACTCAAACTAATACTCTAAGATTAAATGAAAATTTAATGGAGAGGACAAAATCACAAAACTTTGAAATGATAAAAACAAAGAAAAATAGTAATCCATGAACGTAAAATACATTTCTGCCATGAGGAAGTCACAGGCATATGACAGACCTAAGTCCACACCTAAGAATCTAATACCTTGTTCCGTTGAGCCCTATCTATGGTATCACATCCTTGAAAAATGAAATCTTAACAGCAGAAATGTAGCCATTGGTCAACAGAGGAAAAAACAAAAAAAATGAGAAGTTAACTTACAACAACGGAAATAAAATTTGATAAAATGAAAATTTTAGCAGATCAAGCAATAAAAGCCACTGAATGTTTTATCTCAACTTCTCGTCTTATCAGCATTTGAAAAAAAGAAAGACACTTGCTCAGAAAACTTTTATCACAACCTCCAAATCTCCATTTGAGAGTTTCATGTTGCATTAGAAATACAGGGCTAATTAGCAGCTAACATTCTTACCTAGTGTTTGGTAACATTTGTCAGTCACTTCCTTCATCAGCATATTCTTATGCACACATTTTTCCTTAGAGTAAAGTAAAACAATCATAAAATTTAAGAAAAACTTTACACAAATTCGCTCTTTCCACCTGTTAGATAAATCTGATTTGTGGCAGGAGTAACCCACGTCAATTTGCAAAACATGAATATCATAGAATAAAATTGATAGAGCAGCTTTAAAGAAAGAGGAAGTTGTAAAAACATGCCATCTTAATTAGATTGCATCTCCCACATAACACAGAATTTTCTTTAAAGAATAAGATAGCATAAAGCAACAGTAGTACTTCAACAAGACTTGCTTTGTGAGCAATAATAGACACAATGAAAGCTGTGTTAAGCCACCTAAATAGAGCGAACTTCAGAGACGTCAAACTAAAGAGCAAATCCACAACAAACACAAGTACACACAGATGTAAGTTATCAATAAACATGTAGGTAAGACTGTACATAAACTCACATACACACACACTCATATATATATATATGCATATAAAAGTCTTTTGAAAATATATATATATATATGAACCAAATGATATACATCTAGTTAATCACACATCTGCCACATCACAATAGTTCCCATCAAACCGTTATCCGCTTCTTTGATCTGTAACTGAGGTGTGTGTTCTCCTCAGAAGTTTGTTTTGGTTTGTTTGTACACTTTACACAAATAAAAATCTCAGGTATGTTGCGCTTCTTGATTTTAGCACACGATAGGTGAATCCAAGTCAAACACTCGTTGCACTCAATCATTGCTCTTCCAGCAAAGGGCTTGGAGCAATAACAGGTAATTACATCATAGGAGTCATCATCTGTATGAGAATGCACAAAAGGTTCATAAGTGAAGGCTTGACAACTAACAGGATCTAAAGAAAATGAAGATAAGGCACATACCTGAAGTGCCTGCATCATCTGAGCTCTTCCGATCATCTTGCATACTTGATGCTGACTCAGATTTGATGCTGTCAGCACCACTGCCTGTGCTGCCTATGGGACTACCAGCCTTCTCCCGCAACTCCTACAGTCAAAAGTGAACAACATTGCATTAAGATTTTGGCTGCAGAAAACTTAGCTTCATAGAATGAACAAGAAAAACAGACTTAGCAATGTAGATAAACATTATGAGACTATTGTCTTTGGTCCACTTACATCTTGTGATTTCTGGTTCTCATAATCTTCATACTCCAGAATGTATTTGCAGAACAGGTAAAAGTCTTCTGAGGTTCGGGGTCTCTTTGGGCTAGTAGCATAGACCTAGGGAGACAACAAAACATTTAGAGGCTTGGTCAGAAGAAAGACTAACCCTACATTTCTTGAAAGTAACATCAAAATTACTTACATCTTCATCTTCACTTTTGGGGCTTTTCTTGAAAGCTCTGGGCGCTAGAAAAAACAAACAAACAAACATGGATATTTATGACGTATAACCTGACTCAAGGCGCAGACAGAGAGGGGCAAGTAGTGCCATAGATACCTCACAGCTGCCTGCCTGCTTCTTACAAAGGTTGCAAGTCAACTTGAGGAAAAGCCCATCAAACAAAAACCAACAAGTTTTTAATTGTGTATCGCGTTTTGGGTAGCAGAACGAGTCTGAAAATGAAAATAGACTAAGAACGTCTGGAATAACACGTAGACGCGAGGACAGAGGCAAGCTATCAGTAAACAAAGCACCAGGCCGATTACCAAGTCATACATTGGATATAGCAATGGTCTCTTGGAATCTGGCGGTCGAAAGTCAAATGATGTTACTAACAACTTAAATGGGACTGAAAATATACACAATAAATCAGCACTCTGCCAGTGGAAGAGATAAGTCGAACCTCAGCCTCAGAGTTGATGCCTGTGAGAGACAAGATTTCGCCAGCAATGACAAGAAATTTGCTTGGATTGAGTCAGAAAGTACAGTTGAAGTGTAAAACCAAGACCAAGATATTCAAAAGACACCAGCCAGACGCCAGTGTGAGTTTTTCGTAATGGGGAAAAGGGAAACGAAACCTGTACCCATCTCTTATACTGCCATAGAGCAGCTCCCTGCTTGCAGTTTTCTGGAAAAGCACACTTCCCAATCAAAAAACGAAATCATTCAAAAATATTTACCTTTAAACACAGTATCAGCCATTTTTCTCTAGAGTTTAGGCAACAAAAGTGGTCATCTTCTAATAATTAATAACATAACTATTGACATTCAAGCGACGAGACAACGGAGGACGATCCTTCTCACAAAATAGGGTTATCCAAGTAATTCCGTCTGAGCGAGCAACCCAAACGCGCATGGCAACATAGTCTCCAACCCAAAGCTCACCAGTCCATATTTTTAACTGCGAGTTCCGTGAAAGACAAAAGTTTAGAGTAAGCAAATACTTTCGTTAGCTCTCAACTTTTATTCAATTTCCCTTTTTCTCCTCGAAACTGAGAAAAAGATCTTACTTTTCAAAATCAAATTCTCTACATCAGGCACGAAAGCGCGAAAGTTTGATTTTGTGAACAAAAAGCCTTCGGTCATATCCTTAGCTGACAGTGAGTTTTTCAAATTATGTAAACATATGAAACACTAGAATCGACGTTGTGCTTAAGCTCTGTCAGAATTAAATATTCGAAACACCTTTGTCTGTTGCATTAATGCATAAAGGGGTGAATTTGAGTTTTATATTAACTAGGGCGGCTATCAGAACTTAAAGAACTATTCCTTCTGAAGAATTATTAATGTTTGAGCAACTTCAAAAGAAACTGTAAATCCTTGAAATCTAATTTTATGAAATTTTCGAGTGACTATAAGTTGCGATGACCGAATGATGTGTTTGTCTTTGGCGCCCGAGGCTCAAACCTCGAACAAGTGTCGAGTATCGAAAGTTTCGAGACATTCGATGTTTCGATATAACCTGCTGAAGTCAAAAAAGCCCTAAGCAAAACGAAAACATTGATGGTGTCACGACGATGAGGTATTATGATGATGATGGGTGATCAGTACCGCAAAATGGAGCAATATTCGCCTAAATCTTCACCTCGGGGCGCTCGGTCTCCAGTAGTGTCTCGGCAAGATTCCACAGGGACCTTAAAAACAACAATATCCCTCGGGAAAAACCCTTCTATAGTTCATCATGGACCATTTTACTTGATGAAGGAACCTCCAGGTAAATATTTACCATTTGTAGTGTGAAGAACTATTTTATTTATCATACAATTAATTTTAATTTTATATTTTCAAAGTAAAGTTGATCTTCAGCCTGGATTTTGTTTCATTTTGGGTCTATGCGCTTTGCATGTCAACCTAATTTCTCTGAGACACCTTATGCCGAAGTAAAACTACAGCTTTATCTTGGTAATTTTTATATTTCTGGTGCAGGGGGATAGGTTGGAAGAGTGATCAACTTTCTCCTTGATTATACATGTTCATATCTTGAAGTTTACCTCATTTCTAATTTGATCAGATTCCTGATATTATTTGAGGAAGAAATATTCAGAACTAACATATACTCAATTTAAGGGAACCAATTTGTTTTTACCCTGTTTCGATTTTTGTAGTGACTCTTATGCTGTTCAGAAAGAAGCAAATGATTGTAAATTAATCTTGGTTGTTTGTTACTTTTCCAGGAGAGAGTGAACTTACTGGAGCAACGAACTTAATGGCATATTATGGTTTAGAACATTCATACAGTAAATTCAGTGGTAAGAAAGTAAAGGAACAGCTGTCTTCATTTTTACCAAATCTACCTGGCATTATAGATAGCCCAGGACATTCGGACAATAGGTGAGGACTTGCGTCTTGTACATGTGTCCCATTTTTGCTTTAATTTACATACTTTTTAATTTCCTTGATGTTCTTGTTTTAGTTCATTAAGATCAGTAATTGATAAGCCTCCAATAGGTGGGAAGGAGCTTTTACCATTAACAAGTGTTCAATTAGCCGGTTTTCGTCTTCACCCTGGCCCGGTATGTTTTGATTTTCCTACACTTTAATTCCAATGCAATTACTTAAAATTTCTTTGTTCATCATGTTGTGCACATAAGTTCTCAATTTTCTGTTAGTCTCATGATCTGTGTTCCGTTTTTTTTGCAGCTGCCAGAACAATACAGATATGTTAATCAAGCTCCTCAAAAGAAACACAAGAATAAACACAAGAAACATAAACACAAAGCTGGGGAGTCGGCAGGAGGGGGAGAGGTTGCAGGGTCCACTGATATAGGAACAGATGCCCATGAAAAGAAGCACAAGAAACAGAAAAGGCATGATGACGACAAAGAAAGAAAAAAGAGAAAGAAGGAGAAGAAGAGGAAAAAACAGAAGCATAGTCCTGAGCATACTGGTGGTGGTTTAACACCCAGCCATCATTCCAGTCAATGAACCTGCTATTTTCATAAGAGTATTTAATCCCCTTATTTTTCTCAATTGTTTTCCTCACTGATGAGAGAGATTATCAGATCAATGAGCTCTAAATTATTGTTGATGTTGGGGTGGGGATGAAGAAAGGTTATCTCTTTGGTTTCCATTCTATTTGCTGTGATGTTGTTTATCTCGTCTCAAGTGTTCTTTTTAAAATGTGGAAACCCTCCTAAGATATTTCTGACACTGTCTGTCATAATTGTCTATCATGAGTACATAGGGTTTTCCTCAGTTGACAAGAATATTTAAAAAAAAAAAAGATTTTATTATATTATATTTGTTTGTTTCTTTAGATGTCCTTTGTTCAAGTCAATTATAATTTATTGTAAGCTCATGAAATGGATTTTTCCTTGTAAATCATCTTAATCTACTTGTTCTTAGGAAGAGGAGGCAGTGCATTTTCTCTATGCTTATTGGCAGATATATCTCACATTTTTGGGGGGTTTCTGAAGGAACACTGCATTGCTTCATTAACAGTTTTCATCAAGACATGCTCTGAGTCTGTTATAAAATTGTTGTCATTTTGCAGGGGTATTTATTATCTTACAACTCAGACTATGTGGAGTACTTACTCATAAATTTTTGAGCACTTTTAATAATTCTTGGTGAGGGAAATGAGGAACTTGGCAACTATTGACCATGTATGAGAAGACTTTAGATTGAGTATGTACCTGTAATTTTTAGGTGAATAATGTGATTGTAAATAGATTGGCTTTATTTCAGACACTATGATCTTTTCTCATTTCTCCTTAGTTTTATAAGAGAAGAAAGAACAGAAAATAACAATTGAAAAACAGGTAAAATGGACTTGAGTAACTACTCAGATTGACCGTTTTCCGATCAAAGTTATGTACAAAATGGCTCTTTCCACTACAATAACAAGAAAAAAAGAAAAAAAAAGGAACGTAACATTTTACTCATTCTAAGAGATTAGCCTTAGAGTGACAACAGACAAATCGAAAACAAACAGAGATGGAGAATGATTCATGAGTTAAATTTTATGACTGTCTGAAAAGGTTTCATCACAGAAACAGAAACTGTTGGTTTGGTCTATCAATATCAACATTACCTATTAAGTACAAATAGAAAAATATGTTAACAGGGATAGGTGCTTATTACAAGTCGCATTTGAATCTTTGGCCTTTCACTTTAAAAGGAAAATTATCACACAAGTGAACATGAGAATATTTGTACAGGACAGACAGTTCCTTTGTTGGACTAAAGGCACAGTTGTAAAAAAGGAGTTACCTTTCGGATCAATAGGTATAGGAGTAATTAAGGAACTATTATGAGGCACTTGGGGATAAAACCCTTGATATACCAACAAGTTGTTCTTCACTAGTCTTTTGTTGTCTGGCAATCTTTTCATACCTCCGTGCATCCCTTTCATCTTCATCCTCAAGAAATTCTTGCATTCGCTTTTTGTAACTTGAAAAAAAAGGGGGGGTAACAAAATTAGGACATTTAAAGTGAAGTAAGCATACTGGACCACAAACAGGCAAAACTTACATGGCACTATCTGGGTTGTTTTCTTGGTTTCTACATTTATCCAGCTTTTTGGAGATGGTCATTGCTAAATCTCTGTTCACAACCTCAGCTGCCTTCACAATCATACGGATATCTGAAAAACAAGGAGCTCATAAATGTAGACTCTGTACTTCAGAGACAGAACGAGTCTCACAAACTTTTACCCATTACTCATGGGTATTTGAAATAAACTAAAATCTTTCATCACTTACTTCGTACTGCATCGATTAACCCAGGGAGCCTTTCAGTACTAGATGTTCCCAAGAGAGTTCCAGTAACATACGAGTCAAGATTTTCTCTGTTAGAACTGGCAGACTGGAGAACAGCTGCTAAGGCAATTTGAGATGGGGGAACAAAAGGCACACATCAGTTTGGTAGCTACGTTCCAGAAACTCATCAATGGCTGGTCTCAAACGCTCTGGATCATTTAAAAGGCAGCGAGTCTGTAAGGTTACATCGTAAAGAAACTTAGAACAAAAATGGCAGTAATAAGTATTACAGATGCAAAAAAAAAATTGTATTTTTATACTTTAATATCAATAAGAAGGCCTTCAACAGGACGATAAGGATTGTGCACAGTAAGATGATACTGCAATCTCTGCATCAACAATAATTCGTTGTTCAATATGATGTCAGTTGCTTTTTCTCTGTCTCCTTTGACATTAGCAACAAACTGGGAAATTGACACATTAAATTCTTCCACTTTTGATGCTAGGTAGACACATGTTACACTGCAGAAAATAAAAGAGAATGATGCCAATCAGTGGTTCTTAAAAGCTCAAAGCACTTGCAGAACTGGTTTTAAATTTAGTATGAGACAAGGAAGGAAGAAATCATACATACAGTATTTCTTTGGGATGATAGTCCATAACAGAATTGTAAACATAAAACCTCTTAAAATAATGCAGAGCTGTTCCTATTACTGCACGAGGCATTGTGGGTGTAAATCGTTTACAAAATTCTCGTAGATGTGACTCATGCGAATGTACTAAGATCCTTTCTTCTGATGGTGTTAGAAAAATCTCAGAGATCTCTTCTGGCTGCAACACAAAGTAAAACAGTACAAACCACAAAATTAGCACAGAATAGAAAATTGACTCAGTAGATAAGCTGTGAACGGTTCATTCAAAGTTTGAGAAATAGGGTCGCAAAATAAATCTGGTTGTAAAAATTCAAAACTGTAGATATAAGAAAACAGGACATAACAAGATAGTAACATATCGTTTTATCTGTAATCTGTTATCATGTTCTGTATGAAGAAGTTCGAGGTTAGGGTTCCACAGTAACTTGGATCTTACCGGGATATTACCACCATGTCTAGCAATGAACTTGGCATTAGACTCCTCTCGATACTTAGCTAGCTCAGCTTCACTACTAAAAGTCCAATGCTTTAGTTGAGTACTTGATGGAAACATGTTTTCTTTTTTGAAATGGATTGGTTCGGGAACTGGTGGTTACGAACGTTGGATGACAAATTTACAGCTGCTTGACTAACATTGGCCAACACTAAATATAGGTCAGTATCTCATCTTCTCATGTTTAATGAAGTGTGAGAATAAATCCTCGAAACCTAGAAAATTGGCACTCGAGTTTGTGATCAGTAGAAAAGATAATGCATTTCAACGAAGCATTCTCAATCTTTTTCGATCTCAAGCGCTCGTCTTAAAGGACAGCCAGTATGAGAAATCGAATGTGTCGTGAGAGTTGAGATCAAAATTATCGGTTTCTGTGTCCACACGTGAACTTCAGATCGACCAGACAATAATTTGTCGTCTCTTCTTCCCAACGAAGTTTTCGAAGCTACCTCCGTGTACAATGGCAGATAAAACACAAAAAGCAGGGATTACCGGTGCAATCAAGTCTATTTATTATGATCCATACCTGTGGTAGGTTAAGTTTGCATCATTGTTAAACATTTTCCAAGGGATTTTAATTTGCCTCGTTTCCAGTACATTTGTCACTTTGTTTTTTATGTATTGAATTTATGCCTGTGTTTTGTAACTCAAGTTAAGCCAGCGCCAGTCACTTAATCTTCTCTCTTTCCCTTCTTTTCAGGTCTGTCGTAAAGAGTGTATCTTTCTTCGCACTGGGTGTTCACATTGCAAGACAGTGCGTAGGGTTGGAAGTTATGGGACCACCCCAGTAGTACCTGACAGCAAGAGATGGCGGTTCTTCAATGCTGTTACTTGCATTTTTTCTATATTTTGTTTCTTTTATGTTCTGTATATGCAAAACGCAAAAATGTTGTCTTGTTTCTTACTGATGATCAAGATAACTTTAACTATGTAAGTGGTATTTTACTTTGACCTAAGTTATGTGATATCTTCATCCATCTTTATACCTGATAAGAAATTTTCCCATTCAGTTGGGATGAGATCCTTTTTGTTGTGATCAAGATGAAAATTTTATTTCTTTGCTTCTTTAATGCCTTTGAGCAATATCTCAACAGAAGCTATAGTAATCAAACAATATGAATGAAATGTTCATCTTGTCTATTAATTAATCCGAAGCTGTCCAATATTCCCGTTTGCTGTTTCTGTTGAAGTCATTAAAACTGTCGGCTAGTCTTTTTCTCGTATGTTCAATTTAGGGTAAATTACGGAAAACCAAACAAATTATGGTTTTATGGAACCTTTGTTAGTACGATCAAGTAGAAATAAAGAAAGGGTATCTCAAAAGTTGTCAATACTTTCATTCATATGGAATCAATTCCTTATCCCTTATGTTTCTGCAGATTCCCATGTCAAAGACAATGCGGCTTGTCGCAAATAAAGGCACTACATTAAATAATGCGGTGAGGAAGCTGATCCTGCACTGCATTGATTTTACTTTCAGATTACATAGCTTTTCAACGTTTTTGGACTTGAAAGAACTGTTCATTTGTTTTGTGTTGTTCCTTTTTCAGTTTGTGAACACTCCATTATGTTGCCCTAGCCGTTCCACTTTACTGACTGGCCTATATCAGCACAATACGAGGGTTTTAAATAATTCTATAGAAGGCAATTGCAACTCAGTCGAATGGCAACACAAGCATGAACCTAATGCATTTGTTGAGAGTTTTTATGGTGCAGGGTATAGAACATTTTATGCAGGCAAATACCTTAACCAGGTAAGAAACACATAAGTACTTGCAGTGGTCTTTTATCGCAGTTTGTGTTAAATTTAGGCTCTTCTTTCAGTATGGATCTCACAAAGCTGGAGGTCTAGAACACGTGCCTAAAGGTTGGCAGTGGTGGGCCGGTCTCAAAGGAAATTCACGATACTACAACTATACATTGTCAGTCAATGGCTCTGCCAAACACTTTCCAACTTCTTATTTAACAGATCACATTGTAAGTGAATCATGAATTAACTACCCATCATACTCTTTTCCTAAATTTAAAGCTATGTCCTTTTACAGCATGAACTTTCCTTGGAGTTTCTCAAAAGTCAGTCTGCTCACACCCCTCCCTTCTTCATGATGGTAGCTCCTCCTGCACCTCACGCACCATATACCCCCTCTCCTAAGTATGCCAAGGCTTTCTCCAATGTTTCTGTTCCAAGAACTCCAAATTTCAATCCATCTGTGCAAAAGGTAATCAGCCTTTTATATTGTATTCAATATTTAGTTCTGCTTGATAAACTTTAATACAAGTGTGACACTGTTTTAGGATAAGCATTGGATGTTGCGCTTGCCTCCGAATCCTCTGCCCTCTGATGTTCTCCTCAAAATTGATGAAAATTATCGCCTTCGATGGCGTACCTTGATGTCTGTCGATGATATGATTTCCAGTGTAATTCGAGCTATAGATCAAATAGGACTGCTGGAAGAAACTTACATTCTTGTGACATCAGACAACGGCTATCATTTAGGTGAGATTGCCCATTGTTTGAAACACCCTTGAAGTTTGGTCTGATGAGGCCACTGCTATACATAAATTCTTGAATACAGGTCACTATGGCCTCCCTTGGGACAAGCGACAGCCATACGACACTGATGTCCGCGTGCCTTTCTTCATCCGGGGGCCTGGCGTGAAACGCCAAGCGCTTCCACATCCTGTGATGACCGCTGATATAGCCCCCACCCTGTTGGATATGGCAGGCCTCCACATTCCTCTTCACATGGATGGCAGATCATTCCTTGCAGCATTGCAATCAAAGAGGAAGAGATTTAAGAAGAGGTAAATTGGAAGGGAGAAAATTGAAGTCCATTTCACATGCAGTTGTGTAAATGTCTTGTTTGCATTTGTTGCATTTCATGTTTCTACTAGGGCCTTTCTGATTGAAAATATGGGTGAAGGAGGCAAATCAGTATCTCCTGAGTGTCCGTGGCATGGTGATTTGGGTCTTTCTGTAAGTTGTTGTATTTTTTATTGGTGTGCTTTAGTACAGAAAATCCAAAGTAAATTAATTTTGATGACATTTTATTACTCTCTACAGAATTGTGGTCCTGAATCTGCCTGCAAGTGTCAAGATGCAAGGAATAACACCTATGCCTGTGTTCGGTCTATTGGTCCAAATGAAAATTCTCTTTTCTGTAAATTCAATGATGAAGAGGTCAGTATTTTCCCTTTACAAGTTCATGAATATTTAAATGTTTTTTGTCATTTGTAATGTGAAACATTCTTTTCAGAATTTCCTGGAGGCATATGATATGGTATCTGATCCATATCAAATGAAAAACATAGCACAACTCATGAAGAAAACCGACATCCAAAGATATTTGCTAAAGTTGAAAAGTCTTCAAAGTTGCTCTGGAAATTTATGCATTCAATTATAATGTAGCTTATAATGAAGTCCAAGTCCTTTAGTCTTAGGTGCCTTTTTTTTTGTCATGACCTGTTAAGAGCAAGAAAACATTGAACTAGCATAGGATGTGTAATAAAATTAGTTTCTTATCAAATATTTATTTATAATTGTCTCATAAATTTCACGACTCCCTCTGCTTTAGAACAACATTTTATAAATAGAAAAACAACAAGAGATATAAATTAAAACTCCACGCAATCTACATTATTGATTGTCAGTCTCAGACTGGAGGCCTCTGGTTGTACTGTACGACCGGCCCAACTTACAGGCGCAGGCGCCCCTTCGGGCTGTGGGCCGATAGAAGCCCAGCGTCCTGTCACTGTTGCACCGCACCACTTTTTTGCACCACAAGAGAAAAGAAGATGGTTTCTTCTTCAAGGAAAAACGAAACGCAGTGCCGTGGCCAGGAGGGCTCCGACCAGGATGAGGCCCAGGATGATCCAGAGGACGATGCAGCCGCCGCGGCAGCAGCGCACCTTGCTGCGGGGCACCATGACCTCCTTGGGCGGCAGCGACGCCCTGGGCTCGCGCACGGGCAGCGGCTCGGGGGGCGTGGGCGTCGTGGGGATGGCGGGGAAGACGAGGGGCCGCGGCCGCATCATGGGCGGCAGCAGCAGTGCGGGCGGGGGCCCGGGTGGGGGCGGCGGGGGCGGCATGGGGCCCAGGGCGTAGGCCGGGGGCAGCAGCAGCACGCCGGGCGGCAGGCCGGGCAGCATCCCCGGGGGCATCCCCGGCGGCGGCCCGTAGTACGGCTCGCCGTCCCAGCCGGGCATGGGCATGGCGTGCGCGGCCATGGGCGGGGGCGGCCCGCCGTACCCGCCCCCGCCGTACCCGCCGTACGCGGCGTAGGCGTGCTGGGGCGAGTGCTGCATGCCGGGCAGGCCGGGGACGTGCGACTCGGAGGACAAGCTGCTCGAGTTGCTGGTGTCCGGCGTGTCTGGCGGGGACACGGTGCGGGGCGGCCGCGAGGGCTGCCCGACGCTGGAGCGCCCCGAACGGGGGGCGGAGTAGAGCTGCTCGCCTGCAAGCAGAGACGGCGTCAGTCCCGTGGACAGTCCAGCCGCCGGTCGGGGTTCGGGCGGTTCGGGCCTCACCATGGTAGCCCTGCTGCTGCTGGTACAGCTGGTCTCGGTGGCGCCAGGCCATCGGCGTCCTGCTCGAGCTGCTGGCGTCCCTCGGGTCGCCGCGGTCGCCGCCACCGCTCAGGCGACGGTCCATGACGGCCTCTGCGGACACAAAAACAGGAAACGTTAGCACCGTCCGATGCACTGCAAGGTTTGTGCTGGAACGCACTGCACCACAATGGCGGCGAGCTTGTCGTGCTGCGCGATGGCTGCGCTAGCCAGGCTGCGTGCGGCGGAACGCATTGGCCGCGGGCTGCAGCGTGCCGCCTCGCCCTGCCTCGCCCTGCCTCGCCCTGCCCGCCGTCGCTGGACCGACAAACGTGTTCCTTTCCGGTTCCTGCGGACACAACAGCTGGGATCAGCCCCCCCCCCCCACCTCTCTCTCTTGAGAGGGAAAGGGGAAACGCTTCGTGACAACGACTGCCGAAGCATCAGCAAGCAAACGCTTGCCGCTTGCCCCGTTGCTTGTCCCCCGACCCCACCTTTCCCGCCTTTCCATTCCCTGCCGCCCAGGCTGCCAGGCTGCCAACCCAGGGGGGCAAGCAAGCACGCCAAAGCAAAGACACGCGTAAAGCACGGCAAATATGGGATGGACAGACTGTGTCGACCACATAGTTTTTTGAAATGGCACTACTTTCGCCGCTCTGTCTCTCTCGCACTCATAGGCGTTCCGCAGGGGTGCAAGAGAGACAAAGCGACGGGTACTATGGCAAGGCTCCAGGCTGCGCGGGCTGCGCTCGGCCAAGGAGGCAAGGAGCTAAGCGTCCTATTCATAACCGCAGCGCCGCGGCACTCGGCAGGCTGATTCCGCTCGGCGCTCTCGTCTGTCTCTCTCGCACTCACGGCGCGGCCCGTGCGGGCGCGAGAGAGACAGAGCGCGCTTCTAGCGGCCCTCCTTCGGCCTTTCTCCCCGCGGTGCCGCGGCTTTCTTGGCTTGGCGCGAAACAGTTGTAACAACGGCAGATGCAGTTACGGCAGTGGAGGGAAGCGGCAGCGGCACTGTGCGCCCCGCCTCGGCCCCGCCTCGGCCCCGCCGCCTCCCTTGTCACCGGCACGACCAAGCACGACGTCGGCGCCGTCTCTCTCGCACTCACGCGGCGTGCCGTGCAGGTGCGAGAGAGACGAGGCGAAGAAAGGGACTCTCGGAGTCAGCAGTGTGCTGGCCTCGCCTCCGCCCTGGCCCCGATTGCTGTCATCTGCGAGAACAGAGAGCGGATCCCCGCGGCAGTGCGCCAGCAGTGAGCGCCTGCGCGGTAGGCAGCCCTGCGCAACGCCGGTGCCTCGCTGCGGCCTACCCTCGCGAACGCAGGCGCCCCGTGGAGGCGGACAAAACTCTGGACGCGTTTTGAGCTCCAGAGTCGCTAAATGGGCCTCGAACCGAACGTGTGACCCCACCACTGGATTGCTCTCCGAACGAGGAATCCATTGGTGGGGTCACACGTTCGGTTCGAGTGCTGTTTAGCGACTCTGGAGCTCAAAACGCGCCAAGGGCTTTGTCCGCCTCCACCGGTCTTCTGGCCCACTGTGCGTCCCGTGCATCCCCGCCAAGGAGCTCGGTTCGCGCTGCAGCGTTGCGTTGCGCACGGCTCCGCACGGCTCGCGTTCCCTCGTCGCGTGTCATTCACAAATTACACGGTGGGCCCCCCGTTCAACTCTTCCCGCCGAGACCGCCGCAGGCCCATCGGAGAAGTCCAACTTTTGCTGCAGGAGCAGTGCATCGTCATTACCCAGTGCGTGTCACGTGCGTGCACTGCGAAACGGGCGTCTCCGAACAGTCGCGCGAAGCGGCCGCGGCCCCGGTAGACCGATTCCGAGGCGAGGCGGACGCGGCGTCACGCAGTCACGCGGGGCAACACAGCAATCCGCAAAGCAGCTACACTGTCGGCAAAAGCACCACCATTGACTCATCTCGGCGTGTTCGTACACTGCAGGTCTGCGGATTCTCAGTGATTCTCAGTTCCATCGCTCTGTCTCTCTCGCACCCGCGGGGCGACCCGTAGGGGTGCGAGAGGGACAGAAGAGCGGCGACTGCTCGGAATGGCCGCGCGAAAACCTGCTCGGCGGTATGCCGGCGTGGCGGGGCGCGGCGGCGCGATGGGCGATGGGCATGTCGGGGTGACCTGAACGCGGGACGGGGACTGCGGCGCGTGTGCGTCCCGCCGCCATCTCGCTCTGTCTCTCTCGCACCCCCGAGGGACGCCCCACGAGTGCGACAGAGACAGGGCGACGGTCTTCGGGGTAATTTATGCAGGAAGCTGCAGTAGCCGCGTCGGGCGTCCGTTTCCGGATTTCCTCCGGGCCGAGTCCGGGCCGCGTTGTTCCACCGTGGGTATTTAATGATTTCCCTTCCTTTATGCCCGGCGCTGCCGCGCTGCCCGTTGCCGTTTTCCCACACTGGTAAGGAGACGGCGGCATCCCGCCGAGCAAAATGGCCTCTTAGTCCTCGCCGTTTCTAATGAAGCATGATTTGTGTGGTTGGCGGCCCTGGCGGCCCTGCGAGGGAAAACCAATTTCCCAAACGATCAAGCTGACCCTCGGTGTCCCGGGGCGGACCGTATTTTTCTAACTGTGTTCGAGATGATCGCCCGCAAAAAAAAGGGCGGCCGAAGGGATCGCGATGAAAGGAAGAATGAGGGGCAAAAAGGAGGAGACAGGAGAACGGCAGGAAGTGGCGGCTTGTGCTTGTGCGGTTTTCCCCGCCCCTTTTTTCGCCTGTCGCGGAGTCGCGGCCGCCAGATTAGATTTTGGGATTGCTGGAACTGCCGGCTTGACTTTCACCGATATCTTATTTGCGCATTGGCCAGATTGGCCGGGCTGCCAGTGCAAGGCCGTGATCTGGATGCATAGTAAGCAAGGCGGTGGGGCGCGGCCACTTGCCAATGATAATTCGGGTCGTTCCAATAACAAGGCGGCGGCCAGCACGCCAGCAGCGGAGCAGCGCTCCAACTCGGTCGCTCTCGCCGTAAAACTAATCAGCATTTCCCCGGCCGCCCGATCTGCCGCCCGGTTTTTCACGGTGCACCTCATACCGTGTGGCTTCCTGCACGTGAGCGCTCTTCGGACACAAAAAGTAAAACAAGTTGCTCCACCGCCGGACTGATGGAGAACGAAAGACATCTACCGAGTCAAAAATAACGACCAAGCCGGCCCTTTTCTTCTGGAGGAACACGTCAAATTTTTAAATCAACCTCGATAAAATTTCAAGGTGGATTCCAAGAGTTTCGCGCAGTTCCCTAACGTCAGCCCCGTCTCTCGACGAAATTTTCAGTGACCCGACGTGTCCTTACCTTGTCTCCTCGTCCGGGTCGGCGCGGTTCAAAATCCAGGCATGCTCAGCGACGACCACACGGACCACACTCGCGGCGCGGCGCGGCTGGCGCGGCCTCGGACGTCGGCGTCGTCGGCCCGGGTCGCATCACGACGGCGTCACCACCACCACGACGACGGGAAAGCCGCTTTTGGCCGCGGGGTTTTCATCGGGGCCGCGAGACAGCGTGGCGGGCAGGCGGGCGGGCCAGCCAGGACTCGAACTCGAGGGGCAGCGCGGCGAGGCGCGAAGGCCGGCGAGGATGCCCAGGACTCCCGCAGGACTCCCGCAGGACTCCCTCGGCTCGGCGAGGAGAGGAGCGACTACGGAACGGAGCCGAGTCGAGCGGAGCGCGGAGCGTCTGCTGGGGTACTTGCACCTGGCCGGCCGCGCCGCGCCACGCCGCGCCACGCCGCGCCACCTGAGGGCCGCGTCCGCAACGCCGGCCAGGCCAGCCAGCCAGGCACAGCGCCGCGCCACCTGACCCGTCTGCCCTCCCGTCCGCCCATTCGGCAACGTGGTGCCGGGGCCGCTTCGCACGCAGCCCGCGTAGAGGCTGGGCAGCCTCTCCGAACCACCGTCTCGACGCACTGTCTCTCTCGCACCCTTGGGCCGCCTCGCAGTGGTGCGACAGAGACGGAGTGACGAACAATCCTTCGGAGTCGCTCGCCAGGCTCCGGCGCAGGATTCAGCCCCCCTCTACTCTTGCTCTATGGGTCCGGGAGGGACGGGGGGTTCCTGGGGCCCCCAGGGCCCCCGGGGCCCAGGTGGAAAAGGGGGGGGGGGAGCAAAGAATACCGCTAGACCGTGCTGCGGCGAGGTGGAGAGCAAAGACGACGGTTTGGTCAGGAATGAACGAAATTCGTCGTTTTCGACCGGAGTTTCAACAGAGCACTCAAACATTTTCGGTTTGTGATGATCTGTTCATTCAGAACCCGGTGTGCACACCTGTCAACAAGGATCCCATCCACTAAGGTCACACGCACGATATCCATAGTCTGCAGCGAATTCAATCGCTCGAGCGCTCATTCTCATTCGAACCAGGTCGCAACTCTAACGTAAAGTTTAAGAGCAGTCAATGAATGAGAAGGGCAGCCCCTCGGCGGATCGGACAACCGCCGGCAGTGTAGGCAACCCAACCAGCACGTGTGTAGCGTTGGCGGCGGAACTTCCCCTGCCGCGCTGACCGCTGCGTTTCTCATAGCGACCGGGTCACGTGACTCTGTGTTTTCTAGAAGCAGAAGGCAGCTGGCAGTTATCCGCAGTCCAGTCGAAGTCGAAAACTCGTCGCCGTTGCGCCATTTCCCGAAACGTTTCGGATCGACCGGAGTAAATTCTCTGTCCCGAATCCACACGTAACTTATTCCTCCTTGCAGTGCAGCACATTTAGGTTGGTTCAACAGCTAATTCGCCATGACATCCACGCGATGCGTCCCAATCGCTTGTTTGATTTGACGAGGTTAAACCGTCCAGACGTATTTTGCCATTTACTGATCACGAAGTCTTCCGAATTGAAATTATTCCATGTCAAAGTGTGACTATAATACGTTAATTTATATCTATCATGACGGTTCGGACGTCAGATGTCATTCGGCCCCTTCACCGATTGCATCAGACATTGTTTTGGTTGTTTGTCGGTTGCACTATCTCCAAAAGTCCCTGCTTAACAATCTCCGTTTCTTCTCTGCAGGCACCATGTTGGCCGCACGAGCTTGCTTGTTGCGATCGCCGTTCACGCCACTGGCTCGCCAGTCCCTGGTGTCGAACGCCCAGACTCCTAGCCAAGCCATTCTCCGCTGCTTCGGAAATGAAGCCCGCACTGCCAGGGGTCGGACAAGGTTCCGAGTCGCTGAAGCTCCTGCTGCTCCAAAAGTTCCAGCTCACACCCGTAAGTAACATTAAATTGCGCTCTGAACAATCTTTGTGGATAAGCGCAGGCTGAGCACATTTTTCTTTGCAGCGTTCGTTGTTGGACAAGGGATGGTTGGAGGTGCAGCTTTTGTTGGGCTGGGAGCTCTGGCGTATTATGGTCTTGGCATGTCTTCTGAGACAAGTGCCCTTCAACAAACTCTGTAAGTAATCCTAGAACATGTTTTACAATGCATAATTGGCATTCATGTTTCACAATGAGCTAAAGAATGTTTTCTCCTTTCAGCATGTGGCCACAGTATGTGAAAGACAGAATTCGAGACACTTACATGTTTGTAGCTGGCTCACTTGGTGTGACTGCTGCTTCCACAGTTGCCATCTATAGATCACCAACTGTCCTAAGATTTTTCAATGCTCAAGGATTTTTGGTGAGTTTTTGTTTAGTTTGGTTTTTGAAGTGACTGCCTTTTCAAATCAAGTCTAGGCTGTTTTGGCTCCTTTTTTGAAGAATATTAGGTATATACTGTAACATTCTTTTGTATTGCAGGGATTCATCGCGCCCATGATTGCCCTCATCGCAGTTGGTTCAGCCATGCATTCAATTCCTTATGAACCTGGCTTTGGTGCAAAGCATGCCATGTGGTTGTTACACAGTAGTCTGGTTGGTGGGATTATCGCCCCCTTGATGATGTTGGGAGGCCCTGTTCTTCTCAGAGCTGCTGTGTAAGTGTGGCTGTGGTTTTCAAAATTTTAAGAGCAACTGCCATTCCTTTACAGTGTACTTACTTTTCGATTTTCTTTTTAGTATGACCGCTGGTGTTGTTGGAGGCCTGTCTACTGTAGCTATGTGCGCCCCCAGCACCAAATTCATGAACATGGGTGCTCCTTTGGGCATTGGTTTTGGAGTTGTGCTTGCTTCATCCATTGGTAAGTATCAGAGATGCTGGTTTTCATTGATGTCAAACACATGCTGAAAACAAATGTAATGAATGGCGAACTTTTGTCTCATCAGGAAGCTTCTTCATGCCACCCACTTCCCTAGCAGGGGCTAGTCTGCACTCCATTGCTTTGTATGGTGGAGTCCTCCTGTTCTCCGCACTGCTGCTTTACCAAACTCAGGGACTCATGCAGAGGGCCCAGCACACTCCTTATTACTCCCAGTTTGACCCAATCGACTCGTAAGTCTACCTCTTTACCTGTCAGTGCCATGAAATCTATGCCAGTGGCTTGTGTCTTTACTTTTTTATTTAATTTCAGGTGCACCGGAATTTACATGTCAATCATCAACCTGTTTGTCAGATTTGTACAGATGACTGCCATGAACAAGAGGAAGTAGAGTTATCCATGGTTTGACATCACTCTCTCAATTTCGTGTTTTCCAAATCTCACTCTAAAAGGAATTTTTGTCAATGCTGGAGTAGCTGGCTAAAAAGAAATAAAATAGTTTTTGTTATTTTGGCTTGATAAACTGGTCTATGACAGGAGAATTGTAAGGGGAAGAAAAGATGTTTCTTTTGACTGATTATGTGATATGCTTTACATTTTAAGGTAATAGTTGAAGTTATAACACCACATGTGTAATCTGTGTATTATCCACAGCTGCAGCCAAGCAATGTTTCAAGTTAGTTTTTTCTGAATTAGAATGGTTGTTTACCCAACTGATGTGTTTGTGTTTATTAAATCAGAAGTGAATGATTGAGTGAAAGGCTGCTCTCATTCAAAATTTACTTTCCAAAAGAAAATACATTTTGTTACAGTGGCTGGTCCAGTGCTTGGCATGTCCCATTGTTGCACCGAGTGCCTTCAGCACACTCAGAGCTAGATGGCACTCCCCTGATTACAATGCATTTTCCACCGGGAGCTGTAAACATGTACATGGCATTAGGTTAATAGCGATTACTTTTTAAAATAAATCTTCTTTAAAATTGAAAATGAATAGTTTCTTACGTATGATTGTGACACACAGTGGGCAACACCCACAGAATCCTCCATTGGGTTTAAAGACTCCACAGCAATTTTCTTCAGTGATAGTGGTGTCACATCGCACTTGGTCACAAATGTTTGGCGGGCAGACAATAGCATGAACCGCAACACAGGCACAAGCAACTGCCAGCCAAATCAGCAGGTGCTTCATTTTCAACAAGTGTCTGGAATGCAAATATCTTCAGTTAGAAATGGTCTTCCTTTCCTTGTTTTGACAGTAGCGCCTGTGGTCAGACTGGCTGATGTCCTTCAAGGCTGGTTAGCTTATCAGAGGGCAGAGGTGTAGAACCAAAAAAAACCTTAAAAGAAAAACATGTTAAAACAAGTCAAGCATATCCTGCCTCTTCATGAGCCAGACTTTCCTGTTGATAAGCACCCTCGCCCTGCAATTAAACTAGCCAAAATTTTACACCTACACCTGTTAATTATGACAAACTCACTATGACCACAAAAGTGTGACAAAAAAAAATTTAGAAAGAAAAATTAGGGAAAAAAGTGGTTTAATTGTGTTGGATCTTATTTCACGAAAGTTCATAAATTATAAATGCTTTTCAAACGTAATAAAAAAATCCAAATAAATTTCGAAATTTGTCTTTAAAGGAATTTTTGCGTTGAAAGCTTAGGAAAACGCAATAGGAAGGACATCGTGGCTTTTGCGAAAACGGCACGGCCCCAATGCAGCCCCCGTCCCCGTGGTTTACCTGCTGGGTCCGCGGCGCTGTGGGCTGGCTGAGTCCTTCTCCCGCGAGTCGTGACGATACACTGCCGGACTGCGTTTGTAGCGGACGTGCGCGGTCAGAGAAACAAGAAGCAAGCAAGCGCTGTGGTGGTGGCATGCGTCACCACCACCGCCACACTGCCACCGCCACCGGCCGCTCACGGGCTTTCCCCCTCCCCCGCTTCTTGGGAATCCGCGCCAAAAAATAGAACGTCGACAAGGCACTGCGAGCACCATCAATTGTGGTCCAGCCTCTCAGGTTCAAAGTTCAAGTGGGCCTGTAGCGCCTGCGAGGTAGGCCGCCGACTCGACCCGCGACGCACCGGTGTGGAGACGGTGGCCCACCTTGCGCCTGTCGTCTTCACAGGGGCAAGGTAGGCCACCGTCTGCACGCGGATGCGTGGCGTGACGGCGCGGTGCCTACCTGGCAGGCGCCACAGGCTGCACAAAGGGAGCCCCCGTGGAGCTGCGAGAGCCCCGTGAGGACAAGGAGCAGGGTGAGCGCCTGGCGGGCAGCAAGCGGGCAGCGTGCTGGGCGGCGGAGGCGAATGGGTTGCCTGCTGCCCGGGCGGTTGACCGGTGGTGTGGTGTGCTGCCAACCCGCCCGGCGCTCCATAGCACCAAGAAGGCAGCCAGGCCGGCCGGCATGTCCGCTGTTTGCAGAGTAGTATCCCCCGCCCCCGCGCCACCCCCGGGCAGCGCGGCAGCGCCACCCCCGCGCAGGTCCCTCGACACCCGTTAGTGCCCTTCGCGACAGGGCAGGCTGGCTGGCTGGCGGGCTGGCTGCGTATGGCCGCGTCTGCAGACGCACGGATACAGACTACTTCCGTAGGCTCCCCGAGATGGCCCCTCCAGCCCCCACCCCACCCCACCCTGGCGGGGACTGCCGGGACTGCCGGGACCCGTGCGCCAAAGCGCTTCCTTTGCGATGCGCCGCGAATACACAATCAGAACAGTTTGCATAAAACGAAGAGACGGCTGTCGCGCCGTCGCTGCGCGCTGGGCGGCAGAAAAAAGAGGTGGAAGTAGCGAGGCCGAAGGGCCCGAAGTAGCGGGAGGTCCACTCGCGCGCTCGGCCGCTCGCGCGTTACCGAATGCAGGGCTGCAGGGCTGCCACCTTGGGCCTCGCATTCACATGCACATTCACATTCGCCTTGCCGCTCCAACAGAAAAAAAAACCCGCTTTGGAATCAAATGAAAAAGTCAAGTTGTACCTCTACAACCAGTTATAAACAACGAAAGAAAAAGAATGAAAATCCGAAGAAAGAGGTTAAAGGCGCAAGTTTGGCACAGGGCGGCGCGACGGCTCGGCACGCCACGCGGGCGAGGCAGGCGAAGCCCCTGCAAGTAAACGCGCTACGGATGGCGTGCGGGCTATTTCAGGAGAAACACCTGCCGAGATAATGTCTCAACTGGAAGGTTGGGAGGGAAAACTGTACGTACTGCCCCAGCGCGCCGCGCCACGCCGCGCCACGCCGCGCCACGCCGCGCCCTTCCGTGCTCCGAGTAAAACACGGCTTTGCCGCCATCGCTGGATTTGCTGGATTGTCAAGTCCCGCGCGATAAAGAAATCGCCCTCGTCCGCGTGGCGGCCGACTCCGAAGCCGGTCGCGCTGTCTCTCTCGCACTCGTGGGGCGTGCCTGGCGTGCCGCGGGGGTGCGAGGGAGAGCCCCCGAATCGCTCTGCAGTGGCGCACCGCCACGGACCGCCCGACTTGCATTTCTGACTGGTCATTACGAGTCGCGGAGCGCGGAGCAGTGACGGAAAGATTAAGGAAATAAAGCAAGAAGAAAAAGTTGCGCTGCCGTGAGGTGGAGTTGAACCCGCGAGCGCGCGCCGACTGACGGACGGTGGGCCAGAGGACCGGTGGAGGCGGCCAAAAATCTAGACGCGTTTTGAGCTCCAACGTCGCTAAGTGGGACTCGAATCGAACGTGTGACCCCACCAACGGATTGCTCTCCGACGAGGAATCCATTGGTGGGGTCACGCGCTCGGTTCGAGACCTGTTTAGCGACTCTGGAGCTCAAAACGCGTCTAGAGTTTTGTCCGCCTCCACCGGTCTTCTGGCCCACTGTGTGACGGCCGGCGGTCCACGTTTTGGCCGTTTCGCGTGCGGCGTGCGGCGCCGATACCCCCTGCCTCCGAGCGGCCCAAGGCGCGGCCCGAGTAGCCGTGGGCCTTATTACGCCAAGTTTGAGGAAAAGTCCGGCGTGACGTGACCTCCATCCGCGTGCCGGCTGCCTGGCAGTGCCTGCCCCGTCCGGGCTGATGCATAATGCCACCCGGTATTGACACGCACACTTACTCACACCCCGGCAGCGTGGCGGCCGGCGGGCCATGTGCCACAGCGTGCCACAGTGTGCCACCCCACACCCTCCGGCCGCCACCCTACCGCAACCTCTACTGTAAACAGCGCGCGCTGGACACGCAACTCGGGCATTAGTCTTATACTTGGAGGCCTAATTGGAGCTCCTGCGCCCCGCCGGGGCACGCAGCGCCCCCGCGACGCCCCGCGACAACCACGTCTAATAGACGAATCGCCGTCCCCGGGCGCCGCGGCCCCGCGCGCCGTCTCGAGGGGGGCTGCAAATTTACTTTGGTTTAGCGTCGGCACCAAGCAGGCCGAGCAGCAAGCGCGGCAAGGGGCACGTCGGAACACGGGTCGAGCCGACTTGGCCGTGACTTGGCGGCGCTTCGCGTGACTTGAGCCCTCCGCGCCTAACTCGCCGAGTGAGGCGATGAACTTGGGCACAGTGGGCCAGAAGACCGGTGGCGGCGGCCAAAACTCTAGACGCGTTTTGAGCTCTAGAGCTCGCTGAACAGGACTCGAACCGAACGTGTGACCCAACCAATGGACTCCTCGTTCGGAGAGCAATTCATTGGTGGGGTCACACGTTCGGTTCGAGTCCCAGCGACTCTGGAGCTCAAAACGCGTCCGGGATTTTGACCGCCTCCACCGGTCTTCTGGCGCACTGTGCCGGGGTTTTAGCCGGAGCGATGCGAGGCTGGGAAAATGAAAGCGCGTTTCTTTAGAACGCGCCCTGCCCGTCCCGGCGCTGCGCTGCGCTATGGCGCGCTGGGGCAGTCTGACCTGACGTGCCGCCGCGGTGCCGCCCTGCCCCGCCACTCCGCCCCGCCCTGCCCTCGATAAGTGTTACCCACGGTGAACGCGAACAATGGCGCGGGGCGTACGTGCCTGGAAATGATCGCGGGGACATCATCGCCCTCGTCATCGTCCTCCCCCCCATTCAGGACGGACGGCCCCGGCGCGGCCCTGTCTGTCGCCGGCGTCCGGGCGGACACACCATCACGACGACGGCCACGGCGGCGGCGGCGGCGGGGGACAATCGCGCCAACACACGACGCCGGCGAATTAGAACAAAGGAATTATGGAAACAAGAACAAATTGGAGAGCGGCGACGGGGCGACGGAGCAGCATCGCGTGGTGCAGCGGCGCGGGGCGGGCGGCGACACGGCGACAGACAGCAGTGCACCGCCGGGGCGCAGCGGACACACACACACACACACGTGGCCGTCGTCTCCAGCATGGTAATGGCTGGGCCGGACAATGATTCGAGTCGCGCTCAGGTGGAAATGACGCGGCCTCGCTGCCCTCGCCCTGCCTTCGCCTTGCCTCGCCTTTCCGATGCCGCGCGACGTGTTTATTACGCTGTCCTCGGCTACACTGTCAAAACAGAGCGTCCGTCCTGCGAGTGCGACGGAGACGGGGCGAGCGACGAAAGTCGTTGTTCAACAACTCTGTTGCCATTGCCCCGCGGCCCCGCGGGGGACGTCCGTCCGCCGTCCGATTTCTGCCGGAATATTCAACTTTCGCTTCACATGCGTTGAATAATTCAGATCTTAAGTGAAATTAAGACCTGGCTGCCTGGGTGGAGTAATGCTGCAGGTGCTGACAAAATATCCTCTAAATTAAACTGGCGCTCGCAGCGAGTCCGCTTTACAATGCTAATGGCGCGGAAGGGGCCCCGTCTTTTTCGTCAGCTCGTTTAGGCGCGGCCCCTGCACGTACGTACGCGGAGGCAGAAGCCGGCAGGGAAATACAAAGTTTATACTCGGACATCAAACGGGCGCAATAAAGCTCAAAATGGACGAACTTTGAGTCACCTAAACTCCCGGGGACTGGTGGACTGGTACAGGTGACGGCCTGCCCCGGGCCTGCTGCCCTGTGCCGTCGGCGAGCCGTCGGCGGCGGGACCGGCTCACCTGTGGTTTTACTGTCCTCGTACCGCGCCGCGCCGCGCCACTGCGAGGGGCCGGCCGTCCTCATTGGTCCTCCTGGCCGGGAAAACTGGAGAGGAAAGCCGGAGAAAGTCGATCAAGGAAACCGAGGCGCCGCCGCCGCCCCGTCGCCGCGCCGAGCGCAAAGTTCAAGTTGAGTCACAACGAGAAAAAGACACATTTGCACGAATCCGGACATTGGCTCACCGAGCGTGCTTTGCAGTGTACCGATGCGCCGCGCGGTCATACGGCCTACAGCCCCGCTTGCTATCAAAGTGGGTTCAGTTGTCATCGCGCAGCGCGGGGCGGTGCGGTGCAGTGCGTCTGAGCAGCTGAATGGCGCGGCTGTCTGCTGCCGGACTCGCCCCGTTACACTACACTGGAAAGGGTCGTCGCTCCGTCTCTCTCGCACCCCTGAGAGCGCGACAGAGACAGAGCGACCCACAGTCTTTTCCGCGGAGCGCCGCAAAGTTGGGCGAGGCACAGTGGGACAGAAGACCGGTGGAGGCGTACAAAACTCAAGACGCGTTTTGAGCTCCAGAGTCGCTAAACAGGCCTCGAACCGAACGTGTGACCCCACCAATGGATTGCTCTCCGAACGAGGAGTCCAATGGTGGGGTCACATGCTCGGTTCGAGTCCCATTTAGTGACTCTGGAGCTCAAAACGCGTCTAGAGTTTTATCCGCCTGCACCGGTCTTCGGGCCCACTGTGGGAGGCCGAAGCTTCGCTGGCGGCAGACATTCGCCATGTTGCGCGCATGTCCGTACGGACGCCGTGAGAAATCTCCCCCGCCTGCCGCGCCTGCCCGAGCGCGCCAAATGCATCTCCCTCGACCAGGTTCACTCTGTATCCCAATCCCATGAGTGGCCGTTACTCCCCGCTAGGGCTGCGAGGGCTGGT